TAATTTATATCTGTTTATTAAGCTGAGATTAGATCATCGTGAAAGGCCAGCAAAAAGGATAGATATTTCTTATTTTTAATGCCAGATAAAGGCGTATGTGGTGTTCTACCTCAGGTGCGCAGGGATGTCTGAGTGTGACATTTGCTTCTCTGTCTCAGGTATCGTAATGTCTTAGGCTGTAAATATTAACAAAGTTCTGGCTTCAGTTGTCCTTTCTTATTCCAGCAAACTCCCTGGGCACTGGCAACTCAATGCCATGTGAAGCAATTTACCCAGAATAGAGTTTGGTCACATTTTCCCACATCCAGACCAAAAATAGACCCGTCCCAACCGGGAAAGTCACAAAACTTGTTTATTTTGCCTCGCGACCAGAATGTAAAACCGTATCGTCAATTCCATTCCCCACACCTCCACTTTTTCTTTTTTCAGTTTTAGGCTTGATCAACGTTCCCGCACCCCGGAGCACAGAAGTGAGCAATGGGCATTGCCAAATCAAATTTCTATTTCAGAACATTTAGAAGGGTAGTCAATTAATTAAATGTTTGAATCATTGTGTTAAAAAAAAGAGAGTCAGATTACAATAATGAATAGCTCTACTGTAATGAATGGTAGATAATACAGAAAAGAGAACATAATAAATTGAAAGAAATGACAACAACCAAGTGTGTTGTTTGTTCAGAATGTAACACTGCTCTCTTTGCCTGGAATTTGCTTGGATGGGCCACATGTAGAAGCCTCATCTTTCCAATGTTTATTTTCACTACCAAATATCACCACCACTCCTCTCTCTAAAATAAAGGCCCCTTATAGCAAGAAGTGGCTCACAGTTGGAAATGGGACTTGTATTCCTGAAGGGCTAGTGCCTTGCAGAGGTGCAATGTTTATTTTCCATAGGGAGAAAGCTTTCGCACACCCCCACAGACGCCCATCTGGGCAAGGCCCTGTGTAAGCAAAAGGAGCAAGAAAGCATGTCCTTCAGCAACTGCGCCCTTGGCAAAAGTTACATGTCAGAACCTGGTGACTCAAAAGCTTTGGCCTGCTGCAGCTTTGAAATGGTTTCTTGCACAGATCTGCTTAACATTCTGGTCGTCTGTGAGGTATTATGAAGACATGGTACAGAAGGAAGTTCTACAGAAATCAATGGGGCTTACTCCCATGTAAGTGGGTATAGGCTTGCTGCCTAACACCATGCTGTGGTGATCACACAGGGTCCCCGGACGTTTGACGGTCTATTGATCCCTGTGCCACCACTGATTGCTTCCTCGCTGCCACCAACCCGTTTCTCTCGGGTACACACGGAGTCCAGACAGTTGTTAATATTAAACCAAATAAACAAGTTTATTTTATAAGCATTAACAAGTTTATGGTTTCAGATAATTTTTCTTGTCAGTTTCTTAATCTTAGTTTCTTTACCGGCCAATACCTTCCTAATAACTTCTAACTGATTATCCCAACTGTCTATCTGACTCCTCTTAACAGATTCTCTCACTCTCTCACATCAAACTATCTAACCCACAGACTTATTTATCCTCCCTCTCTCTTCTCTAACAACCCGACTGACTCCTTAACAACACTAAATCTAACTCTAACTCCTCCCCTTGGGTTCCCACTTGCCAATCACTTCACACTCATTTAACCCTTTCCTTATGACCCAGCATGATGTCACATGATGTCACACCCAGGATGCCACACATGCACTCATGCATTCACTTGCAGTCCCAGAGATCTTCCAAATCCCTATCCTTACTTCCTGCCCTACATCTTTGAGAGTTGGAAATCAAGGATTTATACAACGGTGGCTGTGCACTAGTGAAATGCGCAGGCACATATCCTCCAACATTTCTCCAATGAAAATAGGGACATCCTAGGCACCAAATTGTCCTCGGTCCTGTCTACCTACTGCAAGTCCTCTATGCCTTCTTATCCAGAGGGTCCCCCAACCCGCAAGAACCACCTTTTAGGTGAGACAGAGGCTGCAGTGATTAAGAGGGATCAGTGGACATTGGGTGCTCTCTCTCGTACAAGCAGAAGTGCTTCACATTAAGGAAAATCCAGCATTGGATATAACCCTATGAAAGTAGATGGGAGGGAGGAATAGCCAGGGAGATCTGCAATCAAAGGCAAGGAAGGTTAGCTCCTTGCTTTCTCGGTGTTACAGAGTCATTGTTCTTCCATATTTTTTAATACATATATATACACATTTTTTATAAGCAGACCTCCATGCATCAAGGACCATCTACACTGAGCTGGCGGGAAATGATGTGTTATAAACATGAATTAAAGTGACCATTAAATTTCCTCTTTAATAGGAGTTCATTTTAAGCTTGTCTTTGCTTATGAATTATTTACAAAGAATGCTGTTTAAACTTTTGCTCTGTATGCTTTCTCATAACCTAAGGCAGATTGCCTAATGCAATTTCTATCCTGTTCCTCTTTTTTAAAAAGCTGACCTTAAGATGGCTGCTAATTATTATTGTGGAAGGAAGCAAGAGGGACATCAAATTTCCAGGACAGGCACATATCCCTAATCTGATTTTTACCTATAATCAAATAACCTATGATCAATTCTGAAATATATGTTATGCTTATATTATTATTATTATTATTATTATTATTATTATTATTCCATTTATTACATGCCCTTTCCCTAATGTAATAGGGTGAATTACAACAATTAAAACTCAACATTGAATTGTTTCTGCCCTGTCCCCCTTTCTACAGACACCCATTAAAGTCCTCAGGGAGCATCACTGTATTGACACTTAATTTCATCTGTCCTTTTGGAAGACCATGAAGTTGAACTGGGTCATCATGGGACAGTCAGTTCATTCAGCTAGCATCACTATTGATATTTGAAAGTGATAAGAAGTTGCCATAGAAAGGTAAGTTAACCCAAACCCAGCACCTGCAGGCACCATGCACCCATGAAGACTGAGCTCTCATTTTGAAAAAGTAAGTCTCTAGCCCTCCTAGGATGTTATGAGGTAAAGTGTGGAGGTACCTAGTGATTCATGTGAAATGAGCGTGGTGTGGTTGCTTTGTCTATTGTTCCTGGTACTGAGGAATGCTCCATGATGGTCATAGACACCAATAGGATTAGTCAGAGTGTATATGTGAGAGACCTTCATAATGAGGACCAGCTGGACACAGATGATTTCCCACTGTAAGCAAACGGTCACTTGGGGTGGTAGTCTCTCTCATTTTGGGTTCTGTCCTGCTCCGGCAGCCATTTTGTGTTACGCCACACTCTGCAGCAGCCATCTTGTGTTATGTGTGCCCCCAGGACTATCAAAATTCAAAACATGATCATTATCCAAGAAGGTTGGTGATCCTCGAGTTAACCTTTATGATTGCTGCAAAACAATTGCTGCAGGTCAACTTGAAAGAAGCATATGGGGTTGACCTTGACTTCAGAGAACAGTAGTATTGTTTCATTGCCTTTAAAAGCAAAGGAAGACAGACTGTTGGCACCACCAGACAAGCAAGGAAAGGCTTGTTGAGTTAATAAGGCATAGCATGCTTGGGACTATGCGATTATGCATTGGGTTGTACTCAGTGTCAGAATAGGGGGGTCGAAAAGCCAGCTGGCTCGGCCCCAGCTGGAGTGTCTCCCCTCAGCCTTTCCGCTGAGGCGATCCATAGACCTCTGCTCCGACATGCATCAGTGACTCAAGCTTGCAGACTTGAGCACAGTATACTCAGCAGTGTAAGCTGTGCAACAGAAGAGGCTTGAGGCTGTAGACACATACTAAACTATGCATTTATTACACATAAATCAGGACAAAGAAAACATGGCATCTCTCCTTGCCGTCTTCTCGGAGAGACTGAAAAGCAATAGAGAGTGGAAGTTCCGCTCACACCGGCAATCAGTGCTGGAACGTAAACAGACATGTGACATGGAACAATCCCATATTTGCAGCAAAGGGTGGAATGGAATTCCCAACACTCAGTGCTATTTTTCTTGAAAAATAGGTACCAGAACTCACCATAAATGCCTCCCTTCTCAATATCACCCACCTGAGAGGTGCCGGAACTGAGTTCCAGTGAGTTCTGGCTGAAAAAAGCCTTGGTTGTACTGTATGTGTTTTCTTTGGTTGGTGGTTGTAATTGAAAAAATGAATAAAGAAATGCTAAAAAGGTGGGGGTCAGCATTATTTGACCTATAGGAGATATTAAATGTTGCATTCTCCATACTTCCTCCACCAAAATAGTTTTTGTATCATGGCAGGAACTATTAATATTTTAGATGTTAGCATACTTAGCATGGAATACAGAAGATTCACTCAGCATTTCCAGAAGTATGAAAAAGTAGCTGGTTTTTAAGCAGCAATTCAATCCAAATTAAAGCTAAGAGCCATATCATCTATATAAAATACAAATGTGCCGAAGGAGCAGAGGTTTGCACCAGAAGAATGTTCTCAAAGTTTCGTTAAAACTTACTTCCCTGAATTGGCAAGAAGAATAACTGATGACATCTAATGAGAATATGTAGAATAAGGGAGTTACTGGAGGGAGTCCTAGTCCAAGAAATCAGGGCTGCAATTCTCCCGAGCTGTAGTTTGGGCAAAGTCTGGGAAAGGGTGTAGGGCACAGGGAAGACATGCAGCCAGCTATGTCTTGGAAGTTTACACTAGTTAATTTATGCCTAGGTATCTCTGTGGAAATAGTGCATCTCTAAAATTTATAATGTGCTGATACAAAATGCATCACACCCCGAGCATGCTTTGGGGAGTTTGCTTATACAGTACTCATTTAGCAATATAATGTACGGTATTTCTCTCAGCAGTGCTTTGGGCTACCATTCTACAAAAAGAAATGACTTGTGTAATTGTGGCATATTGTTAAGTATTTCCTAGGGTGGCAGTTTCAGGCAACTATGTTATGTACAGGTTGAGGAACCAAACTAGAAAAGAGCTCCAAGAAAGACAACCTCACTCACCTCTCACACTGCTTTCGATGCCAAAACTGGGTGTTTAAGGATGTGGCTCCATTATACAGCTTTAAACATGAACAAGCCGTCTGCTTGCATTGCCATTAGTCATACCCTACATGGAAATATATACATTTTTCAACACATATGAAAACTTTATGGATTTCCTCAGTATGACTTTTCAGGACTAGTGAAAAGGCTAATGGCCAACTGGCAGCCAGTCATTATTGCTCTTGGCACTTGTCTGGCAGAACAAACCAAAGATGAGATCGCAATGGATGTAGGTTTATGAGACAAGAACTCAATTCGCCGTCCAGATTAATATTTTGAATATTGTAATACTGGTGACAATTCTTTCAACATGTATGCAGCCGATCAGGCATGATGAGTTTTGAAAGCTTTTAAGTCAAGGATTGTTCTGAACTCCCTGTCATGGTCAGGAATTGCCAACTTGCAGTCATCCATGTTTCTAGACAAAATGTTATTTAAATACAATAAAATCTGTAATTAATGATGTAAAGGTATTAGAAAGCAGGAGGTCAAAATGGCAAACAGAGGGATACTCTCTTCTTCTTCAAGGCTCAACAAGATGTTTTAAAAGGGGCAGGGAGATAGATAACAATTAAACACCCATTACCCAAAGATGAGTCTCACTGAACTCAGTGGGATTTAGTTCAGAGAACACACATATAGCAAGTATTGCAGGGTAAATGCTTGACCTGTTGCAGCTGGCTATGACTAGTGATCGAGCAAAAGACAGACACATCTGCAATAGTGGGCCTATTTGCATCCTCAACAATGCCGTTCCTTAGCAAAGCCTTCCTTCTTTCTGGACAGCAGCAACAGAATGCAAACTAATGACAGTGCTCTATGTATCTATATTCTATCAGGGAGGGTGAATAGGAAGAGGAAGCTTTGTAGAGCTTATTTTTAAACTTTTGAGTTATAAGCTCACTCCAAAATTCAGTTAACTTCCTTGAGAGTTACAGACGTCTGCCTCTATGCAGCTCATTGTCGTTAAATGCAGTTTGAGCAATAACGGTTTTGCCAAGCTTAATGCTTTCCAGGAAAGAATTAGGTAAAAAGTCGGTGTTTCAATTTGGCTAAACTTTGCAAGCCACTTTAAGATCTCAGCACACTGCAGAAGTTGGAAACTTGTAATTGTTTTACTGAATTCTGTTAAAACCAAACTGAGTGTGTGTTTTAGAGAGCAAGAGAAAACGGGGGAACACTGGGTTGTACCCATTGCTAGTAACACCTCAAAGTAGACCCATTAAAATTAATAGACACAACTTAACTTAGGTAAATGAATTTCAATGGGATTGACTGAGAACTTAGCTGGATGCATCCCAGTGCATCTCAAATACATCTGAATCCAATAACTCATCCAGTGATTACTTAAGAAATCTAGGTCTGCATCTTTGCAACTTGCAAGACCACTCTCAGAAAGAGGACATGATGTGCTTCAGGGGAAAGCTCAATCAAGCATAGTCAACCTTGTTTTAAAATATTAGCTTCCCCCTCCCGCTAATTTTTCTTTTGGATGTAACAAGAGCAGAACCATCTGGAATGTAGTTAGAGCTCTGTGATTTGTTTCTTAGTTGTGAGCAAAAATGTTTCAAAATAACTCACACGAAAAAGGAGTTCGGACTGACATGACCAATATGCTGCAAGGAATCAAAATTTGGAGAAGGGTTATTTTCCCATCACCGGTGGGCTAAGCGTATCAACACTGAACTGGTCTCAGGTTATGTCCTCTTTAATGGAAAGAAAGAAAAAAGACACAGTGTTTATAGTTTTTATTCATTAACAAAATCAAGAATTTTCCCTCTTGTTTTTAAATCACCTGATTGTATCTTTGTGAGCTGGCCTCCCAAGTGTGCATGAAAACGTTATTATGACTGCATAAACACATAGTGTTTTATGACTACACTAAGCAATTTCAAAACATAACATCTAAACATCATAAAACCAACGGCAATTTGAGAGGTAAATGCATATTGGTGGAATCCCTAGCTGCTGTAGATGTCAGTATTATATTGTTCTGTAGTTTATCCAAGGCCTTGTGAAATACTGCTGTCAATTACCGCCCTGAGAAAATACTCTGCTTTTTCAAGGCATGGTAAATGGCTAGCCTTCATTTAAACTGGCTTCCTTTACTATAGTTTCAGCAACTGCAGCTGGTTTCTCTCCCATTGTGGTAATTTCCCCCACAGTCATTACACACTGGTCACAGTGAACCACCCTCAGCTTGGCTTTCTAGAGTACTGCAAACACCGACATTACAATCCTTCACTGTGGCTCTTTGCCAGTTTTATATTTAATCCTTCCTCCTCTTCTAGGCTTTAGAGCCTGTCCTTTTTTCATGCTGAACTCCCGTGTGGCAAGAGTCAAAGGAGAGTAAATTGTGGCGTTGGAGTAGAAGCCTGGCCTAAGGGCCTTTAACTACACTGTTGTGAAAGTGAAAAGACTGTTGTTTTTTTAATTTAAAAAAAAACCCAGAAAAAGTTTGTGTGTGTGGCTGGGGCAGTGGAGATAAATAAAGAATAGATTTGTCCCAGGATTCCAGACCTGTCAATGCAGTCATAACGGCCTCGGCCCAGGATACCTGAAGGAGCATCTCCACCCCCATCGTTCTGCCCGGACGCTGAGGTCCAGCGCCGAGGGCCTTCTGGTGGTTCCCTCATTGTGAGAAGCAAAGCTACAGGGAACCAGGCACACCCTCCCATCAGATGTCAAAGAGATAAACAACTACCTGACATTTAGAAGACATCTGAAGGCAGCCCTGTTCAGGGAAGTTTTTAATGTGTGACATTTTAATGTATTTTTGATCTTTGTTGGAAGCCACCCAGAGTGGCTGGAGAAACCCAGCCAGATGGGCGGGGTACAAATATATTATTATTATTATTATTATTATTATTATTATTATTATTTCATTGACAACAGCCATTAATATTAACACAGATCGTCTAGTGCAGTGGTTTCCAACCTTTCTTTTGGCCATGCCCCACCTAAGCATCTCTAAAATTCTGATGCACCCCCCCATGACATATAATAATTATTATAATTCTTATAAATATCATTTTCAAATTGCCCACCTTAAAAATCAAATTGCTGCCCTGTGGGGAATGTGCCCCACGTTTGGAACCATGGGTCTAGAACTACTCCTCACTCTAGACAGAGCTCATGAGAAATGCAAGCTCATCAAACTGCAGGTGATCAAGCTGCAAGTTGATGGTGTATTCCAAAATGACGAACCCCATAAGGCATTATAATTTTAAAGCTAATGTCCCTTGCAGCACAGCATCAAGGAGCAACTCACCAGCTAGGAATATGCTGGGCAATTGTAGTCTTTCTTCTTCCAGTCAAAAGGTGTTGCATATAGCTGAAAAGAGCTGTAAAAAAATACTCCCAGACCACTTGGATGTAACTGCATTCTCTTAAAAGGTTCTCCCAAACAAATACAGTAATCTTAAAATGGGCTGAAAATAATATCAGGTCCCCTCAGACACACACCTGCATTTCCCCACAAGTAGCATACACTTATTATGCAAACCTCGAGTAAGCTCTTAACAGTAGTCTCCCTATCATTCACATGAAAGATTAATATCCATCCTAAAATTCTCTTAGCATTCTATATTACTTCCCCTTTCTAATACGCTACATTATTACTGTAGACGTAATAGCATACAGAGCATGGCCAAGCCTTGTTAAGAAAAACCAGTTGGAAATTACGGCTCCAACCTGTCTAGTGCGTGACTAGTCTAATTGCGTGTTTGATTAACATAAATCAACAGTTTACAAGCAATTTGTATTTACATGCACTTCATCTATTGCCCTTCCTTTATAATTTCAACCAACAAGTGTGTAATTTCTCCTTGGACAATATCAGTTACCGCCAAGAGCCAAAATTACATGGTGCCAGGGACTCCAGAATTCATTTATGTTGGAATTCATTTATCTTTGATAATCCTTTCTTGTTCCTAAAATTAAAAGGCACACTCTGGGCCCATTTCTCAAGGGAAACGAAGCCAATGGCAATTTACCCAAGATGCTAGTAGGAGCAGTTTAGGTGAGGAACCCTGGCCTATTCATTAAGCTTTAGTTCAGGCCACGCCCTCATTTGACATTCTAACAGTGGCAGTGAAATCAGCACTTGCAAGGCTTTGTCAGCAAGCATTTAGTGTTCAAATCTCACTGTGCTAATAATTCATTTTTATTTCTCAGAATGCTACAGACCAAGCTTTTCAATCTGGATCACTTACTGTCTTTGTTGTTGTTGTTTAGTCGTTTAGTCGTCTCCGACTCTTCGTGACTCCATGGACCAGAGCACGCCAGGCACTCCTGTCTTCCACTGCCTCCCGCAGTTGGGTCAAACTCATGCTGGCAGCTTCGAGAACACTGTCCAACCATTTTGTCCTCTGTTGTCCCCTTCTCCTTGTGCCTTCAATCTTTCCCAATATCAGGGTCTTACATAAAACTAAAACTTACATGAAACTAAAATCCCAGAATAAAGTAAAAAGAGAGAAGGGGGTCCTTGGAAACCAAAGCATAAACAATAACAAGACTCGGCACGTTTAAAAAAAGGTAATCAAGGTAAATGACACCTGGATGGTTAAGTCCAGTTAGAGGCGACTATGGGGTGCGGCGCTCATCTCGCTTTCAGGCCGAGGGAGCTGGCGTTTGTCCACAGACAGCTTTCTGGGTCATGTGGCCAGCATAACTAAACCGCTTCTGGCGCAACGGGACACCGTGACAAAACCAGAGCACACAGAAACACTGTTTACCTTTAAAAATAAGTATATATTTCACTCTATGCTATATTGTAGATATAATGAAAGAAAACCAAACAATATTAATCAAATATCTACCTTCAGTTATTCCTTGATTAATAGAGTTAGTTTTGCCTCTCTGTATCTTCATCAGCATACAATATATGGAGTACAATATAGTACCTTATATTCTGGATCTTGTAACTGTTCATGCTTTACATATACAGTCATACCTTGGGTTACAGACGCTTCAGGTTGCGTTTTTTTGGGTTACGGACCGCTGAAACCCGGAAGTACCGGAATGGGTTACTTCCGGGTTTCAGCGGTCGCGCGTGTGCAGAAGCGCCAAATTGCAAGCCACGCATGCGCAGATGTGCCGCTGCGGGTTGTGAACGTTCATCCCAAGCATCCCTCTATAAAATGGACAAGGACAAAACCTTGCTAACTTTGTGCTATCTTCATCCATTCTCTACGTATTGAATGTAATACTTAACATGGTACCAGGGATTTTTTTCAGCTGGAACTCACCAGAACTCAGTTCTGGCACCTCTCAGGTGCACATCATTGCCATTCTAAGAAAACGAGGGAAGTGTTCATGGTGTGTTCCGGCACCTCTTTTTCTATAACTACATGGTACTTACTAGAAACCCATCACATCAACTGCCACCAAATGTGCTTTGTAGACACTCAGATCACGAGATGGTAGTGCTCAGACAGAAAATAGGTAGATTGATCAGCGGTTGCTCAGTGGTATTCAAGCCACTGGTCCTTTAAACATGGCATTATACAAAGCTACACCATCAGTTCTCTTCAAACCTATCTTGAGACAATCCCACATGCAAGATTATTTTGTAAATAAATCTGGAGTGTGGTGGAGATTTCTGGGATAAATGCTCTAATTGGTCCTAAAGTGTAAAGGGGGAAATTGCACCTAATTGCACTTGGATGTAATTAAAGCACCACACCACAGGAACAGCTTTGAGTGGCTGGCTACCCCAAATGAGGGTAGTCACACCCTCGGTGAGTTAGGGACTTACCCTGCATGTAAAGACAGTCTCTGTCAGACTGAGTGAACGAGACTGGCCCTGTGCGGGTTGGTAGCTGGCTGAAGAACAGAGAGCAAAGGGTAAACTGACAATTCTTACAATAGAGGAAAGCAAGCGGTAGTTTCCTATCTCCCATCCATATGGATCTCTATTAGAAAACAGTCTCATGAGGTTATCGCAAGAATGAACAAAAAACGGTGCTTTCTGTATTAGAAAGTTTAACAATGGAACCAATTCCCTTTTTTCACAGGTTTGATGTGACCAATTTGCGATCTCTGCTGCCGGGCATCTGACTACTATGAATAAATAGTATCTGGAATCATGAGTGAGAAACAGATTGTGCTTCCTTTGTCTAGAAGCAGGAATGTTGGGGGTAAAAATTGTGAACCTGCAAAGAAGAATGTGGGTTCCCCCTACCCCACCTGCTGCAGGGTGAGCTTCCCAAATATTTGCTTTTCATTGTCTATGCAATCTGGTTCCAGGCTGAAACCTGACTATCATTCCCTGTCCTTGCACCTTAGGCAGGCTGCTCACTTTGAATTTCATTTTTTATAGTGCATTATTTTTAAATGGTGTTCCACTTCTCCTTTCATCAGGCTCCTGTGACCAACACAAAAGCCACCAATTAACACTGTAACACAGCCCTGATTTGAAGAAGGGAAATTAGCTGTGTGATTGACAGAAGGTTTAGCAAATCAGTGCTGTGAAAAACTGGCATCTTTTCAGACCAGACAAAAATGGTTCTCCCTATGCCTGTTTCTGGATGAGAAGATAAATGTGTGGCATTGCTGCATTGAGCCCATTTCCAGATAGGTTTAGTGCTAAAGTTTTGTGCATCTAGACACACCCAAATGCAGCTATTGTGGCACAACTTGTAGCCTCCTGCGATGAAGTTTAGCAAACCAGCAGACATTATGTTCAAATACGTAACTGAAATAAAAGATCAACAGATATTTCTTACCACTGAGATTTCATGCGTTACATATCAAATAGAATGAACCTGATTAAAATCAGTTTTTAATAATGTTTCCTTTCATTTGTGAAGTTAAACAGAGTGATGGCACATCAATTTGCCAAGGAAAGTTGGTTGTGGGATTAAGAATATGTTGGAAGATACCAAACAATTATTTCTAAAGGCTGCATATAACATCTTTCAACACAATATAAAAAATCTCCAATAAAATTCCCTTAGTCTATTTTGACAGCTCATCAAGTACTCAATAAGATTGTTCTAAGCCATTATATCCCTGTAAACATGCAAACAATTAAACAGCTGAAGATCCTGAAACAATAAGAAAAATGAACTCATATCTAAGAATCAAGTATATAAAATGATGCAATATCATGAATTTTGGCTGTATAAATTCTTCAAAAGGCCACTTGTAACTCTATATTCATAACATGTAAATATAATTGCAAACATTTATATACCTTTACTACAAATTTGGAATTTAAACAACTGACGAAGAAAGGTAGAATTAGGGTCCTCTTCATCATCAATTTAATACACTTTACATTATTTATCCAGTAATATCATGTTTATTTCTACAACATTCTCTTAAAAATATATTTAAACCAAAGAATAATATTGACTCTTCCAATAAACTTTGTTCTTATTTACATTCCAATATTCCATTATACACAAAGTAACGACTTCATGACTGTACGTTATCTTTACAGAGCCTTTCATAACATATAACAGCTTGAAGTATGCAATACTTAAGCCAAAAAAGTACCATCAACTGAACAGGGAAGAACAAAAAGTCAGGCCATAGTCACCTCCAAATTGTTTCACTGAAACCAATCACTGTTTATATATATTATATGCAAAAAGAACATGTTTAAGATACCACTGGACCCACTGAAACTATTAAATAATGTAAAGAGCATTTGGTCACTTCTGTATTCCAAGTAGCTCAGAAGCCTCTAGCTTCACAATGTGAAACAACATTTGCTACTACCGCACAATTTTTAACCATTTTCCCTTGGAATTTTAGGGCATTATTTTCTTATAGGCTAACCGATTAACACATAAAAATGTTTCGTAACATTAAATTATCCATACATTATTTTCATTTGCACAACTGGGAACAGAGTTTCTATTCCACTGGGAGACAAATTCTCATATACATTCAAACAAAGAATATAAAGCTACAGCAGCACTTGTTTCAAGTTAGGGTGCACGTGGTTGCAATAAGGAGTATAAAATGAGAGTAAAATCCTCAACATCTGTTAAAACACCAAGGAGCTTAATATACATAATGGATTTGTGCTCTGCTTGCTGACCGGACAAGGAGCGGTTCAGCTTGCTGAGCTCTCCAGTCGACAGACTCCTCCTTCAATGGCCACTGACTGCCCCGCCACAGCTCCAGGGGGAAGTCTTGAAATGTGGGTCTGCAAAGAAATTGGTGAGAAATCAGGAAACAAGAGAGAAATTGGTGAGACTTCAGGTTGATTTAAAAAAGCCACTAGACAAAAGACAAAACAAAAATAGATAACAAAATTATCATTCATTAACATGAAGCCTCAGGAACAGTGGTACCTCAGGTTACAACTACTTTGAGCTACAAAAGCTTCGGGTTACGAACTCCACCAACCCGGAAGTAGTTGCTCCGGGTTGCAAACTTTGTCCCAGGCTGAGAACGGAAATCGCGTGGTGGCAGCGGGAGGCCCCATTAGCGAAAGCGCGCCTCAGGTTAAGAACGGTTTTGGGTTAAGAACGGACCTCCGGAATGAATTAAGTTCGTAACCTGAGGTACCACTGTAACCAAAAACTAACATGTCCAAGATACGTGATTATTAAATAAGGTACATAAAACTGATTTATGCTTTAGTAAATGCTTAACTTGTATTAGAAATATATAATCCTATTTTAACACTCATCATTACAATGGCACAATGTGTGTGTGTGTGTGTGTGTGTGTGTGTGTGTGTGTGTGTTGTGTGCATACACAGATGTGCACATGCACCATGGGAATAAGTTTATTAAATATACTTTAATATGCTAACTGTGCTTTGCTATTTTAGCACAACAGTCAGTCACCCTTTACACTTTTCTTTCATGCTATGACACACTTATGTGAAGTACTAAACAACTCAATCCCTCTTCTCGCACACAAACTAGGATGCTTTTGGTTAAAAATCAGCAAACATGAAGGTTCAGGAGGCGGGATATCAGCAATAGCGCATTACTAATATATACTTTTGCACAAAAGGAATATTTTTTTAAAATGGATGATTCAGCGCTAACGTTTCAAAGGATGTCTTCCTATGAATGCACTCATGAATGAATCAAGACAGTTTTTTGAGAAGGCTTGTTGTGAGTTCTAAGAGTTACTGGCATATATCAAACTGTCCACCTAACACTGTATACAAGTGGCAGCCAGTGTGATGTCAACACCCATTATCCCTAACCATTGGCCATGCTGAATGGGATCCAACATCTAGAGGAGACCATCTTGGTTACCTCTGGCATAGAGCAACCTTTACAACCAGACATTCCACTTAATGTTGGAAAGGAATCTAACAATGTCTCAACACAATGAACATTTGGAGAATATATTACTCAGTTCCTGGAAAACTGCAGTTTTTTTTCAGTAGCATTTTTCTGGCTTCCACTGTGCTGAAAATAGGGGACTTGGAGAGAGGTGGAAATATGGGCATAAAATACATCAATGGGCTTTAGATTTATGGTCTGCTAATGGGCGAGTAAGAAGGAAAGTCACTCCAGATAATCAGAGATCCAAATTATATACCAGGGAAGACGTCACAGAAATAGGTCTGGATTGATTACTACGTTACACAGGTTTGGCTCTGCCTTCAAGAAAAGTCTGCTGAACTGAGGACAGGTCTGTGCTCAGCAAATATTCTCCTCAACAGATCCCTAGCTAGTCACGCAGCCTGCTTCCGGCCAAATTCACACTATGACTATTACATCTGCACTCTTAACGTGGTTAGAGCTGCTGCCATGGGCATTGTGTGTATGTGTCTTTTAAGGGACTGAATCGAGTGAAAGATTATGAGTCATGGAGGTGTGGAAAGTGCCTGTATGAATTCAACAGTGCTTAGTTTATTTTTTGGTTGCTATTTTGTTAATGTTGTTTTATAGATTACAAATGCTGTAGTACTTTCTGAATCCTACAATATGACTTTTGTTGTAATTTTTCTCTATTTTTTTAATTTTTTAAAATATTGTTTTATAGATTGCTAACTGTTTTACTGATGATTTGTTAACCATTCTGTATGATTTGTGTTGCATTTGTGATGTTCTATTATGTTATTGTTATTTATTGCTTGTAAGGAGCTTTGTGATTCATGTGAATGAAAAGCGGCATAGAAATATAATCAATCAATCAATCAAAATCAATCAAGTCTAGGACCCAAGTTCAAATTTCCACTCATCCATGAAGCTCAAGGGATGGACATGGGCCAGTCATACACACAGAAAATTGTTGTGAGAATTGGGGGGAAGCAGTGGGGAGAGAGAAAAGAACAGTGTATGAGCTCCTTGGAAGAAAGTAATATATTATACTAATGTTTTCATTTTATAAAACAAGTTGATAGAATTGCAAGGGACAGTGTTGAAATGAAAAATCCATTTTGCTTGCTTTAAAGCTTCAATAAAACAAGTCACCAGTATGTCTCAAGGCAGTCACAATCATTTTAACAGTATAACTGGGTCACAGGGTATATTCCAAATCTTGAAATCAAAGGAACACATGTGCCCCCCCCCCACAAAAGGACATAGGAACCTTTTAATTTTTAGACAATGAAGTTTTTCATAAATGAGTATTAGCTAATTTATGGACACCATAAATAGTTTGAAACAATATGTTCATACAGAAAGCAAGCTATAAGAAAGGAATACTGCATGAACACATTACACAGTGGTACATGCATATTTCAGCAGTTCTGCTGCCATATGGCAGAAATGGCATTACTAACAGTTGTGAAAAGTATGATTTTGCCCAGTTAGCATTCTCAAACCTAAGCAGGAATAACGGTTGTATCCCATTTGCACACAGACACCTGCTTGCGCAACACACTCACAGTCCCTCTCCTCCTTGCAGAGCCAGAGAAAGGGGTATTAAATGCAGTATTAAATGATATCCCAGCCTCCACCCGTTTAACCGCCATGTGTACATACAGTGGCTTCAGCCCTTAATACACTTGATGGCAGCCATCAAGGGAAGGGAACCAGGAGGCGATGCAAGGCTTCATTCTGAAAACTGGCAATTACTATCTGCTGAGAGGTGGCAACAAAACACTACTGGGGCCCTGACAGATGTGGGAATTCCACCCACATCTGGCTTCTGAATGCATACTACAGCTGCTCATTGAATTGGTCAATGATATAAAATACTTGATTTGCAAAATCCTTTTGGAGGGTGGGCGGGGGTCGTCACACCAACATCCACTGAAAAAACTGCAGCATACAGATTTTTGTTTATGAGTTTGGCTTTTATTTTTCTTTGGACCAAAATTTAAATCTACCATTATTAGAAAATGGGGGGGGGGGGGAGAGAGATGTACATTTGGCAATAAAATATAGAAGCCAGGCCTAGGGGATGATTCAGGCTTCGCGGCACAAATTCAAAGTGTAAGGAATAGGTTTAAAATTGGTAGATGGATTTGGAGTGTCTTCACTGACTGAGTATTCAAAATTTAGACTTCATACTAGACTGACTAAAAACATAAATCACCTGAGTCTCGATTATATTCCAACTCTGACTGTATCAAAATTTCAGAGTCCTAACATCTCTGGAGAACATGCATTTACAAAAGTGTTACTTGGATACCAGCCAATTAGCTACAGGTGGCAGGTGTTACTATGTCAAGAAGCTGTTCTATTCCACAGCATGATAAAATTACTGTCTCTTTTCAGAACACTTGCTTTGCATATTAAAAAAAGAAATACCTCAAAGCCATGGCTTCTGATGTTTTTAGATTTTCAACAAGCACCAAGGTATTTTTTGAGGAGGGAGAAGGAAAAGGGCACCAGTACCAGTTCGACTCTTCTCATACTCATACTTTAGGGTCACTATAAGCCCAAACCACACCACTGCTAGATTGGCAGAGTCGTGGTAATCATAAGATGCTAAAAAAACCCTAAAGGGGCCAATTCATTTTCCCTCCCGAACTCTCCCACCATACAGCCCTATAATAACTTAGTAGCCTGGAATACTGAGTAAGAGATTTTAAAAACTGATAACTGGGTGGGAAGGAGAGAGCGAGAGTATAGTGCTGGAAGAGGAAGATGGATATATTTAATATCTACATTTATGTCGATGGAGAGCTCTCTCCCCTCTCTGGGAAATAAAAACTAAAATAAAAGTCTTGTTGATGACAACCAGGAAATGATAGCTATATGCCATCTATATAAAAATGGAAGAGAAAGAACCACCTCAGTCTGCTTCACACAGAATATATATATTCAAGAGCAGGTTGCCCTGTGGTCTAAACTACTGAGCCTCTTGGGTTTGCTGATCAGAAGGTCGGTGGTTCAAATCTGCGCAGCGGGGTAAGCTCCCAGCTTCTGCCAACCTAGGAACTCAAAAGCACGCCAGTGCAAGTAGATAAATAGGTACTGCTGTGGCGGGAAGGTAAATGGTGTTTCCGTGCGCTCTGTTTTCATCATGGTGTTCCGTTGTGCCAGAATCAGTTCAGTCATGCTGGCCACATGACCCAGAAAGCTGTCTACGAAAAAACGCCAGCTCCCTCGCCCTGAAGCTTGATGAGCGCCGCACCCCCCAGTCACCTTTAAAGAGGGATGCCCCTTACAAGAAACCCAGCCCAATGAGAAGTAAACCATAGTGTTCTCACAATGCTGACTATTGAGGAGATGGGGAGAAAAGTAGCATTGGGATTATGCGTAACAGAGTGGATGGAAACCTGAACAGTAGCAGTCTACACGGCAAGAACTTTGAGGAAGCGCCCCAACTGTACTTCCTTAAAATTGTGTTTTAGAAATCTCTGATATTTCCAAACAAACAAGAGGGCTACAGTTTAAACACACATATATGCTACAGTCCTACGTAAACAAGCTTGGAAAGAAGCACTAAGGCAACAAGTGGAGCTTACTGCTCATCAGATCAGATTGGAGGTGTTAAAGCACGGGTAGGCAAACTAAGGCCCAGGGTCTGGATCCGGCCCAATCGCCTTGTAAATCCGGCCTGTGGACGGTCAAGGAACCAGTGTGTTTTTACATGAGTAGAATGTGTGCTTTTCTTTAAAATGCATCTCTGGGTTATTTGTGGGGCATAGGAATTCGTTCATTCCCCCCACCCCATATAGTCCAGCCCCCCACAAGGTCTGAGGGACAGTGGACTGGCCTCCTGCTGAAAAAGTTTGCTGACCCCTGTGTTAAAGCTTAGGTGAAGCTGAGTGAGGTCCACCATCAAGCACACAAAAAAGTACAGTGAGGGATTGCATTTCTGCTATTGGCAACCGCGTAGAGCATTTAACAAAAGGAACAAGAGCCCACCCCACAATAATAAGCACTTGCCTTCCTACCACCCATACATGAACCCACAGTGAAACTGCACCACGAACGCTTCCCTCAGGCACTCACTTATGCCTCTCTATAATCTCCAAGACGATCTGAATGAGACTTCTCCAAATGCCTATTTCAATGCTGTTTTCAAAGAAACACAGCGCTAATTTTAGGAAGCGTTGCCCCGAAGGACAGAAATGGCACGAAAGCGAGTTGTACTGAACTGTAGCCCAAAATAACATTTCCACAGGCAAATGGGTTGCTTCCTCCCAACCAACCATTTCCCATCTTCCTCCTCAAAAGTGTATTTTAAGACAGACTAAATACAGTTGCTGGAAAAGAGAGTGGTTACAAGCTCAGAGAGCTACTATTTTTTAATCGAAACCTTGATCATTAGCCATTTACAGCCAGGCTGCTCTTGCTGTCTACTTCTATTAAGCCAACCCAAAAACTAACCGCAGCCAATGGACAAACTGCTGGGTCTGGTGCTTCTATTGTTAGGTGGTTGGTCAAAAGAGAGAGAGAGAGAGAGAGAGAGAGAGAGAGAGAGAGAGAGAGAGCAGGCCCATGGAAAAACACCTCATGATGGCAAGTGCTATTCTTGAAGGCAAACCTCCAAATAAAAGGGAAATCCATCAACAAGATCTTGTAGCACAATCTGTTGCCTATTTTCTTAAAAACAGAAGTTCCTAGAGCTTCTTTCAGATGCACTACATCTAATGCCAAAGGCATTGCATACTAAGCAGGCAACATATAGAAAAGAACAGTCTTTTAGCAAACACCAAATATTATTTTAAGATACCAGGTCTTCTTTTTTTTCTCGTGTTTCGCATCTATTTTCTGCTGGCACACTCAGCACTTTTATCAATATATGAGTACCAGCACCTTGTTTTATACAAAAAAGCACTCTCTTAGTTCTACATGCCATCTTTAAGTTTGTCTCAACTCCCAAGAACACAGAAATCCATCTTTTACAAGAGCAGTTGGTTTCTTAAGCATTAGCAGTTAAGTGGTCATGACATTTGCGGTTTACTTTCTGGAAAACATTTGCAGCCATAGGCTCAAAAGAAAAAGAAGGATTAACTCTCCTAAAGGAAGGTCACAAGCATAATTTAAAAGTGAACCAAGAAGAGCAGCTGTGTCTGTCAGCCCAATCAAAATTGCCAGCTGGAGAATTTGCCAGCAGTATGATAACAATGCACACCAGATGTCCAATGGAGGTTCTGCAAGTAGGAAAAGATCTCTGGGCAAACTGAGCTATTAGCCTTGTTAGCATCAATGCCTCATAGGCTGCCTTCAAGCCACATACTTCCCTAGTACTACATAAAGTTTAGGATTTTAGTACTTCTAATCTAACACTGAACTTGCCTAGCAATAAAGCAGTAGTAGCACTAGCACTCCTCTCTCCCAAAATACTGACTCTCTGGGAATTAGGGAGATAAGCCATTTTTCTTGGCATAAAGACATTTGGATGCAGGAAACTGGATACTGTGAGGTGTCATAAGGAACAAGGGCGCAGAGTGCAAGCTGAAGGATTGACATGTCTTCTTTTTCTGAATCTGTATCAAGTGTCATAACACAAGTCCAGAAGAGCAAGGCATCAAAGCGGCAGATTCCTTTTGATAAGGAATATTTTTATTGTATTTTTTTTTACAATGCCATAAAATATTCACATATGGCTAAATCAGCAACTGAACTGTACTAGTTTGGCTTGCAATATGACTTGTTAAAATAAAAGCTTGAAAGGAAAACCTGTCTCTTTAACTTTACTTCCTCACTGAAAACACCTGATTAAAAAGCAACCCAGACATAGTTGTGTTGCTTGTATCTAGACCATTCAATGGGCAGGCTTATTGTTCCTTAGCTTTCTCAGAGGCAGGCTTAACTTTCCACCCACCACTTCCATCTTCTTACAAGCCATTGAAACTTATTTACATCAGTTTCACTTCATCAGTGCATCTACTTTTGCTTTATTCCATAACTCTGATCCCAAAAGTATTCAGAGGTCAAAGATCTGAATGCAACTTTCAACTTGACAAAGCAGAAGGAGCAAAAGGAAATGCTCTTGCCAATATTTTTTAAAGTGGATTTGCAGAAGAACACTATTCATTTTCTATTGCTTATAGTCACTATTTCAGGTATGCTATGCCAGAAAGAAGCCCACTTAAGACATCATGGCCAAGCATAATTTAGTAATTGGGAGCACCCTGTGGCCTATGGTATGAACAACTTAGGAAAAGGGGATGGTGCATAAACACAAATAAGCACCTGTGATCATTGAACAAATAGCATGGCCATGATATCTGAACTGGGCCAAGGCTTGGTATGGACATGGAAAGATAGAATCCAAATTCAACCAGGAAATTTACAACCCTTCAGCATCCTTTATTTTTGTTTTGGTACAAGAAAAGGATAGGGAGAAAACACACCCCAAGATAACCACAATTTTTTACACACTAAGTCAGGGGTCAGTAAACTTTTTCAGCAGGGGGCCGGTCCACTATCCCTCAGACCTTGTGGAGGGCTGGACTATATTTTGAAAAAAAAATAAAATGAACAAATTCCTATGCCCCACAAATAAGCCAGTGATGGATTTTAAAGAAAAGCACACATTCTACTCATGTAAAAACACCAGGCAGACCCCACAAATAACCCAGAGATGCATTTTAAATAAAAGGACACATTCTACTCATGTAAAAACACGCTGATTCCCGGACCGTCCGCAGGCCGGATTTAGAAGGCGATTGGGCAGGATCCAGCCCCCGGGCCTTAGTTTGCCTACCCATGTGCTAAGTATTATTTGTGACTTACCTTAGCTTTGCCATCCTGTGCTGACATATACCCGACACACATGCTCTCTGTTGTATGACTCCACAGGAACTCTACTATGGGTTTAAACACAACAGTAATGCTTTACTTATTAAGTGTAAAAGAAAGCCCATGTAGAGCCATGCTCACAGATAGCAAGAGAAATCATGCTAAATTACAGGCAGATAGCTAGGATTATCCATGTCTTCCCTTCAGGAGAGCATAGTAGAAGACCCTAGCCACATACTATCCCCCACAGTCTTTGGTGAATAGAAGAGGCAATTTTCACCAATTTCCCCTGCAGCACCCTGCACTCTCCCAGTCACATTCCATTGCAGGGGCTCAGGGAACCCTTGAAAACAGAATGTAAGGTAGCACGAAGCAGGGAGGGGGCAGAGTAAGAAAAGAATAATTGGCAAAAACGGCTTTCTTCCTGCTTTCACTCATCGAAACCTTTCATGGAACAAGCAGTCTTCCGCAAATGGAGGAACGAAACTGGAAACAGCCAATAGTAAAATTCTGACATCTAGACAGCTTTATGGGCTATAACTAATTGATATGAGTTGTAATTTGTTGACGTCCATTCATCTTCCCCCAGCTCTCACAAGCTGTAGTTAATGTAATATATCTAAATTAAAGAACTTAAAAATAAGATATTCAGTAGGGCTTTCTTCGCACACTTACCTAGTAGAGACTGCTTATCCTGTGGAGAGTTCGACTCTGCAGAACACCGACAAGATCGAAGAACTATCACACCTCCAAGAACACCATCCTCGTTGGCTAGAAAAGGTGAACCTGGGTGGAAATTTGGGGCGGGGGGGGGGGGAGAACAATGAAAATCAATTTTTAAAAAGTGCACTATATAGTACAAATTTGCCTCCATATGTTTTAAAACAAGTAGCATTTTTCTGTGTATCTGAGGAATCACTTGAGTATGCAAAAAATAAAATAAAAAATCTCCCTTGTCTGCTGGTGGTCCCATTTCTCTGTCCTTCACATCAAATTAGGCCCATTACATTTCTCATTAGAGGAAATGATAAAAGATACAATTCATGTTCAACCAGGAGCGTTTACTGCAAGACGCATGCTAATGCATGCGGTCATTATCTTCCCATAGAGGCCAACATGTGTCTCCCATATGTAGAATCAACCACCTCACTCCTGTCCAAGGTTGTGCAGTGCAGGTTACTCAGTACACATGTAAAGTTAAGAGCTTGTTTGTGTTCCGGTATACCCTGCACCATATAGGAAAGGGAGGGAGGATCCAATTAAGCCCTATAGCAGAGGTGGGGAATCTTTTCCAGCTCAAGGGTCACATTTCCTCCTGGGCAAACTTCTGGAGGCTGCAGGCAAGTGCTGGGCAAAGCCAGAGACAAAAGTGGGTGGAGATTCTTAACCTCTGTACACCAAGGAGTACTATACAGCACATTCGAGCCATAGAGAAGTCAGAGGTTTCTGCACACACATCTCTCCACCCAGGCAAGCAACTGGCAGTAACACACATTCCAGCCATCTGACTGGGTTGCCCTAAGGCCATAGAGGAGGGCCATTGATGGGTATGGCCTCAGACAGAGGAGTGGCCTAGAAGACAGCATTAGGCCCAGGGGCTCCCTACAGAATCCCATCCCATACTGCCAGAGGCATGGATCACTCACTCAGATTGAAGCATTTCAGCCACTCTTCAAAGCATTTTGAAACATTCTTTTCTTGTGTTTTCAAAGAAGAATAAGCACGCTACCACTGAAGTGACAATAAACAGCAGGTCCTAAATTACTGGGACTTCTACGAGTTGCAGTACCCACTACTAAAAAAAGCTGGCCAAAGTCATTGCTGTTTGCATCCTGTGCTTTCCGAGCTGAGAAGCCTGTCAGAAACGTTGGCAAGAGAGCAGAAAACAACTGTCTGACAAATGTTTCCTTTCAAATTCAAAACATGCTTTTTTGAAAAAAGGTGCTATACCAGAAGCTGTAATTATTTTTAAATTAGCCAAATAAAACTTATGCATTCCCCTTTTGTGTGACTTGAAATTAATGTCATACGCTTTCAGAACGTGGAAAGTATTTTATGGTTTAAATATGACCTAAACATCTTAAGCCACAAGATTAAATGCAAATGTAACAAGTTAGTTAAGGCCAAAAAGTCTTTGATCACACATTTGCTAAATGTTTATTGCCCTAAATATTGAGCAACAACAGTGAAACACAACCATTTCATTTATTTTTACTTGAAAAAACGTACGTTTATGACAATTTTTTTTAACCTTGGACAAAGATGTGTTTTTTCATCATAAGGTCTTTGAGTACTCTGCACAAAGATGGTACAAAACACTGAATGTAGATCCTGTGCAAAAGCTGCTGGAGGCCAAGAGGCCTTGAGCAGCAGCACTGACTGAAACAGAATTCAGTCTCTACACCCATCCCAAAAGAAGTGCTCAAGGATTTTGGTATCCATTCCACAGACTGTCACACTCTAGCAGAAAAGTTCCTGAGATTCCACAAATCAATTAGCAATTAGTCAAGTAAAATCCTGAGCACTCTAAATATTAACACCGTAATTTTTTGTGGGGTGGGGTGAGGCTAGAAACATCAATCTAGGTGGCAGCCCAATCAAGTTGTTTAACTAGCTTGTCCCACTGATTTCTATGGGACTTTAAGTGCAACTAACTTTACTTGCTTTATGGACCACTATCAACAGATGTCCTTCCACTCATGGAAAGATTGCTTTATACCACACCAAAAAAGTGAAAACTTAGGGCCACACTACAAGTGACTGTCATATGTTTAGCCTGGGAGTGCAGGCTTTTTTTTAAAAAAAGCAAGCACTTGGAGGTGGGCGTTAACCTTTTGCTCCCTGCTACAACTCTAATCTGGAGCAGCCCCCCAAACTCTGCTATTTGCATGGGTAACAGTGCTTGTACTGGAGCCAATCTCTTCACCATGCGGGAAGAATGAGAGAGATTTTAAACTTCAAGCCTCTAGCTAGAACCACCAAAATGTGAGAAAGCACTGTTTGCTTCATGATTGCTGCAAGATATGTCTGCAGTACATAGCTGGGTAGCTAAGGATATGAAGGTAACATAACGTTAATCTTAGGGATATAGTTCAATCTATTTCACAAAGCCATGAGCTAATTACTACTCCAAGTAACAGCTACAATTAGTTTCTCCAATACCGGTGCTTAACTTTTGAGGAGCACAAATGTTTTGAGGAGGCAAAATGTTTAACTGATAAGCTACCTTTCACAGATAAAAACTCAGCCGCTGAACAGAACCTAGGAACCAATGTGAGCCTGGCTCACAAACAGGAACTTTGAGGCCGGGCCTGACAAATAAGGAGTACTCCAGGCTCCGGGACCTTAAAAATGGGTGGGAAATATGATCTATCAAATGAACACAAAGACCCCAGGAACCCCCTAACCTTCCCAAAAAGTATCTGAGAGACCTAGGAGATTCACAGTGATAGAATCATATAACTGTAGAGTTGGAAGTGATCCTGAGGATCATCTATGTATCTGTCCCATACGGGGATTGAACCTGCAACCTTGGTGTTATCAGAACCACACTCTAACCAACTGAACTACCCAGGCATGTCTGACTTTTTCAAGGGACAATTTTTTTACGGCCGGCTTTATGAATCAATATGCCTGCCCACCCCTCCTCAAAAGCCAAAGAGGGAACTTACTCTGGTTACAATAATTTCGAGAAAGGCTGCAGCAGCCTGCTCATGGGCTTTCCCTTCATTCTGGATTTCTGAAGATTTAAATTTATCTAAACAGATTGCAGGTTCCACCCACCTTCAAAAACGTATTTTTGAATAATGCCCATCTGCCCCAGGATGACCATTGGTCAGAATGGATGGATATTGTAGTCCAACAAAGTCTGGAGGGCATCAGGTTGGGGAAAGCTTTAAATACTAAAAACAGGAAGACTTCAAATACAATTTTTAACGTTAATTAACAATTCCGACATATAAATGGATAACATAACCAAGCTATCGTGCTCTTTGCCATCTATCATGTTACTACTAGTCCTTTGTTTATGCTCTAGGACGCAATGAATTTTAAACATGTTATTCCCAATTCTTTTTTAAAAGCAACATTTCCCCACCGTAACTATTTAATAACTAACATAGCTGAGTAACGTTAATTACTACATGAATTTTATTAGGTTCATATTCAATAAAGAAATTCCTGGTTCCTAACCTCATTCTTACTTATTCTAGTGCAATAAAGGAAACTTTGCAACATGTCATTTCCATATCAAAGCATCTTTACTGTGTAAGGGGAAAACATGTACCATGTGATGTGCGCCTACACGCATGTGAAATTACTTGAGACGCACCATCTCTTTCCTGGGAAGGAAAGGGGGTGTCAATAAAGGAAAATCCATTTGTGAAACATCTTGACACTTTCTGAATTTGGGTATTTGCTAATATAAATTGTGACTAGGAAGGTCTTGTAGCCAGGACCATCAAGTAAAAGAAGTAGCAGTAGTACTATGCGGAAAGTGAACAGCAGTTCAAGAATACTTGTCACGCCTTTTTTCGAATTCACTGAAGTTTTTACTAGCAGTATTTTGAGACTTTGAAGTTTGAAATATAAATATTTCTACTACATTTCAAGCTGCATAGTAACATCTAAGCCTGTTCATAAATAAAGATTTACTCAAAAATACACACACATAGTAAACAGCAACCATGATTTGCATCAACAGGGTGGTCAGAGGGGAAATGTTACCCAGATTTGTGTTGGGGGGGGGGGAACCCAACTCTAAACTTTTATTGAGAAGATTACATTATTTTCTGGAGGAAGGGATGCAGTAGATCTAGGCTCTGATCCAAAAAGGAACCTCATAAACTTGGAAGGGCAAGAGTTTTTACTTTCTGTACACTTTTCATAATAGCAGCTAATGCTGCTGAAGAGATAGGCCAGTGTTCAGTTTAAAAGGCAGCCACCCTCCTCAGTAGTGAGTACCACTGTTGCTTTTCGTAACTGCGAATCATCTGTGTATGCTTTCAGTCTGGGGACAGGAGAAATGACCTGGAAGAGGGAGAAGAGAAGCAAGAGATGCTGATACCCACAGCATTCTCAAAATTTCTGATGTGCCCAAAGGTTCAAAAAGATGCAACATCTCTTGGGGACTCATTTGAGCCAAAAAGCAGGGTAGAAAATTGACGGCAAAAAAGCAAAACAAACCAGTAGTCCTAATGGCATCTCCAAGTCCTAAAGGAGCTCTAAAGGATAGCAGCCAAAATAATCCCCCTACCCCAATGGATCAGCACAGCTGTCGAAACAAGATCAGAATTTTGTTTCACCTGATTAGTTTCCACTTCATATTATCAGAAAATGAGTTCTTAGGTTTGATGCTGGTCTACATGTATCAATCAGTGCACACATAAAACCAGTTAATTTATTGTACTATTTGACTCCTTGGTATCTACCATCAAGAACAGACTGCATGCCATCCCATTTAGTTTTATTATTCTCACACACAGATAAATACAGGCGTCTCCTCACTTACGCACATTTTGACTCATGTGTGACCGCCTATATGCATAGTGCTGGGAAATAAAGCAAACAATTTAAACTGTAAAAAGGCACAAAAACGGCAAAAATGGTCCGAAAAGAGCAGGGAAACTGCAAAAATGACCCACAGCCAAGCACTAGGAAGTCTACCTCTGAATCAGAGCCAGGCCTTTCAGGGTACCAGTCTACCCCACCCTCCTTGCCGTTGTTTCCACATTGTCCTCTCCAGCGAGGAGGAAGATTGAGAGCCTCCATTCACACCAGTCTGGTAAGTGCTGCTGCTTTTTAAAGGGGTTTTTTCATGAGGTTCCAGGCTTTTAGAGGGTGTTTACAGGCTTTTTAGATGGTGTTCCCCACTATTTAACATATACCCGCAGTACCTGGGAACGTAACCCCTGCATAAGTGGGGAGACACCTGTATTCACATACAAATTGAGTTTTCTGTCATAACTTTATGAAACATGAATGTGGATCAACATACTGCAATATTAAATTGGATACGTAAGAAAAAGTGTTTTTCTTCTCTGCAGTGTCTGTTGTCAGTCTTAAAGGCTATACATTATACTGTATGTGCACAGGTACAAATATAACATCTGCAAAGCAGTATTTGTGCTAGAAACTGCTCGGAAATGTTTTCAACAGCCTCTACAGTGTCTGTAATGCAACAAATGCCAAAAGTAAGTCTAATAAATTTATACGGATCACCAGTTTAGTTTTCATCCTACAGAACTGTGTACACAAATACTTTCTTTTAAAGAAAAATGGTTGGCTAAATGTTATCAATTATCACACAAAAATATTGCCTTTATGCAACAGCAATATTTAGTTGGGACAACGCACGGTTTAGATGGCATATGCTCAAGGGAGACAGATGATCATGCCAATAATTCTTTGGTACCAATCAGATTCCAAGGTTTTGTTTTGTTTGTTTTTTAGAACAGCTTTTAAACCAAGTTAGATGGAAACAATCCAAAAATTCAATAGACCTTTGGCTCCGCTTGCATGGCAACAAGGGTTTTGAGACCTACTTCACAGTACGCTTTGGCGAGGTGGGGGCTGGAACAGCCAGGTCTCCACTCAAAGGTTTTTCCTTCCCATGTTAATGATGTGAATGCATGTGTTACTGTTTCTAGGTCAGAACTGAAAACAAAGTGTACTTTTTAAACTAGACTTTATAGGGTTCTAAAGTTCCATAATCAAAAGGCTTCAAGCTAGCTAATGAGTTTCATGGAGAAAAATGATGAAGGAATTTCCATTTTCCTTTTAAAAAACAATTCGCTTGCGTGCCCATGATAATGTTGGAAAGGATACTTGGTTCTGCATGCATGTTTCAGTATGCCTGAAGTTCCATACTTACAATTTAAAAATCATTTTGTACTTTCAGAGTATATTGAAGAAATGAAAGCATTTTCTTCAACAAAAACAAACTCACTTGTTAGCTACTGTTAATTAGGCATCCTGCACAGAAACAAATAATAATAACTTTCCCCGCCACTGGTTAACATTTCCCCCTTTTTTATATCATCAAGGAGGTGGTACAACAAAGGAAACAGGGTGAGCGCTTCAGGACAGCAGAGAAAGCCAGTAAGAAGGTTTTGATTGACAGACCTAGACTAACACCCACACCATTTATTTAAAGCAATCTTTTACCACTTTAACATTTGTAGCTTCACCCAAAGAATTGTAGGAACTGTAGCTTAAAAGTGCTGGGAACTGTAGCTCTGTGAGAGGGTGTCCTGGCTAGATGTCATCAACCAAAAGGAAAGGCTGCTACCCCAAAACTATATGGACCTTTGATAGGTCTGTTGCTCTCCTTAATGCTTCTCTAGGGCAATTTGGATTCTTCCCATACAGAATTACAGGGTGGGGCATCAACAATGAGCTAGCTGATGGGACCTCCTTCCTTCTCTTGGTTAAAAAAAAAGTATATCTGAAGGTAAAGGACTATTTAGAACGCTTCCATCTGTCTATGCCTGATGAATGATGATACCATGGGGACAGCAAGACAGCTGCTTCATTCTGGAGGTGGGGCATCCTTTTTGGCCACAGAAGCAGCCACCACAAAATGATAAAACTGCAAGGAGAAGATTCAAATAAATACTCCCTTTGCAAAACAATGCAAGCATTAAAAAACACACACGAAAAAACACCACTATCAGGTTTCCAAAGGTTTAAAAGTACTTTACATGCAATTCTACACATATTTCCATTGTTAGCTTCCCAATCTGCCTGCCTGCAAAACAGGATAAACATTCCACAAGCTGCATTCCACAAACTTGGCTGAATTTGAAAGGACTAGACGAGTTATAAAATCCACTGTTCTTTATGAAATATGCTTATGTATACAGAATACCATTTCCACTCTGCATCAGACCATTGTGTACATCATCCTACATCTTCATTAAACTATCTGTATAAAAAAAATAAACAAACCAGGTACTCTACTGTTAACTCAATCATCATTTATGTCCTCCGCAGTGCTTGCTATAAATATCAGATGACAAAAGACCATCTGCCACTAATTCTGCCCATCACTTTTTTTTTTTTTAAAAAAATATCCAGATGTTAAGTCAGGTATTCCTAAGTGGGAAGAAATCTTCCCAAGCCTCTGTAGATATCTGAATTATGAAAAAAAGTTGGGGGGGGGGAGAAGGAACATCAGCAGAAGTGTGGTGGAAAAAAGCTGTATTCAGCTGCCCTTGAGGCTAATATTTTCAGTTCTGACTATCCTTTTCAGTTATTTCTTGCCGAGCTATTATTTCTCTAAAGATCTGTACTGTTATAGTAGACATTTTAATGTTACCATAAAGCATGCTACTTTTTTAAAAAAAAAAAAATTTGAGAACAAGTCATACTGTCATAAGAAGGCTATTAGCCTATTTTATTCACAGTTATTTCATAGGAGAGGGAAAACCTGCATCATACATTACACCTCAAGCAAACTTTTGTATCATTTAAAATCAACAGCAGGAAAGTTTTTAAGAAAAGAGCTATTCAGCATATGCCCAGTATTTTTGCATAACCTCTTAGGTGTACTTTTGCAAAAAGTTAGCTGTGCCGATTCCGAGAAACGGCAGCTTTTAGCAAACCATATGCTGGGGTTTCAGGATTCTTTGGACCCAACACTGAAATATTCTGTCTCTAAAAAGTTCCCTTTCAACATTTCAGCTAAAACACAGTAGGGCTCCCTCCACCTTCACACAAGGTTATCAGCACAGAAAGGCATGTGTTGTACTTTAAAAGGCTCTAAACATCCCTTTCATAAACATTCTTATAAAAATACAGTAGTGTTTTGTGAAGTAGTTACTGGGGAGGGAAACTATTCAGGATGTTGTTAAAATTACATCAAGGTCTTAATCAAGTTAAAGAGCCATTCACTTTTTCATTGTTTGTTTTGGTGACTAATGTGACAGAAGATAAACTAGAGGTTAGGGCTATCTTAGATTTTGCAAAGAAGGCAGATTTCTTTTTTAGGAGCCCTCACATAAAACAAGAGCATTAATGTCCTTTTAATCATAAATAAAACACGTATTTCCAGGAATAATGAGAGCCAAGCCAAAACAAGATCATTCTAATTCAAACACTGCTACTATGACAAGAAATCTACTCAGTAATCCTCATTCTGTCACTTCTTGAAAGGGCTTTTTCTTGCCTAAAAACTAATGGCAAACTTTCAACAGAAAAAGTTGCCCATATTTAGCAAGCTATCCCAAACGGAAAATAGTAGTACTAGTAGTCCTAATAGTTTAAGTCAACGAGAAGTTGGTTGAAATGGTTTCATAGAAACATTCTTAATCCATATTTTCAACACATGCACACATCCCTTCAACATAAGCCGTTACAACTTTTGGGTAAAATTCCATTTCTATTAAGGGCTTAGGATTTTGTTGCGAACCTCTTACACATTCAACCACCTACACATTTTCATTTTCAAACATCAACACAACAAAGCAGGTGGGATCAAAGAATCAGAAGGATAGCACAGAAGAAAAGGTATTGAAGTAAAAAAAGTAGGAAACACAAAAGCCACCAAGATGTTCCTCAATATTGCCTATTTATATCTCTCTTTTATACCCTGAATTATTTCATGTGTGTGTTATACACACTATAACTATCGGCTCGTGTCACAAGACCCCCTAACATACCAAAACTATTTCTGCTGCAACAGGCTTAAGACAAAAACAACAGAGTCTTCTGGAACTCTGAAGTTCAACCCCCCCACCAAATAGACTAGACTGCATTGCATTGAGCAGGTATTAGTCCCCAAAAGCTAAAGCTCTAATCAAGGTGTTACTCTTCCCAGTGTCACAAGCCTCATTTTTTTTGCTGCAACAACAGCACAACATGGCTACACCTCTGGCAAGACTCACCTCACTTGCTCTATAAAACATTTACTAAAAACTGCCTGTGCAGAGTAAAAGGTTTAAGTGAAACTGCTTGCTCTGCAGATGTGAAGCAACACCTGTCTCCATCTAACACAGAAGGTGAACTCCATTAATGCCAATAACCAGCACTCTGAAACACTGGCTTCTTGGTGTTTAAGGGAGCATGGGGACATTCTAAGAATACCCACTTGAAGCAACGCTAGGAAGTTTGTGAAGTGGAACACTGGTACAAGTGTCACTTTGGGGAGGATCAGAAGAGAAGTAGACAGACACCAGCTCTTAGCCTCTTCAGAGATCTGCTAACAAATCTTGTACTTACTAATAAACTTGTTTTGCATAGTTTCTAGTAGAGCCTGATGAGCATCTTCATTTTGCAAAGCACACGAACATTCTCTGGCCAATAAGGTCCGTACAAGGTGCTCCCCACAACCTACACAAAACATTAACAAGCATGGTTAACCTATATTTGTATGATTGGGGAAAGCACTAAACACAAATTTTGGGGGCAAATCATTGCAATCTTGTCTCTGCGCAAATCCCAAGAAAGATTTCGGAAAGTTAAGACATATGAACAAAGCAGGAAAATAATGCAAAGGAAAAGAAAACATTTAAAAAGTGAAGGCATCAGTTTTATTCTGTATTAACTCGTATTTCACAATGACTTAGGATTCCACAGCACAGTGAAGGCTGTTGTGTCAAGTACAACCCAACAGGCTTACTTTCAAGAAAACGCCTACTTATTTAGGCCTCAAGTGTCAACGTACAAAGTGTTTGATAACCCTTCTCTCATCCATGCCTTCCCTAACCTCAAGTTAAGACCTTTTTTATCGATTAACTGTCAAGTCCAATTTATACAGACACTCAAGGAAGCACATAGTTGTGCATCAGTTAAAGATATACCAGTTTTAGAAATACAGAAACCTTTTGATGTCAGAATTTTCACAGATTGGTTAGGGGGATTGGTTAAGAGCCAGTATAACTAAGTTTAAGGCAACATTTCTCTCCTCACTCACCTCAACCAGATGCCAGGAAAGCCATTAACTGGAAAACCCTCCTATTTCCATTTTAAAGGGTTAAAAAGCTACACCCTAGGTCTGTACAGTGGAACCTCGGGTTGCGGACGTGATCCCGAAGCATTCATAACCTGCAGCGCTGCACCTGCGCACGCACGTGACGTGATTTAACACTTATGCTCATGCACGAGCGGCGAAACCTGAAGTAACCCTTTCCGGTACTTCCGGGTTCCTGCGGTCCACAACCTGAAAAAGCGTAACCCGAAGCGTTTGTAACCCGAGATACCACTGTACTTTAATGAAAGTAGGGCAGAACATTTTCCAGAATGGTGTCTGACTCAAGCACACCAGCAAGCACCTTTGCTTTGTCATTTCAATATATTTAGTTATGATTTCTGTGATTTTTAAGACCACAGATGCTCCTAATTAACTTTATTCCCAATGCCATTCTCAGGACAGAGGCTTCATTCAAGGTGGCAGATCTTTTTCAGCATGAAAAAGGTAACAGGTAACAACGATAGCTGACTAACATAGTGCTTGTGGAGATAACTGTGCTACAATGGGCTCAGACAGAGTAACGGTGAACCTGTTTCTCAAATTGAATGGAACAGACAGGATCCCAGAAATTTAGTCAGCCGCAAACCTTGGATTCGGCTGTAAGAGTTTGCCAGCTGTAATACACCCAGTCCTTTTCACCTCCAAGTTTGTTGGCAGACTTCAAGGAACTCCAGAACACAGCCAGGCAGCAAAGACACACCCTCTGACTTTACCAGCCGATGGTAGATGAGCAGAAAGCTCTTTTATGCTGATCATTTTTGCGCATTCTATCCATAAATGTACGGCTGACAAAGAAAAACTGTGTGCCACAGAAAACACACGTGTTGTGGCTTCCTCCCTCGTAAATGCTCTACCTGAGCTATGACTTAACTTCTATGCTTTGAAAACGAAAATAAACCTTGCATGACGGCTTATTTCTATTACACATGCAACACAGGAGTGTCTCTAAATACTGGCCTCGCTCTCAGATTGAACCAAACCTGTGTCTTAACTATACCACTTCAGTGCAGCGGGCTCACGTAACTGAACTCTCTCCACACATAAAACTAGGGTTCTAGTCTAGACTTCCAAGACATCATTTTTGCATGCAGAATAATTCAGTTGTGTGAGCCGCCACCAGTACCCCAAAGCGTCTGCAGAACTGGATTGTCTACTTTCAATACAGTACTGCACTAATATGTTAGGAAAATATTTTTATTTGGCAAGGGACAAAAGAGAGAGAAAAGAAACACGCCTTTAAGTTAATTTGGCTCATAATATACTGGGCTAAAAGGAGAACACACACCAAGATTGTTTAATCCCCATAAATTCAGCCAAAAATTCACTGTTCCAACTTACTTCTAGCCATTAAAATGGATTCAATGTGAAGGGCTTGCACAATTCCAGAGAAAGACTCTGGAAGTCCTTCCAGATATGACCATAAGGTATACATAAAGGACAAGAAACCACCAAGAGAAGTTACCCAGATTTGAAAGTGATCAGATGCTTTTGGAATGGTATCTGAATGAGATGTATTCAGGTTGCTCAAAACAGTTTATTTTTACCTGGCTTTCTTTCCTCCCCTCCCCTCTAGATTTCAAGTGCTCTGGGTTGGTTTACACCATATATTTCCTCTCACTTCAATCCTTTCAGCAAAACCTGTGAATTCAGAATTTGGCCTGTCAACTTGCCAGTGTTAGGACTGTTTGGCAAAGGCTGCAATCCTAGACACACATACCATAATGGGATTTTCTTTTTAAAAATGGTTAGGATTGTGCTGAAAGTTACATTACCTTCAAAGAGGATGGCCATATGAAAAAGAGGACAGGGCTGCTGCATCTTTAAGGGTTGTGTAGAAGAGGGAATTTCAGCAGGTGAATATGTCACGCAGTTGCCATGCCTGTTTTCATCTGAACATCCTACCTCCAAGTAATATGGAAGGTTTGCTTGGATTTTTTTTCTCTGCACTGCAAATGAATAATTTTGCTGTGAGGTGTTTCTGTGCACTATGTGCAATGTCAATACCTGAAGGATTGTCTCACCCCTTATAAATTCAGTTGGTCACTGCACTCTGCAGTCTTCTACAGATACCTTATTATCAGGAGATCCATTTCACACCATGTAAGAATCAGGCATTTAATATCATCGCAACTACCCTTTGGAAATTCCTCCCTTTTCAATTTTAGACAAGGCATCGTTTGTTGTCTTTTCAGCACCTACTGAAGACCTTCTTCTTCTAGCAAGCCATTTAAGGTGAGACCTTTCTCATTCTGGATCTGTACTGGAATTTTAATGATTTTACGGTCGTACCTCAGCTCCCAAACGCCTTGGGAGTCGAACATTCCAGCTCCTGAACAGCACAAACCCAGAAGTGAGTGTTCTGGTTTTTGAACGTTCTTTTGGAAGCTGAACGTCCAGCGGGGCTTCTGATTGGCTGCAGGAGCTTCCTACAGCCAATTAGAAGCCACACTTTGGAAGTCAAACATTTCTGAAGTCAAACAGACTTCCGGAACGGATTCTGTTCAACTTCCGAGGTACGACTGTATTTGCTTGTTGTTCACTGCCCTGGGCTCCTTTGATAGGGATATAAAATTAAATTATTATTACTTCAGTACATAATCTATGCCACACTAGCCCAGCAAAGTATCACTGGAAAGCTCATGACACACAGCCTTAGATCAGGGCAATGCCACCTCTTCTACTATCTGCCTCTGAGCTTTATTTACTTGAGGCATCCCACAAATGCAGAACATTTTAGGCCACAATTGGGTTTTTTTAATCTGTTGGATTTATTGGCCACTTTACTGTGTACATTTCAGAAAACAAGTAACTATTAGGTATATTCAAACTTCTCCAGATGATTTCGTATTTCCCTCACGGGGCAAGCAGCAGATAAGTGAGAGAGAGAGAGAGAGAGAGAGCATTCAACACCTCCTCCCCCAGCCACCACTTTAGTCAAACTGGCAGCCCCGTGTGGTTTCAACGCGAGGAAAGAAAACGTTGTGGATCTCCTGCATAACGTGGAGTTTGGTTCTCATTTACTCATTATAATGAGTTGCTTCCAAAGTTGGAGGAAGCATTTACAGGCACAGTGTACATTACAGTAGTCCTCAAAACGTATCTAACATCTTTTGCTTTGCCATTATTAAGCCAGGAAATCATTTATAGAGGGCACACCATTCAGTTCTGGCAGTATTTCAGGTATTTTACAATGAAACACTGAAAACATGCAAAGTTTAACTGTTAACAGTGTAACCCGCTTTATCAGTTTACATGACCATTTACTAACATATGTATTGTTTCTCGTTTGAGCTTGTCACAAAGCCCAGCACCTACACCATGCTCTCCCCCTAAGCAGATTTCTGCACTTTAAAGTAACCACAACAAGAGCCTTAAAAAAAACCTCAGCATAGGATAAAGTAAAACATTACTTATTATTCCAGCCCTGCACCTCAGAGTCATCTAGCAATGGAATAAAGATGGCATAGCAAAGAACTTCTGTAAAGCAAAAGGGTTTCAGAGCAGCATGTCACAGAAACGGTTTTCTGCTTCTTTTGATGGGCTTTCCTTTCAAGTCAGGAAATTAGAAGCAGGTGTGTCAGAGGGCACCCACATTCATACACCACACTGAAACACACACGTTTTCAATTTTCAAACATGAAAGCAACTCCTATTGAACGGAGGGAGAAATGAAAACCCAAGCCCTCTTTCTGCAAGCCATATGCAAAAGGCTATGAGGGAGAAAGTCAGGCAGCACGTTAATAGCTCGTGAGCTATTGTTAGATACTCTTGCCGCAATAGCAAAACAGCTCTGGAATCTAAACAAAAACAGAACTGCACACAAAGACATTAAAATTGTTATCTGCTACGCAACACTATAAAAAAAAACAATCAGCATTGTATACTACTTCAGAGGTGGCACTCATTAGTATATCAAAACTTGCTATGTAGTATTTTGAAAAGAGTTTCTCAACGTAGCATTTTAAGTCACAATGATAAATAGTAAATAATACATAAATAAAACTACATACGTGTACATACTATAGTATCTCCCTATTCTCCCTGCTGTTTTCAAGGAACAATTCTTGATAAAACTCTCTCCTTCTCTCTCTATATATACATATAATACTGTAGATGCAAACCTATTTTGAAGAGATTTCAACATTGTTGAAAAATAATTTTTTGAATAATGCAATTAGGAACAAGCATGGCTTAAAGACTCTGGTAGGTAGAAAGAAACTCTGGTAGCATGATTTAGATAAATCAATTGTTATTTTACTTGATTGTCAGGAGCTAACAGAAGGGTTATACCAATCATTATGATTTATGCAACATAGAGCAGTAGGGGGAAAAGACAGGTCACTGTCTTGACAAGTTTAAACTCTACAATATGATAGTAAGGAGTGAAGAAAAGGAAGCAAGAGAGAGGCAAGATATTTAGAGTATGAGATGGTGTTACTACAGTAATACTACAGTAGTGGAAAGAAGGCACAATTTGCTTTCTACCCCCCCCCCAAAAAAAAACCCCTACTACAACTACATTTTAAATGAAAATCTATGACTAGCCTTGTTCAGGATTTCTAACAACATAGACTGCATATGCAAAGCAGATTGCTGCAACCTACAGGGCAGTTTCTCCTGCAAATTCCAAAGATCTCAGAAGCCCACTCTGCAGTAACTTGGAGCAGGGTTTTTAGTGTGGCTGCCCCTATTCTACAGAATAGAATTCCCATCGAGATATAACAAGCGCTCACTAGGCACCCCTTTCTTTGCATAAGTATTAATGCTTACATAAAGAATATAAATTCCACGAGGCTCCTTAAAACAAGTTACTTCTCAACAGCAGTTCAAGGAAGATAAAGCCAAAGTTAATTTTCCATTACAACACCTCCAAATTTTGAAATGAGTTTATTAGCAACCATTGGTATAGTCAGTGCCTCCCCCCTCTATTTGTGTGTGTAAAACATGAAGTGCTGGTACTCATATCTTGATAAAGCCGCTTCAAACCATGGTTTAAACCATGGTTTAAAATTACAACTAAATCAAGGCTAACTAATTAGGGGTTTGGAAATAAGTGATATACAGAAAACGTGAGCTTCCAATCTCCCTCTCATGGCTGCACTGGAAAAGAAGTGAAGGGGGAGCACAAAAGTCCAAGGCTTGCTCGTGCAATACTAAACCATCATTTAGTTTTGCGTCGTTAAATGCACAGATAAATGTTTCATAACTATTTATTCTTTAATCTGGAGCAAGCATGATTTTTGCTGCATTTTGCATGTATCTGTATATCAAAGTTAATCTGCACATTTATGATTATGGTAACAGCATCATCTTCCCATTAATGTGAATCTGAATAAGTAAGATAATGGAAACAGTAGAATCTATTCCAGTACTTCATATAGGTCCATCCATAAGAATATATTTCAAAAAACTGTATATAGAAGGAAAATAAGTTCCGGTGAAATATTTGTAAGAACAGCAAATACCTGAGGTACTCACAGCTGTAGAGTAAGGGTTCTGAATTCCCAAGTTTTCAGCCCAGCACCCACATCCGTAAAGAGCTGCCTGACAGAAGAAGAAGGAGGATTTACAAAAGAGAGGTAACTATTTGCCCCTTTACACCAAGTAAAACTTTTGGGTAAAGAATCATTTCCTTTGTTCATCTGCAAAAGGTGCCATATACCTCTATATTGGTAAGAATTGTATAGTCAGGTCTTTCATCCATGTGATTCAAATGGACGGCCCATTTTAGACATAATGATCTCAGTCCAATGCAAGCAAGTGGTGGATGATTCTATGTTAGGTCCATAGTATACAGATGAGAACCCATTACCAAGCCTACATGGTAACAGTGGTGAAGACAGTGTACAAACCATACTTCCCTGTCATTACTGCATGTTCAGCATGCCATCTTGTAGTGCTTTTTCCAGGAGGTCTGGGGGTTTCTCCAGCTTGGCCTACATAGAAATGTGAAAGTACCCTCAAGGGCACGCTGTAACATGTTTGCTAAGTACTTTGCATTCAACTTGACATGGATGCCACTAGTTTGGCACTTCAATCCAGGGAGGTATCCAGAACACTTCTCTCCTCATGCAGCTAGCAGAGGGGGATTAACTAGTTGGATCCAGGCAGTGTTAGAAACTGAGATACGAAAGCTAGGAGCTAAATGGCACCTTAAACCTAGGTTATAGGAAAAACAACGGAATGTCTAGGCATGCTTTCTTATAACAAGAATACAAAGCTGAAAATGAATGAACTGCAGCTAAATTATTATTTTCACATGTTCTAGTCCTTCCCCTGCCCACCCGCCTAATTTTTAAAAGAGGGCCTCTTCTCCAGTCTTCAGAGAGTAGCTGGAAGTGGGAAGGCAGAAAAAGGTCCTCTTTCCTTGCACTCTACAGTTTTAATCTGAAATCTTAGGTGCAGTACTGCGCCCAGAGCTCAGAAACTGCTCACGCTAATGAAATTCCTTGTCGCAAAATGCCTAGAACAATGGGAATTGCGAACACTGGATCTAGGGAGTGATAAATATCTTAGAGAGAAAGAGGGTATCCCTGGCACCCTGAAATAAGCAGTTAAGAGACCACTCCTAAAAGAGGTCTCTCCAAACCTTGAAAAATGTAATCATTATAGGGTGATCACAAACACCCTTTCTGAGCAAGATGCTCAAGCAGTTGGTTGCTGGACAGCTCCAGGAACTCTAAAAATGATACTGATTATCTAGACCCATTTAAATGTGCAGTAAGTCAGATATGATTTTGCAAAATGAGAATCTGAAAATTTTATGAATACACTTGAGTATTTTTATGAAGGTTTCGACCTACTTTGTACTATTACTGTTTTAAATGTAATGAATTATAAACTGTATGAATGAGAAAGGCAAATGATTTCGAACAAAAGTGGGCTCTGCAAGAGCCAAAGAGGGGAAGTAATTGTAGCTGCTAAAGGTGCTCTCAAATAAATAGGACTTTGCCTTTAAGCAAAACAATCAGATCAAAGGAAAAGAACATTCCTTGGACGATGAAATGGCATGTTCTAGGGTGCTTGTGTCCATTTGCCTAGAGGCACTCTGATCAGGCCAAAAGTTTATGACCTGTAGTTACATATCAATAAAAGGTCTTCTAATCCAAGATAATGTCTGCAATCAAGAAATCAGTCTAATGCCACATATCAAGAGACTAAGCAAAGTGTAAGAACTCTTGGCACATGGTCACTCCTAGGATAAAAGCCTGTGAAGTAGTTGAAGGAGCAGTGTGAAGCTTTCACCACCATCATCCAGCTGCCTTCGCTTCTCTGTGCTCCTAGTCTGGACATCTAGTTAGATAAAGCAACGACCTAACACGTGGAAGATTGGGAGTTCTGGAATACTATTACCAATAATGTGTTTAAGGTGGTTTTGCTGCTTGCTTTTTTTTAAATACACAAATTGATACCGTTGCGGCTGGTCTCTGTGGTTTCCTTCTCTGCAAGTCCTGCTCCCTGCTTTGCTGGCCTATTTCCAGCTGACTTACTCCAATTATAAAAGATGATGCTGAAGGGGCCAGAGACCATCTTAACTGTGCGTTCTGCAAGACCTGCTGTCAGCATACTTTCCAGAAGAGGAACTCTGGGTGTTATGGTCAAGAAAGCCCTGTTCCATGTAGCTACCAACCATACTTCAGACAGCAGTGGAATGTGGAACATCTCAATCAGCAAAACGCAGTTTTTTATGTACCCTAGACCCATACCCTCGGGACATGGGTGGCGCTGTGGTCTAAACCACTGAGCCTAGGGCTTGCCGACTGGAAGGACGGCAGTTCGAATCCCCGCAACGGGGTGAGCTCCCGTTGTTCGGTTCGAACCTACAGTTCGAAAGCACATCAAAGCGCAAGTAGATAAATAGGTACCGCTCTGGCAGGAAGGTAAATGGCATTTCCGTGCGCTGCTCTGGTTTCGCCAGAAGCAGCTTAGTCATGCTGGCCACATGACCCGGAAAAAATGTCTGCGGACAAACGTCAGCTCCCTCGGCCAGTAAAGCAAGATGAGCACCACAACCCTAGAGTCGTTTGCAACTGGACTTAACTGCCAGGGGTCCTTTACCTTTTTTTTTAACCTAAACCCATACCCAAAATTATGACTCTGCTTATGATATCGAGCTTTTGGCTGATTCCCACTTACAATGATTTATCACGTAAAACACAGCTTTCTCATAAACACTACTTTTCCTAAGTTGTAAAGAATGTCACCCAGCCAGTTTTCTCTTTCACAGCAAGTTGGGAACACTTAGGGTAAAATGCAACTCAACATGAAAACCCTACTAAGACCTACCTGACCAACTCGTCCAGGGTGCTTCAGGGCTAAGCCTCCACTGGACACTGCAGCAGCGACATTTCCTTCCTGGTCAACAACAACTGCTCCAACGGTATCCAGTGTTCCTGAGTCATTCTCCTATGGGGCAGGGAAACAAAGACACTGAAAACATACAGACTTGACAGTATTTTGATGCCTCCATAGATGAAGACCTGATTGGTTCACAGAGCCAGCAACACAGCGTGGGACCATTTATATCTCTTCACTCAGCCTGGATCTATTCCATATCCATTCTTTAAAATCAAATGCCAAGGTAATTACTATGTAGCTCTTCTATCCAAGGTATAAAAATATAGAAGGGAGCAGACTTTTTCAGCAGTGGCACCAGAGTTAGGGAATAGCTGCCTTTACATCCCTGCCCAATCGTCAAGGTCTTTGGGGGAGTCACTCCTAGTGGTAACCCATGGCTTAGATGCAGACATTCAGCTTCTTCCCTATCGCACTTCCAGTACCTACTGAAGACTTCTTTTTTTATTTCAGCAAGCATGTTAATCATAGAATCATAAAAACATAGAATCATAGAGCTGTAGAGTTGAAAGAAGCATCTAGTCCAACACTCTAGAATGCAGGAGTTTCAACCAAAACATTCATGACAGATGGACTGTCACAAAGTTCTTCCTGATATTTAGTCAGCATCTCTTTTTTACCTCTATTGTATTTGTGGAGTTTGATGTACATGTCAACTAATTAAGAAGTATATAAATTGTTGAAATAAAAAAATAAAATAAGGAGGTTCACCTCGGGCTATCATTGCTATTATTTTTCTTTACCTAGGCATTAACAGATTTTACTAATTTAAAATGAGAAAAATCTGACATTTTATTGTTCTTTTATATTTATTTTGTGCTGTATATTGGCACCATATCTTAAATATGAACGGTAGTGTAAAATGTGTAAAAAATAAAGCAAATATCAAATAGCTGTTGCCTGTACTCAGTGGCTAAAGGAAACTTATCCATTAAAGTTATTTCCCTTTACTTGTCAACCAGACTTCCTGTCTGATCTTCCCACTGAAAGACAATGCCAAGTTCCCCATTCAAATTAATGCAGAGAGAAGAGCAAGGTATACCTCCCTCACTGCTGAATAATGTTTAGAGATGGAAAGTCTGTGGTTCTCCAGATGTTGTCTGCCTACAGCTCTCATCAGCCCCAGCCAGCATGGTCAATGATCAAGGATGATGAGAGTCCAGCAACCTCTTGAGGACCAAAGGCCCCTCATCCTTGTGTTAAAGAGTCAAGCAGGCAATTCCCTGGACTTGGTAGGCTTTAAGTTCAGTAGAACAAAAATACTCCAAAAGGGCTCACCACAGTTCTTCCTTTGATCTGAATGACATTAATGCCAAGTGAGAATAAAAAACAGTAAAACTAAGCTGTTCTATTTTGCCAGAGGGAGGCTCAAACTGGTTTTTAAAAGTTAGAAGGTTTATTACGAAAACATTTGAGAACCATTAACTGAGATTAAAGCTCTTGTAGCTTGTGGGCATAATCACATTCCATTCAAAAGAATACACCCATTGCCAATTAATTAACCCTAATCACCCACAAGCTCTGTCTTCACAATCAATAGCAAAAAGTTAGGATCACACACTCGCTCACCTACATTGCACTGAAAGCATGGAGAGAGGAGGTTTCTCCTTTTAGAATTCTTTAATCACACAGACTTGCATAATTTTCAGAATGTGCCCAAAGCAGTAATTGTTACTAAACGTTATTCAGCCTCCCTATTAAAGTTAATGAGGCTAATGGAGGAGTCTTTAGATCAACTCTACAGATGGCTAATCTAGCGTATGCCAAAACAGAGCAAAAGACACACTCTTGAACATCAAACTTATCTCTCTCACCCACAGGAAGTAATAATAATAATAATAATAATAATAATAATAATAATGGGTTAGATAACAAGGTGCCTAGCACGAGTGGAAGGGGGCCTGGATTTCAGTGGCAACTCCATTTGCCCATGCCTGCAATGGCCCCAAAGTTTGCCCCAACTCTCAGGAGCTGCTTTTTTTGGGGGGGAGGCAGAGAGGAGGGCTAAGAAAGTACTATTACACAAACAGAATTTTGTTAACAGTTGTTAAGATGTGGGTTAAACCACAGAACCTAGGACTTGCTGATCAGAAGGTTGGCGGTTCGAATCCCCGCGACGGGGTGAGCTCCCGTTGCTCAGTCCCAGCTCCTGCCAACCTAGCAGTTCAAAAGCACGTTCAAAGTGCAAGTAGATAAATAGGTACTGCTCCTGCAGGAAGGTAAAGGGCGTTTCCGTGCGCTGCTCTGGTTTTGCCAGAAGCGGCTTAGTCATGCTGGCCACATGACCCGGAAGCTGTACGCCGGCTCCCTCGGCCAATAAAGCGAGATGAGCACCGCAACCCCAGTCGTCCGCGACTGGACCTAATGGTCAGGGGTGCCTTTACCTTTAAGATAATATAACGTTTCCATTTTAATATTACAAAGATAGGAAATGCAACACAACTTTCTAATTATATTATTACTAAATTGATTTTGTATACCACCCTTCTTCACCTGAAGATCCTTGGGGACTTCACAACAGAAAATCAAGCTACAGTAATCAAGCAATACAATCTTACCTACACCCTAAAAAGTCAAATAAAAGAGACAGATTTAAAAGGCAAACTACCATGCTCCACCCCCATCAGCTATTTCACATGCATGACCACCTCTCTCTCATTCTTGTCATGTGAACAAAGCATACAAAATACTGTGGCTTGAATTCTGAGTTCTCATGAGCTGAATACCACTCAGGGGACACTTCCAGTGCAGTAAGGGGGCAGGAGACTTTCACTTATTTGTCATTCCCTCTGCAGCCCCCCCCCCCACCTGACCCTCAGAAACCTGCTCTGGTGGGTAGGGGGACCCAACAGAACAGGAAGGAAGGTGGCATACTTGACTACAAAGAGAAATATCCTTTCCTTCCCCAACTGGCAGCCTCTACCGGATTATAGTTCCTTCTGTGAACAGAAGGAGTCATTCCATTTGCAGAAGAGTAACTGTGGATCAAATCCTGCATCAGTGTCATAAAACAGGGGGAGAGGAAGGGGAAATTCCATTGGTCAAAGAAATCTCAAATATTTAAGAAGACAATGTAAGTCTAACACAATAATTAAACAATTCATTTTTTAAAAAATGAACTGTTCAGTCTGTTAACAAAAGACATTTGGAATCCAGTTACTTATTTATTCAATTATCTAAATCACAGCTTGCGTTAGAGTACATATACTACTATGGAGTTCAGAAGGCAATTTTAAAACCTGGCTTCAATTTCTAAATTATAACTGGAACATAATTATCTCACTATGTAAAAATGAATTTACGTACACTCAAAATTATTAAGCACTAACGAAGCTATAGTACAATGCAACAGAAGTTATTTCATGCTCTGCTAGAAACTGGTTCCATTTGCATGTAATGGTAAGCCAAGACTCACCCAGAAAATTTCAAGTGGTCAGTGGGGACAGGGACACGGGTTTGGAACTGCTGCCCTAAAGTATTGTCAAAAGACCCTCCAAATCTCAAATAGCAGGTTGGTAAGTCCATGTACTGGCATATGTAAGCATTGACTTGACCTTTAATATATAAATTGTACTGAAATCCCTCTTTCCTTAGTTTTATGTTTTCAAGGCTCCTAGTCTTTTTGGATATAAAACGTAAGCAATACTCCAAAGACATGAATTTTTACATATGCTACTGTAACTTGAATAGTTTTTTGTTTGCTTTTGTTTCTCCATAAAAGGAGAAACAGAGCAAGAATTTCTACAGTACACCTCATTTTTCCTTTTTAATTACTGACAGCAAAACTGCATTCAAAATATAGTTGGCAGCAGGTAAAAACTACAGTGCTGAAATGACCACTTAGTAAAGAAAAAAACCCAGCTATGATTTTTCTATAGAGGACCATTCTGGGCCAGGTCAATGCTGGGTAAATGTCCAGACATGTTTACCTACCTGGTATTACAAATTTCATCCCCTTCCAGATCCACTGAAAATGCTTTAAAGTGAGAAACGTTCACCAAAATCTTAAACTGGAGAAAATTTTTCAACAGATATTTATCTTTTCATGTTTGCATTTGTCATGCACATTCTGAAAAAGTGAAAATGAATAGTAAAATATATAAACAAATCATAATGGTAAGGCACACTTATTTGTTCTGCAAACAATAGTAGATTCCTTTGATAGTTCTGTTTTCATATTCCCCGAAGACGAGGGGAAAAAATTACTTATGACATATTGGCTATGAGTACAAGTGGTTTATCCTTTGTACAGAGGTTATGTTCACACTGAGATACACCATAAAGCTGCTCCCAAAGGCCATGGAACTCTCCAGAGCAGCCTTCAATGAGCCTGAAGGGGAACGTGCTAGAAGGACAAATCAAACACAAGGAAGTATGCATGCATGCACATCTCTGTTTCCATTAAAATATAATGATAAATAATATTGCAACATTGTGTTGACTATCAATTCACAATAGCAACAAGAACTCCCAGAAACTTCAGTCCTTGTCACTGTAGTGATTTAAGGTTGACCAATAGTTTTCTGAACAGATACCAACCTTTTCACTTGATTGTCTTCTTTTCTTCAACTGAAAAAGATCGGTTTCCACCTTTTCTGCCAATTCCAGTTTCCTCTTGTTCCTCTTAAAAGCTGCTAAACTAAGTCCTATAAAATATTTAATGGCATTTTAATTACTTAAGAATTAAACCAAGGACACCTTCTTTGAACACTACACTTTGGTACTGGCAACAATAGCCCCTACTCAGATCTATGTACAGATTATATTTCATCATGTCCACTGAATAAGCATGGATTTATGAATATCAAAAACACAAATTACTCAAAACTTGGCCTAGTTGGCATGTCGCACTAAACCACAGCTTGTTTTAAACTAAGGGTTAAAGCAAATGAGCAGCGTGCACACTGCTCTGAACTCCCTGCTTTGCTCTTCCCTCTGCTAATCATTTGCTGCAACAGGGAAAACTAGAGACTAGCTTCATGTTATGTGCAAAACCAGTGTTTTTAGTTTGCTTCCTGGCTTCTCAATCATGGTTGTCTAGGAAAAACAAATCACAAGTGCTGGTTCCCACATAACCCAAAGCCAGTCCAATTCCTCCCCAGTGTGACCAAAGGTTAGCAGGGGGAGCAGTGAAGCAGGAACTGTGGAACAGCATGAACTAGCGTGCTGCTCATTCACATTAAATCACAGTGCAAAATGTGTAAACTAGGTCATTGATGAAACGCAGATAAAAGCATTCACTAATGTTGCTGTTGCTTTCAAAATTGGGAAAGGAGTACGACAAGGCTGTATATTGTCTCCCTGCTTATTTAACTTATATGCAGAATTCATCATGTGAAAGGCTGGGCTGGATGAATCCCTAGCCGGAATTAAGATTGCCAGAAGAAATATCAACAACCTCAGATATGCAGATGACACAACCTTGATGGCAGAAAGTGAGGAGGAATTAAAGAACCTTTTATTGAGGGTGAAAGAGGAGAGCGCAAAATATGGTCTGAAACTCAACATCAAAAAAAACGAAGATCATGGCCACTGGTCTATGGCATTTTGACCTTTTATCTCAACACAAACTCAACTTTATTCTAACAAAAGTGGGGGTCAGCAATCATGGTTACACTGTCTAAAGATGATTAAAAGACTCTTAGATGGAATTCCCCCTCACAGGGAATTTAAACATTATGTAAATGAATACACACTTGTTTATTTTAAATTATTTTTTACCCTGCCTTCCTTACACATAATCAAAGCAACTTACAGCCTATCAACATTTGCAGCAGCATTAATAAAACGTACATGCATGAAACAGTGAAAACTTCAAAGGATGCTGAGGATATTTCTCCCCATGAGCAATGGGATGTCACTGCATCTTCAAAGGAATGCTTTTCTTGATAATAGACCTGTTTGAAGTTAGGTGTTGACTGGCTGCTTTGTGGACACACACTGCTTGTGATGACATCTGCCAAGATTGGGAGGGCAATCCTTTTGCTCTCTACGATGGACAGGGTGCCTATCAATTCTCTATTAGTATGTCACCCTAATCTATGGCACTTAATGTTTATGTGAAAGAAACATTATAAGACTGAACACTCTTTTTGTGTTTCCTTTGATAAGCTTGAAACTGTTAACTCCTCTAAATAAATATCTTTGGTTCTATTGTTCTTTGCCTCCAAATGGTTCAGATCTGTCAGATTCATCAGTTGATAGCTGGTATCTGCTGCAGATCACGTAACACAGGACAGAAGTAGAAGGTGGAAAAGCTTACCTACCTATGGTAAGGAAAGTGCATGTACGCTCATGTGAGCTGTATCCTGACCTTTGTGGATAGTCAGGAATCAGCTACCTGTCTGGATACCTGTGGAGGGAGAATGGCAACTACCAGCAGCAGGCCCTGAAGTGTAAGCTGGCTGGCCTGTGTGTCAATCACAGATATTATAAATTCTTCCCATGAGTGGTCTGAAGAAATAAAGTACAGGGAGTCACACAGAGTATATCTGTGCATTTAAAACAATTATATTTGTTTTAAATAATCCGAATATTTTTCTGAACCAGATGAGCAAAATTTATTGATGCACAATGACGGTCACTGGTTTGTTCCAATGACTTATTTTATATCTAAAAATCAGTTTACTTCTGCTTGTTTGAACTTAAACAAAAGACTTATCTTCAATTAATATATCAATGGAAACTAACCCATACTTTTTTTTAAGAGGAAGATTTTTTTGGCCACCTGTTGGAGACATGGTCTTTTCAACTGGTGATTATGCAAGTTTGGTGAAATTACCCTCTCAAATTCAGATTGGTCAAAAATTTATTATTAAGTCAATCTCCCCCCACCCCCCGCCATGTACAGTGGTACCTCAGGTTAAGTACTTAATTCGTTCTGGAGGTCTGTTCTTAACCTGAAATTGTTCTTAACCTGAAGCACCACTTTAGCTAATGGGGCCTCCTGCTGCCGCTGCTGCACGATTTCTGTATTTATCCTGAAGCACAGTTCTTAAACCGAGGTAATATTTCTGGGTTAGTGGAGTCTGTAACCTGAAGCGTATGTAACCCGAGGTACCACCGTATTCAGTTTAATTATACTCTAAATTTTCAGAAACGTTCAGATTCATTCTATTTGCAGTGAACTGAAATTAAGCAGGACAGGCTTCACTAGATATCCAGCAATTTCACAGGCCATGATGAGCAATCACCATGTCTATTTCACCACCAGCATTAAAACAACAATATTGTCTGGAATCACCAAAACAAATTTAGAAATATGCTATAAGCCCTAGAAATAGTTTTGAGTGCAATCACAGCAACAACAAAAGAATATGTTCCTAATCCTCAGAAAAGCAATCTGACTCTGGCCAATCATACAGCACCCTCTAGCAGTCATTTAATGGAGTGTACCGAAAATGCACTGAAGTGGCTGAAGTGGTACTGCACCTTCCCTTCTAAAGCTGGCTGGGGGTAAAATGATTGGCAAAAGAAAGATTACAAAGCACAATTACTAGAGAGTCAGCGAGAGTAAGCTTGTTTAGCAAAGCTATTAGGTCAGCAGCTTATAAACTGCGTAACCAAGGAGAGGCAGAGATGAAAATAATTAAGAGTAAGTATCTGAAAGTGAGACTGACAATATACTGAAGCTGCTGAAGCTTTTCAAATGCTACACCACCAGTTACACTATTTAAAACCTCCTTAGCTCCAGAGATGATATTTTGGCTGTTATGCAGATAAAAATCCAGTGTGACTACGATTCTTTAATTTGAACAGTATCCAAGTGTTTAGCGGCCTAGATCCCACTGATTTGATTGTTTTCTTGATTGTGTGCCTGAAGCTTCTCAGAAGAAGAATTCCTAGGAACAGTTTACTCACTTGTTGCCATGACACCTGGAGGGCAGGCAGGTATCCCGTGATCCACTGCCCATCTGAAAGCTCCTTCGCCAACTAAAAAACTAGCAATGAGGAAGACAAAAGGGGTGGGGAAGACAAATTTTGACTAGGTAGGTACTTCAGGTAAGGTTAGCTGCAGCTTAATTGCAAGGTATCTGTTTATCATGTCAGGAAACTTCAGAAACGTAATTCAATTTACAGGTTTAAATTAAGTGAATAACCCCATACATGATTACTCAGAACTGTGCCCCTCTAACCTCATTGAGGCTTACTCTCTAATAATACAGCCTTCCCCAGGGTGGTGTTTTCCTGCTGATGCTGAACCCTCATCACCAGCACCTAGGCAGCATAGCCAGGGGTCAAGAATGATGGGAGTTATAGTCCAACAACATCTGGAGAAAACCAGGCTGGGGAAAGCTAGTCTAATGTTTTGGGTTACAGCCTAATCCACCTCTTCAAGTCAAGAGGTGCTGGTCTTTAGCCTTTATTTCTGGAATGTTTAAAACGAGGTGGAAACTAGGAATTAACAGCAAAAAAATGAACACGGAATTATTATGAGAACTGCTGTTGTTACAACAGGCATAACATAGTCCTAAGTAATGAAACAATGAGAAGTCCGCCCCCCCCATACACACACGTTCAGATCAGTTGCTCGCTATAAGTTACTGCACTTCTTATTTTTGTAAAATGAAACAGCAACAGTTGTCCTCCTGTTTGTTGTTGACTGCACAAGGCTCCAAAGATGGGTGTTGTGATTCTTGTTCGCATGACTAGCAACAACGAATAGGTAGCCAAGTATTTAGCTACTATTGCAACTTGGTTAATCATTGGTTATTAACACAGCACATAAATATGTATCCTGTTTATCTTAAAACCTGCCACATACCAATTACCCTGGAAAAGCCCAGATTTTTGTATTCTGAGAAAAAGTAAAAACCATTTCATAATACCCCCTGCATCATTTTGCCACTCGGTTGTTGCCTCCTCAAGAGAGAAAAACCCAACTATTTCAAGCCCTCTGTGAAGAGGAGTATGACTGAACATGATCCCCGTAGAAAACAGCATTGGGATATGACATCGTTTTACCCCTAAGGGTCAGGGGCTTTATGCACTTTAGGCTCTATACTCTATCATGTCCTGTCTGCTAAGCTGAAGAGATCTTCTCCTTTGTCAACATTCTATATAGACTGTTGAAAAACTTATTTCAACTGATTTCTCTGGCAAGATTTTTCACCTATTTTTACATTTATAGGTGTATGATATAGCATGTAAGTTAATCAGCTTGAACAGGATATTCAGACCATAGTTTGGCTATTATTATTATTAAAAAATTATAATAAACTTCCTTATTCTTCCACACTTGAAAATTATTACAAATGTAGCAAATGTTTTTATAGTTTTATTGTTCTGTTAGTTTGTTTTTTGTATAGACTTTAATTTGATTTTAAGGGGAGGGGTCAGGGCTGCCTGGGAGTGGGTCCCAGCAAACAAAATGGCTGGGGCAGGTTCCATAGGGGGGGATGCACTCGGACAACCGATCTCAGTGATCACGGGTAGGAGGAGGAGTTACGCTAAGACCAGACCATGTCATTACCGAGGAAGCAGGCTTAGTCGTTGTTTGAGGACTATCCCTGCCTCCAGGTCTGGTCCTGACCGGAAGGATACTGGAATCAACAAGGGAAACCCACATGACCTGAAAGTGTTGCTGTGCAATGCCAGGTCAATGATGAATAAACCTCTGCCATCCACGACCTGATTGTGGATGGAGGATTTGACCTGGCATGTGTGACAGAGACCTGGTTGGATGAAGCAGATGGGCCCGTCCTTGCCGCTGCTTGTCCACCAGGTTTCTCTTACGCACAGCAACCCAGGCCTTGTGGGCGGGGCGGGGGGTGCAGTGATTTTTAGGAAGTCATTAGTTTGCACCAGGCGTCCTATTGGAAAGACCCAGTTCTCTGAGTGCATGTTCTGGAAGTTGGGCAATAGGGGCAGTACAGGATTCCTATTGGTGTACCGACCTCCCGCTGCACCAAGGATTCCCTGCCCGAGCTGCTTCAGGTCGTGGCGGATGTCCTCCTGGAGACACCTAGTTTGGTTGTCCTAGGGGACTTTAACATCCATGCCGACACGACCTTACAAGGGGCCGCTCGGGACTTCGTGGAAAGCATGGCCTCCATGGGGCTGTCCCTGAATAAGTCTGGCCCAACTCATAGCCACGGGCATGCCTTAGACCTGGTGTTCACCTCTATGGATGTTGGTGATCTGACATTAAGTAAAAGCGAAACCAAAGAAGTGCCATGGTCAGATCACTTCCTGGTGCAACTGGACTTCTCCGTGACCCTTCCCCTCTGCAGGGAGGCGGGACCGATTCAGATGGTCCGCCCCCACCACTTAATGGATCCAAATGGTTTCCAGAGAGTGGTAGGGGATGTTTTATCCCATGTTGATGGCCTTTCAGCTGATTCCCTGGTGGCCCGCTGGAATGTGGAGTTAACCAGGGCTATTGACTGTTTGGCTCCAAAGCGCCCTCTCCGATTGCATGGAGTCCGGACAGCCCCGTGGTTTTCCACGGATCTGAGGGCAATGAAACAATCGTTGAGACGGCTAGAGCGCCGGTGGCGGATAACCCATTCTGAATCTGACCGGACACGGGTTAGAGCTCAATGTCGAGCCTACCAAGTGGCGATAGCGACGGCGAAGAAGACTTTCTTCACCGCCTCTATTGCATCTGCGGAAAACAGCAGCAGGAGACTCTTTCAGGTGGTTCGCAATTTAGCGGAACCACCTGCTCCATCAGGGCCCAGTAGCGGCCACATGATCTCCTGCAATGACTTTGCAAAGTTTTGCAGATAAAGTCGCTCAGATTCGAGAAGAGGTAGACTCCACCGTGGGAGCAGGGCCGGGGCGGGAGAGTGCGAGAGTCCGGTCTAGTAAAGTTGTGTGGGATCAATAACAATCAGTTACCCCGAGGATGTGGACAGGCTGCTTGGACGAGTGAAACCAACCACTTGCCTCCTTGATCCTTGCCCATCCTGGCTTATAAAAGCTAGCCGGGAAGGACTGGGCGATGGGCTTCGTGGGGTGGTGAATGCTTCCCTCCGTGAGGGAGCCTTCCCAGACCCGCTGAAAGAGGCGGTTATTAAACCGCTTCTTAAAAAAACCGTCTTTAGATGCGGCCACGATAGCCAACTATCGCCCAGTCTCAAATCTTCCATTCTTGGGCAAGGTGATTGAGCGAGTGGTTGCTGAACAACTGCAGGCACGCCTGGAAGAAGCGGACCATTTGGATCCCTTCCAGTCGGGATTCAGGCCTCATCATGGGACTGAAACTGCCTTGGTCGCACTGGTTGATGATCTCCGGCGGGCTAGGGACAAAGGTGAGAGCTGTTTCCTAGTTCTGCTGGATCTCTCAGCGGCGTTTGATACCATCGACCATAACATCCTTCTGGACCGTCTTGAGGGGCTGGGAGCTGGGGGCACTGTTATACAGTGGTTCCGCTCCTTCCTCCTGGGCCGTGTTCAGAAAGTGGTGGTGGGGATGAGTGTTCAGACCCCTGGGCCCTCACTTGTGGGGTGCCTCAGGGTTCTGTCCTCTCCCCCATGCTTTTCAACATCTACATGAAGCCGCTGGGAGAGATCATCAGGGGATTTGGGCTGGGTGTTCATCAGTATGCAGATGATACCCAGCTCTACCTCTCTTTCAAATCAGAACCAGTGAAGGCAGTGAAGGCCCTGTGTGAGTGCCTGGAGGCGGTTGGAGGTTGGATGGCGGCTAACAGATTGAGGTTGAATCCTGACAAGACAGAAGTACTGTTTTTGGGGGACAGGAGGCGGGCAGGTGTGGAGGATTCCCTGGTCCTGAATGGGGTAACTGTGCCCCTGAAGGACCAGGTGCGCAGCCTGGGAGTCATTTTGGACTCACAGCTGTCCATGGAGGCACAGGTCAAATCTGTGTCCAGGGCAGCTGTTTACCAGCTCCATCTGGTACGCAGGCTGAGACCCTATCTGCCTGCGGACTGCCTCGCCAGAGTGGTGCATGCTCTGGTTATCTCCCGCTTGGATTACTGCAATGCGCTCTACGTGGGGCTACCTTTGAAGGTGACCCGGAAACTACAACTAATCCAGAACGCGGCAGCTAGACTGGTGACTGGGAGCGGCCGCAGAGACCACATAACACCGGTCTTGAAAGACCTACATTGGCTCCCAGTACGTTTCCGAGCACAATTCAAAGTGTTGGTGCTGACCTTTAAAGCCCTAAACGGCCTTGGTCCAGTATATCTGAAGGAGCGTCTCCACCCCCATCGTTCTACCCGGACACTGAGGTCCAGCACTGAGGGCCTTCTGGCGGTTCCCTCACTGCGAGAAGCCAAGTTACAGGGAACCAGGCAGAGGGCCTTCTCGGTAGTGGCGCCTTCCCTGTGGAACACCCTCCCACCAGATGTCAAAGAGAACAACAACTACCAGGCTTTTAGAAGACATCTGAAGGCAGCCCTGTTTCGGGAAGCTTTTAATGTTTGATGTATTATAGTATTTTAATATTCTTTTGGAAGCCGCCCAGAGTGGCCGGGGAAGCCCAGCCAGATGGGCGGGGTATAAATAATAAATTATTATTATTATTATTATTATTATTATTATGTGAATGATTATAGTTCACCTTCAAATCTATACAAAAATTAAATCAATGTGAAACCATTTTCTCCTCAACAAAAATGAGAGCATATGCTGAAAGTTTAAAACTCTGGAAGCAAAAGGAGAGCACAAATGTAACATTTCACAACAACAAGCTATGTTTAGCTTTGAGGTCTGATTTATTGGATTTTTAATATTTTGAACCCGAAACATCAGAAACAAAAGCTTAGCAGTGTAAATATCTGCATAAACAACCACAGAGGAAGAAGTTCAGACTTAGAACAGAATATTAAAGATAAAAGGCAAAGTTATGCTATTTACAGCTGCAATAAGCATGCAAGATGTTCCAAGATCAACAACAAAGCCAGTCCTCATCTTAAAAGCACGCTATTACTGATGCACACTAAAAAGCATCAGCCTTCTTTTAATAAGAGTAACTTTCAAATATTGTATGCATTACTGCCCCAAATAAGAAACAAACAGAACAAAGTAATTACCAAGGTGGAATTCTGCCAGCAGACAGCTTTCCTTTCTGCCCTTCACACAACAATCTATTTGCCACGGAAACAGGATTTTTGATTCCTAGGAACAGGAAGAAAAGTCATTTAAGGAAATGGTCATGCAGTACTCCAGATAGTTTTAATTACCTTGGATTTAAACCAATTAACTCAACAAGTTATTCAGGGGGAAAAAGTTCATTTATTCCTTGGCTTTGCAATTAACATCTCAAAAATAAGCCTTATTTTAGCACCCCAAACACCAGAGATGTCAAATTAAAAACAGAACAGAGACTGGATAGATGAAGGCAAAAACCTTAAACTAGTAACACAGAAAGGGTGGAAACAAAACATGGCTAATAGCCATCAAACAATTATTTTGCACAATGCCTAAAAAGATACGGTTCTTGCTCTTCGTCACATGCAATCCTATCCATGTAATAGGATTTGAAGTAACATTATGCACCATGTTTATAGCGTATTAGGACTCCAACTACATAATCAAATATATTTTTGAATCTAAACATTCCGTCTTCTAGAGCTTGCTCAACATACCACTGAGAGCGCCAACTGCTCCAAAATTGAGTGATTTTCCATCCATGATACTGGCATCACATTCTATTTCACCCAAAAGGTTTAGGTTAGACCCCATTCCTGCATTAGTAAAGGGTGAATCCTGTAAAGAAATGTAAAGAAAGACTGCATGAAGGCAAACTATCCATAATTATGCATATTATCAAAGGAGTTAAATGATGAGTACTGGGGCCAACTGGCCTCCCAGCACATGCTGTTCATCCCATCAGCTGAAACTCAAGTTTCCTTACAGGAGAGAAGCCAATGAAGGGTGCAGAGTGAAGAAGATGCAAAGGAATGGCAGGTGGAGAAAAAAGCAACTGTGCTTTCTGCCTAAAAGAGGGCCAGGATGGGAAGTATTTGAGACACTTTCTGCAACAACTGAATTATGAGACCAGAGAAACAATTTCAATGGATTCCAAACATGAAAATTGGTAGAGCACACGAAGAGTGTGAACTTGGGGGCGGCGGGGGGGAGAGTCTCTGGTAACTAATGCTAAAATTGCATCATTATTTTAGTGTCAGACTTCATCCAATATACTGGATATAGATCTAACACATAAACATGCATCCCTGCATTATCCACCAGAGATTTCGTCTCTCTCTCCGGGCAACAATATGCCAAATATAACCTAAATAAATATGGGAAACAAAATGTGTCTGTACCTGTGCCTGTAGAGAAAGACAAAGATAAACATGTACAGGCAACTCCGTTAACATGCACTGTGACCCAGAACGCAACCCCCGTGCAAACGGGGAGTTGCCAGTGTACAGTTTACCATAGATAAAAAGAATTTGATTGTTCCAGCTAAAAATGAAGAAAAAGACAACTGCTTCTCAGGATAGCAAGAATAAGTCTTGTTCAGGCAGTTTCATTTACACTTTTATGAATAAACTTAAGCTTTACATATATGCATGGAAAGTAATATGGAACCTCACACACTGTGCAAATATGTGCTCAAAGCTGCATGACATGTGAAACATGTTAGAAAAGAGGCTCCAAAGTAAACTGTCTATATATAGTTGTGCAACCAGAAAACCAAGGATGTAGCCAGAAATTAGCCAAATCTGTGCATACTGTCCATGATCCTAACTGTTGCATTTGTAGTGGGGGTTTCTCAGCCACTACTCTTCCAGTAGGAGGAGGTAGTTGGGGGTTAATAAAGCTGCCACAAGGAAATTTGCAATTATGGACATTTTGCATCATGGTGAAGAGATATGGCCACCAGATATGAACTGCCTAGAAGAATTTGAATAAGGGTCAGTAAGGTACACAGCTGAATGCAGGGCTGTGCGAAACATTTGGGGACTTGCAAGCTGGATGATAAAGTTATGCGCTTAATACCCCTAAAATAAAGGATAAAGTGGTTTCTCCTAACTCCGCAAATTTGCCACCCTATTATTTTCTTTCTTAACTAGCCATTTTATTATCACATTTACACATCTCATAAAGGCGGTGTGGCTTAAGAAACAAGTCTGTCAAACTACTCATATGGAAGAAATTCTCATTTCCCCAAAACTACAAAGCAAGTAACATCTTTGAAGTGTGGAAATAAAGAGTATTTGTCATCATAACCCTTACGTAGGCCAGCAGGAATCAGATAATCCACAGCTATGATTAAAGTACTTTGGGTTAGATCCAGAGCAAGTTAGTCGAACTCTGTCCCTATTGAAATCAGTTGGACTTCTCTTAGCCATGCCTAACTTTTCACACATATTTCAGTGGAACCTTATTGCAACAAACTTAACTGGTATCCCTTTTACTAGAAAATAAACCATATAACACAGAACAGTCAGAGGATGTTAATTATTCCAGCTACAAACATTCAGTTCCATAAAAGACCAAACAAAGCCTTGAAAGCAATGCCATTTTTAAGATGAGGCCATTAATCTGCCCAAGTTGCACTGTCATTTCTCCTCCTCCTTCCATCCCAGCCTCCAAATTAGGGAGTAACATTTAAGGTGTAATGGTTCTAGGGGTTGCTCGTGCGTAAGCCGGTGCAAACACCTGGTTGGGTTGCCTGAGTGAACCTTTTCTGTCTGGACAGCCACTCACCCGTGGCTGTCTCAATCGCTGGCAGAATCTGTCAGTGGGCGTTTCTTAAACTTCTTCCAGCAAAGAAGCTCTTTGACGCCTAGTCTCCTCCTACTCTCTCTGCGCGAAAGCCTTCTGCGCAAGGAGGGTGTAGGCAGCGGAGGACCTCTACTCTCCCTGCTGATCCCCGGCAAGGAGTCATGGGACCGCCTCGCCGCTTCCCCCATCTGCCCCCCTTCTCCACTGGTGCTACGCTGATTCTCTTCCCCAGAAGATGGGCTGCCTCTCCCAATCCCGGGACGCTCTCTGGAATCCCTCTGGATTTTGCTCTCTCCCTCCGGCACTGATGGCAGTTCCCTGACAAAGGACACAATTGATTTCATTTCTTAAAAAAAAACAACACAACAACTTTGCATTCCCTAAGCAGTATGCAAAACACACACAATCCTCCCAAACAGAATGATCATGGGTTTGTTCTGGTGAATAAGCAAGATCAATCCATCACAATGAGAGAATAAAGATTAAAAACATCAGCCAAAGCATTTGTCAACCAAGTCTTCAGAGCTTAAGGCATAGCTTATCACACTGAAAATGAGAATTATGTCATCACTGACTTATTCCCATAACAACTGCAGTTGATAATTCTAATCATATAGTGTCAAAATAAATTTCCCTCGTCACATGTACTATCACTTACATTTCTTCAATATTTTCTATCCAATATTTATTTGCAAATATATCGGCAGTTTCATAACTGGGCTCAGTGTTGTAACACCTCAAGAAGTTTCTGAATTCTGAGATTCCAGCATAGCTTTTCTTTGCATGTACGTATCATGGTAAGACATAGCTAATTGTTGACTGGGGACATGGGGCTTCCCTTCCCTTGTGCAACTGGAAGTAACCATCAACAATCCCTAGCTTAGTGTTCTGTCTGAACTGGAGATATTGGTTTGGTTTGCTTCAAACAAACTACAAAGAGTAGGCAAGGCTTGTTCCTGCCTTCATGTTGTGGTTTGTTTGGAGCAAAACAAAACCACAATCCATGGTGCAGACAGAATGCTAAGCCACAGATCATCGATGCTCCCACATGCACTACGGAAGGAACGAAGCAGCAGCAGCAATCTCCACACTCACAGAACCATTAACTAGGTTTACCATGATATGGAAACTGGGCCACTATGTGCTAAACGTCGTTTCAGTGGCCAGTTTGATTAACACCTGCTTGCTCATGCACAGGGCTAATATTACTTACACTGCCTAAAGACCAATCATTAAATAATTACAGTTATCTATCTCTCTATGAACTGTCAAAAACAAAATCTCAGGCCTCTGGGACATATGAAGTTGTTGGTTTTAGATATATTTATATACATGCATACAGAGACAGAGCTTCTGCGAAAACAAATCCTTACTGTTGCATTTATGAGACTGTGTACAAACCTATTGTAATCACAGTAATAGCTAGCTAGCAGTGTCCACTGAGCACTTCAGCCTCCTTCAGGAAAGACAAAGCTATAAAAGGCTCTAGAATACAACCTACTACATTCTCAAACACCTAATAGTGTGGCTGAACTAGGAGCCAGAGGCACTTTGTGGTACAATACAGAGACTCTATCACTATAAGCAAGCACTCTCTCATTTCTCGCATTTACTTCTTGTCAGCTCTTTCTCAAGCACTCAACTGGCTACTTACAATTATATGAAAAGAAGCCAAAGGGGGGCAGAGATCAATAAACTGTATTTGTTTTGGAAGTATATATAAATACTAACTTTTTAAAATGTGGTTATGTAATTGGTCTCCCCAGTTTGGAGAACATGTGACAGTATGAATACCTATTTCCTAAAAGTGTCAATAGCCAATGGTCATTAAGACCTGCAGCATTAATCTTCAAAAGTTGTCGAGTGTCAATGGAAGGATGACTGACATTAGGGAAGCTGAATGGAATGTTGGGCAGAGCAGAGAGAGTGACAGGGTGGGGTTCAGAAATGACAACTAAAAGGAGAGAGTGTCTGCAAGCAAAACAGACAAGAGGAATGCGATGACAGAGATAATGAAAGCACATGCATAAAAGCATAGATGTTGTGGAGAAGACTTATGTTATGATACTGAAAATATGAGAATTCTGTGTACAATGACTACTTGTTTTAGATATTATTTTCCATAAGCAAATATATATTTATGTTTTAACTTTCTGTGATCTGGTCTGGCTGGATTCGAAGGTGACTGTCTCTCACTCCATGTGTCTTGCGTAGATTTACTAGAGGAAGAATATAAAGAGAGAGACCTACTGCTGCCAGTACATGATGGCAGACAGTACTTTAAGGAAAGTCTGGACTCAGCAGAGCAGCTGAGGGACTGACCTGGAGACAGGCCCTAGGAACATCACAGGATTGTAGAGTTGGAAGGGACCACAAGGGCCATCTAGTCCAACCCCCTGCAATGTAATAATCTTTTTGCCCAACATGGGGCTCAAACTCACAATCCTGAGATTAAGAGCCTCTTGCTCTACTGACTGAGCTATCCCACAACATCAGTAAATTACAGCACCATATGAATTTCTGTTCTCTTCCCATTTCTGTTCTGCACAACCCAAATTACAACTTCTATTTATCTCTCTACTCTTGCTAGAAGTGAAACATTCCTCAAAAACCAAACTGCAGGTGGTATTTTACATCTGCGAAGAAACACTCAAATGGTTCAATAAATTAAAGTTACACAAATAACTGGCAACTAATTAACAAGCAAAATAAGCAGATCAGATCAAAGGTCTGTGGCCAATGCAACGAGGCAACTACTTAAATTAGCACATTTCCTCAGATGTTCAAAAAAAACCAAAAATATTATTTTTATGAAGATCAGTATGGAAGCCTTGATCACAGTGCTGGAAACAAACTCAAAATGACAATTCAAAGACTCAGTGGGTTACAATATGCCATGATTAATGGTGTACTGGATTGAGCTGGAGGAGTGTCTCTGGTAAGGGATATATTCTCTGTCCCAGAAATATCTCTGTATTGTTTGAATTAAGCCTTTGAATAAATTATGGCATGGATGTAAAACAATTTTCAGATATCTTCCCTTACAAAACAAAAAACAAAAAAAACCCTTTCTAAATTCACATGGGTTAAAAACATCAGTTAACTGGAGTGTGGAAGATTGTAAGTTATTTGGAAGATAACTCAGTTCATACAAAAGCAACCTCTGCAAGAGGGTACCACCCTGCTTGTTGATGTAAGCTCATGTCAAAGTGTTGGCAGTACAAATCACAGGTGCATTCCATAAAGAACAAAAAAGGCACCCAAAGCCTGTTTAACTGTGGTCCCGCTTGATGAGGTGGTAAATGTAGGACTCACCAAGGGTAAAATCAACACTAGCTGCCTATCTCCGGGAAGACAATAATATCACTTGGTGGGGTAAATGCGGGACCTACTGCAATTGCCACTGAGGAGTTCATTTTCACGATAATGGTGATCTTCCTTGATGGAGTAATGCAGGACCCTGCCAGATCCACCAAGCAATAAGGGTGTTCAGTGTCCAACAGTGGTAGTCCTGTTTGATGTAGTAATGTAGAACACACCAGGAGGCCAAAAAGGAACCAGGAGAAAATGACTAGGGAAACCACCACCACCCCGGGAAATAAAAACAAACGAAGGCAACACACAAGGTGTGGGTGGGTGTTTGTGGGGAAACACAAACATAAAAAAACCAAGAAGTAAACAAGAAACCTGACAAACCCAGCAAGGGAAGAGGAGGAAATAGAAGGAATGAACTCACAGCAAACGTAGAGGGAAAAAGGGAATTTTCGCCAGATAGGCAAAAGACCCGTCCTATTCCATCTAAGGCAGGGAAGATCTGGAGGGCATGATGACTCCTCCTGCTGGAAGAGGAGGCATAAAAAGAGAATGTCCTCCAACACAACAGAAATTCACGGTAAATAACATTTTCACTACAAACACATAGCGTGCTCCTACTTCCGCTTCTCCCTGATAACAAGCAGGGGCAACAAACCAGGATTCTTAGATTAACATTACATTCAAATGAGGAATCATGGTCTGTTTCACTTCAAACAAGCCATCATCTGAAGCCAAGGCTCACTGCTTCTGGTGTGAGAAAAGCAGAGCACAATCCCCAAGTGTGTTTCTAAGCCTTTGACTGTGGTGCATCAAAGTAGATCTCCATGTTCACAGTGAACCATTAACCATGCCTTACTAGGATGAGTGAATGTAGTCTATGTCACATAACTGGGCACTCAAGTTATTATTTGAATTTATTAGATGCCTTCTCTTGCCATGGGCAACTCAAGCTATCCTGTCTTGATCATGTCCACGAAAGTTGCCATAGTCTTCCACTTTTGCTCCAACCAGTCCTTACATCATCATGGTGATTGACCCTTTCCAGTGCTTTTTTTCTGGGGGTACACAGGGGTATGAATGCCCCTAAACATTTTGTGCATCTTTGTACTTTTGTCCATTTACTGTATTTATTTTTCCCAATTTGAACTATAAAATGGTGATTTTCTTGAATCAAAATGAGAGTACCCTTAAACATTTTTTTAGAAAAAAAGCACTGACCCTTTCTATTGATAGTCACCACAGGGCAAGCAACTTGGGGGAGGGAGGAGATGCCTTACTAGAAAGGGTCCTTATTGGAAAATGGGAGTGGCAAACCGATGAAATTCAACAAAAAAGAATCTTTTGGTATGCTAAATTTTAGGCTATGCTTTGAAGGCACTGTGTCTTAATCACAGATAAAATGTTAGGGCATCATAGGAAAAACGTCACACTCACACTGCCCAAAATAGTCAGAAAAAGAAGAACACCTATGAAAAATGGTCTTTTCTCTACACTTTGTCAATTACCATCAGAAGAATGAACTCAAATATATCATTTAAATACCAATGGTATTAGCCCAGTGATGTAGGACTACCTATGCTTGTGAAAGAAAGGAAGGAATGATTTGAAAATCTCATTTTATGAGCTGCAATCATTAAAATAAAGTCACATTTAAAATATGAAAGATCTGCTAGGAATTTTTATCACTCTTTTATAGCAGCAATGCATGTCACTGCTGTCTCTAGTGTTCTTCATCTTAGACTTTCCAGTCCTCCAAAACGTGTCAATACAATATTCATCTGTTAAGAAAACAGATAAGAGTTCTCTTTCACTCGGAAAAAAGCAGCGAGAAAAAGCTAAGAGAAATGGCCAGTCACCCACAAAGCTCAGTACAAAACATTTTTCAAATAAAATAAAAAAAATTAGGCTAAGCAACGACCAAAGCAACACACTCTGCAATAGAGCAGGCGTAAAAAATAATAATCAAAAGTACTCCAATAGAGAAACTGTCTCAGCACTGCTTTCTTGAAAGTTAACAGCATGCACTTGACTTGATACTATATTTTATTTCAACTGAAATTATTCACAAGCCCTCCCTTTATTTCTATAACAAGAACAATCTTGTTGTGTTTAAGCAACAACATAACTGCAAAACACTGATCACATTTATCTTCTCTGACCAATCTACAAAATGTCATGAGCAAGGCAACACTTTGTATGCGATGTCTCTGGGAATGCCAAGAAAACTGACCAATTATGCAGGCTGTCCTGGGCATTCCAACTCCAGAAACAATACAGAGAAATTCACATCTGATTAAGGTCCACATAAAAGGGGGGGTGCTTTTCAGCTTCTCAGGCCAGATCCTTATTAAGATTGGCCTTGTGGGTCAAATTTGACAGATGGACCAGGTCACTCACTTATATATCACACAGCATTATGACATCATACGATTGACAGGTGGTTGGAGCCACCCACCTGTTAAATACACAGCTGTGCAAGTCTTCCACATCCCTTTTAAAACTCCTGATCTCAGAAGATAAAGAGGGGAGTGCAGGGAGACATGCTATAAGACAAACCCCATGTTTCTATTTCAGCCTGAATTATGAACATAGGGGCGGTCTTAAAGCCTTTTGCAGAAGTGCTGTTGGAAGTAGTCACCCCCTTTTCTTTTAAATGGAGAGGAGAGCTGCTTCAAACCGTGTTTTTGAGAAGTGCTTTAAGGCAGCCCCTGTTATCCCATTTCAGCTGAAACAAGAGCAGCAGGGCTGCTTTACATCACTTCTCAAAAATGCTGCTTGAAATTTCTCCTGTGAGCAGGCAGCAGCGGCTTCCACCCACCCACCCTCCCTCCCTGTTACAGAAGAAGTGCACAAGGAGCTTCAAGGATGCTTTGAGAAGCACCTTACTCCCCGCAGAGAACAGGAACATAGCCAGCACAGGATTAAGCTCTGTCCTCCTGCCTGGCTGACATCACCAGACACATCAGCTGATGCACGGGTGAGTGTGGTTTGCAGGAAACGGCCTCGCAGGCCACAACTGGCCCATGGAGCTTCCCCACACCTGACATAGATCTAATAGCTAATACTTTCATTTCATCTTAACTAGAATTAAGCCCTTACTTACTGCCCAGTACTGAGGAACTTTCCTGGGGAACAATCTAGAAAAATAGTCAGACAGAGAGTGTGTATGTGTGCTGCGGAGGGTGTGCATCCTTAAGGAACCTCCTTAGGAAAGAAGGCATGTTCCAGTTCTCCATCCACCCAAATATCTGGATCTCTGGATTTGCACATTGGTCGGGACGCGGGGGGGTTCCCACCCACAGCATTAATATTTGCAACTTGTGCTGTCCCATTAAGTACCCATCGCTGATGTTCAAGATTCCTTCGTGCTGTATTTACAAATATTCATCGCACTTTTTGCTCACACCAAAGGAATGTAAAAATACTTAATTATGTCCTCATCTGGCAAGCACCTGCAATCAACATCAGCCACCTTAATATTAGGAAATACAGCGGTCACTGACAACTAAATCACAGCAGATTATCTTCTCAACATGCAAACTGCTATGTCCAGTTCACAGAGCAGCTGGCTGCATTTCTGTGAAGTCACATCGTCTGGCACAAGGAGCTTGCGTTCTTTCTACACAGAAAGTGAGCAAAAAACAGCCAGCATACCACAAGCAAACTGTCTACTAGCTCATAAAAGATCAATAGAAACTCCTGCTCCTTGACAAGTCTTTGAAGTGATGCCTCTTGGACTGGCTGGAATCCTGTGTAATCGACAATATGTAAACTCAGCAGTACTGAGTGGGGAGCAGATGGGAGGAGACAACTGCCTGAAAAGGCACATCATCTTTCCCCCTCTTTCTCACATTCAAACAAAATCAGATGATTTGTAGTCTACTCTGTAGAAGTCTCTGTAAAAAAGGGTTTAAGAATAAAAATAAAAAAGGTAACCTCAGTCAGGAGCTCCTTATGCATTCCACTACATTCAGAGACTTTCCTATCAGTATTACAGGTACTGGTAGAAACATTGATAAAGTCCCTGATCTGCTATTGAGGGAAAGTTCCTTCCCAACTCAACTCCATTAAGAGCTCATATGATTATAACTCAGCCAGAATGGAAAGTAATATTTTCCTCCTACCAGTTGTAAACCCTTGTTTATTCACAGTTCCCAAGATCCCCTTGGAACTGAAAAATAAAGACGAACTATCAAGAATTGAAAGAACTCAAGCCAGATCTTTCCAAATATGTTTTCCCCCCAGCAACATCTGGGAGAGCCAAAGGTTCCCCACAGCTGGACTAAGGGGCAAAGTGGGGCACCATGCATATTCCAACTGATATACTTCAGCATCCAATTAAGATTTAAAAGGCAGAGAAAGACATGCAAGGGAGGAAAGGTAACCAAGTTAAAGAAAGTGGATTCTATGGGGAAGTTGTGGCAAAGCCATTCTCGTAGTAATGCTTATTGCTAGGCCTCCAAATATATTTGGGAGAAGACTTAAGATTGCTTCCCACCATTGCCAACATGGTCACAGGGGTGGACTACCACTGAATAAGACCAAAGGGAAGGAAGAGCATATAGAAAACAGCAGGTAAGGTGAAGCAGAACCACCAAGGGACAGAGAGAGGGAAAAAGCAGAGACCAAGGAAAAGAAAGCGGACAAAGCTGGCTCGGAAAGGAAAGCTCTGTCTGGCATTCACCCATCTATTCAGAAATAACCCATCTCATCTGCAGTATCAATTTTCATGCACATGCCAACCATTTGATGGCATATTCATAATAATAGTTAAAGGTTTATAGCTTAATATTTCAAATCATAGTTAAGAGACAGTGAAGTACCTATACCTCCTACGAAACCAGAGCTGAGTGGCCAGGAACTGATATCCAAAATCATTTGATTAGGAGCTAATTCTCTCTATGTAATTACCCTGCACAACCGCAGGGACTCAGAACATTTTCACTTTCAAACACAATAACCTGACCTATGGGACAACTGTAATTCTAGTACTGTTATCCGTTTAGTTATTCATGCTTTTTAAGTTCCTCAGAAATACTAAGTGATATTCCACTGCACTTTTTAAATTTAACTAAAAAAAATGTTTGTTTAAATCATACCACATCTTTAGGGTAGCAAGATTAGTTGTTCCAGGTCTTACCTAGGGAATTAATGTGGTGTTTTGTTATGGCATTGTCCCTCATCTTATGAAAACAGATGCATGTCTTTATTGAAAGCACATTAGGAATTACTAGTGGCTCCCCACAACAATTAAAGCAGGCATTAAGGAAGCAAACCCTAAGTGCCAAAGAAAAACACAACAAAAGCTGAAATGCACCCAGAGTGATAAGCTCAGCCACCTTCCTTTCCACAAAAGGAATGACAGCTGCAGCAATAAAAAGCAGAAGCAGACAGAAAAATGAGGAGAGAAATCATAATTATATTAAAATTGCCCTTTTACATATGAAAGACTTCTAGCATTGGTTGCAAAGTTAATGCATTTAATATAGGGCAGCTGAACAGAAAAATGTGGTCAACAAACTGCAACCAAAAGAGTGAATGCCTGAATAAATAGAAGTACCTCTAGTTCAACTAGCGCTGCAGTCACTGCATCTGTTACAAGAGCCCCAGCCTGTAGCTTTTCAATTGCCTAGAAGACAGAATTTTTAGGATATAAAGTTTTGCCTCTTATTTTTTACATACTAAATCTTCTATACAGAAAAGGCCAAAGAGTCACTTGGTCCTGAGACAGACATTACAAAACATAATTATAATCAAGAAGGGTGCAGGGCAGGGATGGGGAACCTGTGGTCCTCCAAAGTTGCTAGACTTCATCAGCACCAGCCAGCCTGGCCAATGGTCTGGGAATATGGGAGCTGCAAACCACTAGCATCTAGGGGTTCCCCATTCCTGGTGTATGGAGTACTCTGAGAGGGGAAATAAAGGATCTAAACACTTATTTCACTATTATTAAATTGAGGCACCACATAATACCAGTAACTCTGACTACATTGTACTTCCCATATTAAGATAACACTAGGACATTAAAATACCAACACTACCATTTACACAGATAAAAATGGAATTTCCCCCCAGTTTCACTGCATGAAATAGGAAACAAACCAGTCAATAATGAGAAAATAATTTTCAAATTATGGATTTGTAAAGAAAGCATACTTCTGTTCTGAAACAGATTTCCACCACACACACACTGCATTAACCTAATGCCACACTGTGGGCGAAAAAGATGTTATAAGGCTTGCTTTCAGATTAGACATTTGTTGGTTTTCTGTCCAGAAAGTAGAGTGAAGTGAAATTCCAAACCCAGCAACTAAAAGCAACCCAAACATCTGACGGACTGGGAAGGGGAGAGGATCTACAGGGAACATCTTCCATTGACGTTCTAACATTTGCACTGGCTTACTACAGTCATACCTCGGGTTGAATGTACTTCGGGATGAGTGCGTTCGAGTTGCACTCCACGGCAATCCGGAAGTAATGGAGCGTGTTACTTCCGGGTTTTGCCGCTTGCGCATGCGCAGACGCTCAAAATGACGTCACGCACATGCACAGAAGCGGCGAAAAGCAACGCGCCCGTGCGCAGACGTGCCATCACTGGTTACGTTTGCTTCTAGATGCGAACAGGGCTCCGGAAGGGATCCCGTTCACATCTAGAGGTACCACTGTATAACACTGAAGACAAATCTGAAGATTTTTTTATCCAACAGGGCTCCAATTGACAGAGATTACCTCTGGGCCTTCCTCACTTCCTATCATGATTTCTACAGGTTGATGAGCTTGGGTTCCTAACAATGACACAAGGAGACATTCCCAATTGTTATTCCCCAATTTGAGAATTCCTTCCCTCCAAGGGGTTCAAGAAAGCCCAAGTGAGAAGAAATACAAAATCCCACTTCAACTCAGAAAAATATTTTTATGGTTGTTTCTAAGCAAGTTCTAAATATGTAACTATATAAATAAGGTTGAGATTTTAAAACTCTTAAAACATATTAAATAGTGATAAAGCTGAAGTTAAAATACAAGAGGCAAGGAAGCTGGTTACTCTTTAGTCAGTGCAACGCCATCTAGGTCAGATACTATACCAAGCGTAGTAAGAGAAAAAATGGAAATAAAATAGTTAACAGTGCAACCATATGCATGGCTACTCAGAAGTAAGTCTCACTGACTTCAACAGGACTTACTCCTATGTACATATGTGTAAGATTACAGCCTATGTAGAGCTAATAAAAAGACAATTTGTGAAGATCCAAAGTTTATCAAAAGCATCTTGCAAAATGAGAAAATTAAGAAGAACAGAAAGATCAAGGCATTTCAAGGTGTTGAAGCAGCTGAAACACTACACAAGTAACATAAGCATTCCATTTTTTTTCTTGCACAAGATGATGACTTTCTCAAGTATTGTGTAGAAAACTCTTAAATTTAAAAATTAATTTTAAATGTTCAAAGTTGCTATCAGAGAGATGACATTTTTGAATTTATAAGTTATATATTTACGGGAGGGGACATCCTTGTGTATACATGGAGAAAAGAGTAACATTTCAATTCTGTACTTCACGAAGAAATACAGTAACATGTTCCAAAAGATTAAACACTTGCTCCAAAACTAGCAAACTCTTACCTTCCTACATGCTCTTTTGCACACATGCTTATATTCTTTGGCTTTGGATTCAGAATGATACCCTGCACCTAATATCAAGGAAGATTTGAAGGGAAGAGGCGAGAGAAGGGATTAATTCAATTCGTAAGACCCTCCCACTTTATCTAAAGTTAACGGAACTAAGCTTTCCTCACCAATATAAAATACAGCCCAGCTCCTTCCTGGAGCTAACAAGCATCCATCCCATTAAAAGTTCATTCATACACGCTGCCATCAGTGGGGGAACTGCCTCCACCTAGTGCAATCCAGCAGTATAAGGACATGCATGTGCACAGTGCAACCTCAACAATAGGGACTGAGCATGTAGGTCTTCAGCACTCAGTCAGCACCCGGCCTCTAAGCAGAGTGCCAGCTGCATCAGAAATACCCACACACACGCCTAACGCTAAAGTGTGAAACTGCACCACCATGCAGAAGCAGCCTCCCACACTGGGCCACAAATGTAAAAGGGGCCCAATACAGTTTTTGTTTTCAAATGAGAAAGTGCAGAAGAATATGACGTTAAACATAAAATGAGATGTCTCCAGCTCAAATGAGAAGTGCAAAGATATATGCATCATACTTCCTATCTTAAATGAGATGAAGCATAGCCCTGAATGAGAGCAAATTCCTGCATATCAGTTTCTTCTCTACGCCCCATCTTCCCCCAAAATATTATACACAAATTTCCTATGGGACACTGCACATGCCTTCACCTGCATGGACAAGTACAAATCCCACTCGTCTCCCTTTCTGAGCTTGCTTTGCTTCGTGTTCTTTCACCATCTCCCCTACTGCAGTGGTATGTGAAGATCTGGAGGGTAGAACTTCTACTGAGCTTATCCCCTTTTCCATGCTCATACTTCAAGGTTACCATCTTCTGTGGAGAACAGCATACTTCCATCCAAGAGAAAACACAGCTGAGGACTCTCCCTGAAAACAAATTAATAAGCATACAGTATAGCATTTTTCTGTCCATTGGAGATTTCATGCGGTATATTTTTGTGAAGGTACTACCATTCCATGTAGGATGACCACCCCCCTCAGTACAAAAACAATTATAGGAAACACCAGATAGTAGCCTACATATGTGACAACGCTGTACAATATAGTCATATCGCATATCTGACTTTTCTATTGTGCTAATAAGCTAGCCTTTAAATAAAAACAGAAACAAATATAGAAAGCAGTTAGGTTTTTAAAACCGCCACCGAAAACCTTTAGATGCCTTCTTAGTTTGATAATTCTAATAGGAATGTTTTACAAATGGAACATCACGATTCCCTCAAATAAAAAACTCAGGTGTCCTATGAATTTGAAAATAAAATTGAGTCACCCCAAAATGAGGGGCTCCCTTCCCCTTCTGAAACTCCACACCTGCCACAAAATCCAAGTATTAGAATGTTAACTATTTCAGCATGTCCTTTTAGGATCTCAAAACCTACTGCAACAATTGGTCAGTTAAGTGCAGAAGAACATTATTAATGTAAAAATCATAGGATATTTTATTGAATAGAATCATAGAATTAGAGAGTTGGAAGGGACCTCAGAGGTCATCTACGAAGGAATCCCAGTCTCCCATCCAATTTGAAACCATACCAGAGCCTGCTTAGCTTTGCAAATGTAGCGGTAGCTTTATTGCTTGATATTCCTTTTTACATTAAGTCATATATTATACATATATTCCTTTTTACATTAAGTCTCCCCCCTCTCTCTCTCTCTCTCTTCATGTATGTAGCATTTACTTCACAGCAAGCCTGCCTGAAGCAAAGCACACACTGGGAAAGGTGGGAATAAACGCAGCACCATCCCCATCTCATCACACCCAGAGGCGACTTCAACACAGGCCAGCAAACCTTCTCAAGCAACTTGGTCTTACTTAAGCTCAGGAGAGCTGTAGGGCGCAGCTGGGCTCTAAGCAGCCAACAGAGACCAAGATGGTGATGGATGGTCCACATGAATGGCCACAAATCGGAGGGGCTGGGAAGTTCCTCAGTCACATGGCAGGAGAAATGTCAACCGCCATCTCTACTCTGAGAGGGCTGTAGCCGGAAAGGGCTCATCCACGCGTCGCTATGGCAACGGGAGCCCCTGCCTGGGACCCGGAGAGTCGCGGCTTCGGCGCCTCACGTCCGTCAGGAGAGGACCCGGCGAGGCCCTGAGTTCAAGGCGCTCGGCTCGAAGGCTCCAGCCTCGCTTCCACCCCTCAGGCACCGCGGACGAGGTTACCGCGCAGCCCCGGGGCCCGGCCCGCCCTGCTAAGCTCCGCCCTCCAGCTCCCCAAGCGCTGCCCTCCTCCGTCAGCGTCTGGAGACTGGGGAGCGAGCGACCCAGCCGCCGGCGCGACGAAGCCGGGCTGGACCTAGCGTCGCTCTCTCGCATGCGCGCGCGGCCTTGCGTCGGCGCGTGGCGGGAACGCTGGCGCTGCCTGAGGCTCCGTTGGGAACACTCTCACTCACTCACTCACTCACTCACTCACCCGCCCGCCCGTTAGCGCGGGCTTGCGGTTCTTTCCCCGGCGCGCGCATGCGCACCCGCGCCGCCGCATGTTTGTCGTCAGCCTGGCGCTTGTGTCTCGGCGAGAAGGGGAGACGCTAAGAGATGCGGGGGTTGGGGGTTGGAAGAGAAAGCCCGACAAGCAAGGCTTTCTTTCGGCGTCGCCTTGACTTCCGGTTCCTGCTACATTGCCTCCACCATATGCGGGGCCGAGAGTGGCGGAAGTGCTGCTGGAGAGAAATCGACGTTAGTTTAACAGGATGGTAGTGAGCATCTTTTTATATATATATATATATTTATTTATTTATATCTCGCCTTTCCAACCCCCCCCCCCGACAGGACTCAAGGCTGCTTGAAGATGAAAACAAGAATCACTTTTTTTAAAGGAAAAAAACCCCACGATTTAAAAACAATTAAAAACTATACACATACTGTTGTGAAGTGGGGGCTGTGTGATTAACAAAATCAATCCTGGCAAACTGGGAATATCTCCTCACTCACCCAAGTTTAGGATATTCCATTTCAGCTGAGTTTCTTTTACTTTGAGAAAATAAATGGCTCACGTAAATGTAAACTTAAGCTTTAATCATATGCCCTTTTAAAATGTGGGGTTTTATTTTTTGGGGGGGGGTTATTAGGTTGTTTTTCATGTTGATTATATATTTTGTGGTTTTATATTTTGATACTGTTCTGTGAACCGCCCTGAAACCTTTGGGTATAGGATGGTATATATATTCAATTAATAATATAAATAATGAAGAAAACGGTGACAAAATAACATAATGGGAGAAACTAAATACAATAACATGAGGCAAGAAACAAGAGGCAGTTGGTCCCTCTTAAATGACATTCTCAAATGAACATAACAGAACACACACTGAAGGGAGAGGCTGATTCCGGGGCAAAACACACAAGTCCCACCCACCAAATGCCAAACATTCTATTCAAATTAGGCCCCAGTGTTTTCCTTACACATACTGTATAAAATCTGTTTTAAAACATACAAATAATTACTGTCATAAAAGCAGCCAGTTCCCCAAAACCTGTTGGAACTCTGGAGTTCCAGAGTCTGGGAGCAGCCACCACTGAGAAGGCCCTGTCGTGCATCCGCACAAAGCATGCCTGTGTGAGAGCAGCAGGCCTTTCCTGAATATATATATTTTTGAGCAGGCTCTGGAACAAACATTCCTTCCTTTTCCTTTTTTATTTTTATTTATGATTTTCAGTTATATACATTTCAATAGTTTTACAGTCATTTTAACATTTCAAAACTCGACTTCCTCCTCTTTCTGTGGTTCCTTAAATTTATTTTTTATCATTTCCAGCATATTCTAAATTACCTTAACTTATTCTTTTATTCATCTACTTTAATTATATACTCTTATGAAACAGCAGGTTATTAGAATATCCTTATCTGTTTACAATTTGTTTATAAATATTCAATAAACCATTTCCATTCTTTTATATAAAAAAACCTTTGTTATCTTGATTTCTTATTCTTCTGGTAAGTTTCGCCATTTCTGCATAGTCCATAAGTCTTTGTATCCATTCTTCTCTCGTCGGGACTTCTTCCCATTTTGGGGCAAATAACATTCTTGCCGCTGTAGTCACATACGTGAATAAATTTCTATATTGTTTAGGTAATTCTACCCCTATAATTCCCAAAGGAAAGCTTCTGGGTTGTTGTTTTTTACAAATGTTATTTTAAATATCTTTTTCAATTCATTATATATCATCTCCCAGTAAGCTTTAACCTTACAAGACCACCACATGTGATAGAAAGTACCTTCTTTCTCTTTGCACTTCCAACACTTATTTGATTTTGATTTATACATTTTTGCCAATTACTCCTTCCTTTTTCAAAAGAAGGGAAAGTCACTGGATAAACTTGTCATACCATCCAACATTCCTCAGGTGAAAATAGGGACATTTCTCACTCCCCGCCCCCCACTCACCTGACCCTCCTCAACCTCCAGCATGGTGATAACAGCAGTAGAGAGCACAGTGCAAGTTTGTTTTATGCTTCTCTCTCAGCCACAGCCTAACAACCAATAATGCTATATGGATATAATACCACTAGGCAGGGCTGGAGTGTGTGTGTGTGTGTGTGTGTGTGTGTGTGTGTGTGTGTGTGAAGCCAATGTGAGGGTAGGTGAAGTCATTTATTCTTACAGCATTATCTTCTTTGACTATTTCTTGCTTTAGCTGCACACACAACATACATTTAAAGCACATCCCACCCTAAGGATTCCTAGGAACCATGGTTTACCCGGCACAGAGCTTCAGTTCCAGGAACCCTTAGCAAATACAGCTTATCAAGATCACCCTCAGCATTTGGCCAAGGAAGTGACAGTATGGCTCCATAGTGTCTTATTTTAGGGGTCTACATTAGGGGTCTACATCTTTGAGAATTCCTGGAGAACAGGCGACGTCCCGGCAGACTGGAGGAGGGCAAATGTTGTCCCTATTTTCAAAAAGGGGGAAAGAGAGGACCCAAATAATTACCGCCCAGTCAGTCTGACATCAATACCAGGGAAGATTCTGGAGCAGATCATTAAGCAAACAGTCTGTGAGCACCTAGAAAGGAATGCTGTGATCACCAATAGTCAGCATGGATTTCTGAAAAATAAGTCATGTCAGACTAACCTGATCTCGTTTTTGACAGAATTACAAGCCTGCTAGATGAAGGGAATGCAGTGGATGTAGCCTACCTTGATTTCAGCAAGGCATTTGACAAGGTGCCCCATGATATTCTTGTAAAGAAGCTGGTAAAATGCGGTCTTGACTATGCTACCACTCAGTGGATTTGTAACTGGCTGACTGACCGAACCCAAAGGGTGCTCATCAATGGTTCCTCTTCATCCTGGAGAAGAGTGACTAGTGGGGTGCCACAGGGTTCTGTCTTGGGCCCGGTCTTATTCAACATCTTTATCAACGACTTGGATGATGGACTCAAGGGCATCCTGATCAAATTTGCAGATGACACCAAACTGGGAGGGGTGGCTAACACCCCAGAGGACAGGATCACACTTCAAAACGACCTTGACAGATTAGAGAACTGGGCCAAAACAAACAAGATGAATTTTAACAGGGAGAAATGTAAAGTATTGCACTTGGGCAAAAAAAATGAGAGGCACAAATATAAGATGGGTGACACCTGGCTTGAGAGCAGTACATGTGAAAAGGATCTAGGAGTCTTGGTTGACCACAAACTTGACATGAGCCAACAGTGTAATGCGGCAGCTAAAAAAGCCAATGCAATTCTGGGCTGCATCAATAGGAGTATAGCATCTAGATCAAGGGAAGTAATAGTGCCACTGTATTCTGCTCTGGTCAGACCTCACCTGGAGTACTGTGTCCAGTTCTGGGCACCACAGTTCAAGAAGGACACTGACAAACTGGAACGTGTCCAGAGGAGGGCAACCAAAATGGTCAAAGGCCTGGAAACGATGCCTCATGAGGAACGGCTAAGGGAGCTGGGCATGTTTAGCCTGGAGAAGAGGAGGTTAAGGGGTGATATGATAGCCATGTTCAAATATATAAAAGGATGTCACATAGAGGAGGGAGAAAGGTTGTTTTCTGCTGCTCCAGAGAAGCGGACACGGAGCAATGGATCCAAACTACAAGAAAGAAGATTCCACCTAAACATTAGGAAGAACTTCCTGACAGTGAGAGCTGTTCGACAGTGGAATTTGCTGCCAAGGAGTGTGGTGGAGTCTCCTTCTTTGGAGGTCTTTAAGCAGAGGCTTGACAACCATATGTCAGGAGTGCTCTGATGGTGTTTCCTGCTTGGCAGGGGGTTGGACTCGATGGCCCTTGTGGTCTCTTCCAACTCTATGATTCTATGATTCTAATTACCGGGGATTTCATTACCCATTTATTACATTTATTTCCCACCCTGGCAATGATTCTATGAAGAAAATTATTCCCGTCAATTTTTGTTCTTTGTTCTGGAATACATTACGACAGCTATTGTGGTGACCATAGTACTTGTAAGAGGTAGAATCAAATGACTATATCAAAAAATTGGTCATATACGGTTGCCATATTCTGAAGAGGACACATTTTCCAACTTCTACTTTTAACTATGGATCGCTATGACGACTCTACCCATGAAAAAGAGGGTGCGTCTTGGAAAAAGAGGCCATAATGTCTGTCTGCTGCTTGCGTGTGTCAGAGAGAGAAAGAGAGGGATGTCCCTGCTACAACCCCCACTTCATCTCAAGACCTATTTGTGATATGCACTGTATTTCTGGGTTCCTTTGCCGAGCGATTAAGGTCAGTTGCCTTTCTCTAATGCAAACTTTCCACAGTCGCCCCCTCAAATGTTTGGACAGGCCCTGTGAAGGGCATTGCTGCATCAGCTCATTAAGTCATTTGCTCACAAGTAGCTACGACAATGTAGTGTTCTAAGCAGCACAGCTGTCTACAATGGCCATATGTCCTACTTAACAGAAGACAGACCTCTGTTTGAAGAACTGCCAGGTCCAAGTCCAGTGGAAAGATAAGCAAGAAGTCGCCCATCAACAGCAGACTGAGCAGGCATACGCCGCTGAGTTTTTAAAGAGTCCACATGACATTACCCAAAATGTGTGTGTATCCTTTTGTTACAATATAGCACTGTCCGATGCATTGTTTCTCAAACTAGCTTCACACAGACTGTACAGTGGTACCTTGGGTTAAGTACTTAATTCGTTCCGGAGGTCCGTTCTTAACCTGAAACTGTTCTTAACCTGAAGCACCACTTTAGCTAATGGGGCCTCCTGCTGCCACCGCACCGCCGGAGCATGATTTCTGTTCTCATCCTGAAGCAAAGTTCTTAACCCGAGGTACTATTTCTGGGTTAGCGGAGTCTGTAACCTGAAGCGTATGTAACCTGAAGCGTATGTAACTGGAGGTACCACTGTAGTTCCTAATTTGTCCTTAGCCACATGGCCTTTGCATAGGGTTGAGATAATCCCTGTCAGGTCAACACCCTCTGCTGTGTGCACAGACCAAAATCAATTGAAGCTGTGCAGATGTGAACAGCTGGAGGGAGTAGAAATAACTCCTCTGCTCTTTAAGGTGGTCATGTGAACTCACCCTAAGTCTCCATGAGTTGGGCAACCTGTATCTGGGCAAGGGGTGGGGGACTGGTGCAATTCATTGCTCTTCCGTAAAAAACATAATCTCACCTTGGGAAACTACCTCTGAAAGTTCTAGCCCTTCCCTCTCCTTGGCATGCTCATTGTCTATGTGTAAAGAATTCATTTCTTATATTTCTGCGGAGGAGCACTAACTCCTGTGAGCCTCCATCTTCAGTCCAAAGATGCTATGACCCAGACACAGGGTGATCACCTCCTTGCATATATACAGGATGTTTGAAGATAGGGGCTCTACCTCAAACGATGAGAAAGAACACAAGGGGTGCTGGTGTGGCCATACTTGGTTGGCCTTGGGATGAGTGTGAGGTTGATGTGTTTTGTTAAACATATGGTTTAGCTCCGTCAAATTTTGTTGGATACTTTTTGCATTAATTTTAAATTGAACTCACTGGAGACAGGGCAGGCTAGAAAGACAATGAAACGAAGAGAGCAAAACCAGCAGTGGGGGCAGGCAGAGCGGGGGCAGGCAGAGTCCCTCACTTGTTACCAAAAGCAAAAAATTTGATCCTTTCCAGCAGCTTTAAAAGACCTGGAGGACATGTCTGTTCGGAGCTGCTCCTTCTCTACATGAAAGGGTCCCTTGCCTGATATCCTGCCAGCACAAAATGCTTTCTTCAGCTAGTCGCCTTCTCAACATGACCAAAACGTTTCAGCCTGCTTCCCTGGATCAGCCAGAATAGCATTCTTTATAGCTCCCAGTTGTCTTAACACCCACTCGCTAGTCCTTCCAGTGCACGAACCACAGCATGGCAATGTAAAATGTGATCTTGCTCTGCCCCTTGCTTTCACAACTCTAGCTCTGTACTAGGGCCAAGCCAGAAAAGGGGGGGGGGGAGAGATGAAAATGCTTGAGGCTGGAGTTCTCCTTTATTTCCGCCCACTGACATTAGCAAGAACGGCTGCGTGTATGAAACATCTAACCGCAGGACGTCTGACAGTCCAGCGCTCAATTTTCATGCTACTATATTTGTTGCTGAGAATGCCCCCACAAATCACCTCCCCTCAAGAGAGCCGCAGTGAGGGAAGGATTTGTGGTCTCATGCATCAGATACAGGTACGCCAAGCCGCCCTCTGATTCTCAGCATGCCCACGAGATGATTCTTGGTTTTGGGAATGTGTAGGAGTAGGAAGGGAGATGCTGTGACTAGCCCTTGCAACAGGGATGGGGAACTTCTAGCTCTCCAGATGTCGCTGGCCTCCATTGATCACCCATGGCCATTGGCTATGCTGACTGGGGCTGATGGGAGTTGGAGTCCCAAAAGGTTTGGAAGACTGCACGTTTCCAGCTCCTGCTGTATACCCTGCTCATTGCATACAGATAGTGTTATGTACTGAGTTGAATAGGATCCAAAATGCAGCAGTCTGATTGGGCCTAGAACAATAGGATGCAAAATGCAGCAGTCTGATTGGTCCTAGAACAATAGGATTCAGAATGCAGCAGTCTGATTGGTCTGCAGGAGCCATCCAATCCAGCTCCAGATGGAAGTGAATTCACAACCTGATTGGCCTACAGGAGAATCCCAGAATGAGCCAATCACGTGCAGCCCATTGTGTAAATAATGTATATAAAGCAGATACTTTGGGGGAACTTTCATTCCTCCTCACCACTATGAGCTGAATAAAGAGCATGAAATCCACTCTCAACTCTGAGTATATTTCAGATAACATATGAAATGGATATACCAACACGATTCCTGAAGGAAAAGCAAAAATCAGTGGAGGGCTTGGGGCATTCTGCCTTCTACAGTACAACAGTTTGGGGGCAAAGTTTTGGGTGACTATTATATTCTTCTCCTGGCTCAGTCAAAGCACAAGAGGGAAGAGGCCAAAGACGCAGCTCATATCTTTCCTGACAATGGGTGGTACTTGGTAGACTAACTTCTGTACAGTGGTACCTCGGGTTAAGAACTTAATTCTTTCTGGAGGTCCGTTCCTAACCTGAAACTGTTCTTAACCTTAGGTACCACTTTAGCTAATGGGGCCTCCCACTGCCGCTGCACAATTTCTGTTCTCATCCTGAAGCAAAGTTCTTAACCCGAGGTACTATTTCTGGGTTAGCGGAGTCTGTAACCTGAAGCGTCTGTAACCTGAAGCGTCTGTAACCCGAGGTACCACTGTACTTAGTAGGGAAATCGACCTCACATGGGGTCCACCCATGTGATCCCCTTGCACAGATCACTTTGCCAGATTCCCATCCCCTTTTGCGCCTGTAGTCTATTTATTTGCATTTATATTCTGCCTCTTTCTCGAAGGAGCTCAAGATGGCGTGCCTGGTTTTCTCGCTCTTCATTTCTTCCACACAACAACCCTGTGAGGTAGGTCAGGCTGAGAAACCCAAGGTCACTCAGTGAGCTTCATAGCCAAGTAGGGATTTGAACGCCGTTCTCCCATGTCCTAGTCCAACACTCTAATCACTGCACCACACTGGGTCTCTGTACAGATGCCATTGGCTGCACATACATCAGGGCAAGGGCATTCACTGAATGAATGTAGGGTTTTTCTGAAGAGGCCCATAATATTCATTCTCCTGTCACAGTATGAAAAGCAGCTTGGAAAGAACCAAGAGGACTCAGAGATACATGACCCAGTACCCCAGCTGTGCAAATCATTAAGAAATCTTAATTATATTCCATCAACAAAGCGACAACTACATGTATGGTTGGTATCTGTCCATTGACAAATTTCTCCTACGGTCTTGTGGCTTCATAGGGAAACATCAACATACAAGAGTTTACTAGGACAAAAGGTTTAAGTTCAACTTACCATATTATCAAATCTTTTTAAAACCATTTGGCTGTTATAGTAGGCATTCTGATTACAAACACAGTTACATAACAAGTATTAAATAATAATAATTAAATGAAGTGTGAACATTTAAAGTGAACATAAAACACAATTATCGTAATTTAAAGTAAAACTATAATATAACTAAAGATAAAATTCAGGTTGACAGGTACTGTAACATTTTCAGCTGCTCGTTTTCTTGTTTTGTTTTTTAAAGGAAAAAATCTTCAATAGCACTGTTTATTTAAACTATGTGTCAGCATGGCTTAGCTATGTTATTTTTGGAGGCTACAGGAATATGAAAGGGAATAAAAACCAACTGTTGCTGTTGATTGGAAATAATAAATTTAATTCTGGAGGGCAGAAATAATAAAAAACATGCGTGCCTGTTTATCTCTGCTCGTCTGATCTTTTCCTTTGTGTTATTAAATAAATCAAAACCTCTTGTGGTTCCAACCTGTAACATAAGATCTTTAAGTGCCTGACTTACGCATTCAGCAATCACCACTATGGCTGCCAACCATGGAAATGGCTTGATACTAAATCACCTTTTAAATGCACGCACACAGGGTTACTTTTTTCTGAGCTTTAAACAAATTCATTAATAGAGCTATGTAGCCACTACTTTTCTGTTTCCTGACTTAACAAAGAAACAAGAATCTGCCTCTTTATGGTTGGGTATGAAGGTCTGGGGGGGTGGGGGACATGGTCAATAAAATGTTACCTACCATGCTGAATCTTTGTTGACCTGATGGCCACAAATCTCATCTAAGTCAGGGTTGATAGGACTTTGAGGTTGTAAACATAGCTCCTGAAGAATAACAGAAGACCAGCAGACCTATGGAAGACAACAGTTCCTGAGCCCAAATGGCCTGAGAAGCACTTTCCTTCTCACCTGCTACAGTGGTCTCCTTGCACTTAATCAGACCTCCTGCGATGCTGTTCAATGTGTGACATCACAATGGATGTATTCATACTGCAAACTGACATTAGATCATTGTGATGCAAGACACAGGTGATATGCTGAGATATCTTTAGAGAGCATTAAACCCAGCAAGATCCCTTGTGTAGTTCTTTGGGCCTCTGGGGAGAGGGAAAGAAAAGACTGTCATATAGATACAACCCAAGAATCTATTCAGTTGGCAACATGTGAGCAAACACAGAACTTATAAACAAATACAAGCTGTCCATATAAAGTGAGGATAGAATAAGCACGCACAGAGAATGAAAGTTGGCTGAATTTTGGAATGATTTAAAATAATACCAACCCCCCCCCCATCCACATACCTAGGGGGATTAATTAACAGGCCCAGTACAGAGAGAAACAGAAGGAGAGAGAGAGGTAGCACGTCATCGTTCTCCAAAACTTTATTTCCCCTGTGACAGTTCAAAGTACAACTGGCAACTTTTGATTTTCTGTTGGAATAAGCATATGCATACCAGACTAACAATAACAGGGCAATTTTAAAACCAATTTGCTGCTTCTTTGTGCTAAAGAGTTCTCTTCCAAATCTATCTAATTTATTTACTACAGGGATGAAGATGCTCTTTAAAGTGGGTGAACCAAATTTGAACAGCCCCCCTCCCAATAATGTTGATACGAGGATCCTTAACCTCAGTGAAGTGAACCCCAAACTCAACATAGTAAAGGTAAAGGTAAAGGACCCCCGACAATTAAGTCCAGTCACGAATGACTCTGGGGTTGCGGCGCTCATCTCGCTTTACTGGCTGAGGGAGCCAAAGTTTGTTATTCCAGGTCATGTGGCCAACATGACTAAGCTGCTTCTGGCGAAACCAGAGCAGCACACGGAAAAGCTGTTTACCTTCCCGCCAGAGCGGTTCCTATTTATCTACTTGCACTTCGTGCTTTCAAACTGCTAGGTTGGCAGGAGCTGGGACTGAGCAACGGGAGCTCACCCCGTCGTGGGGATTTGAACCGCCGACCTTCCGATCGGTAAGCCCTAGGCTCAGTGGTTTAGACCACAGCGCCACCAGTGTCCCCCAAACCCAACATACCTGCCTTCAATTGGAAGGAATCAAATCCCCAAATACACACAAAAACCCTAATTGGTTCAAAATAGGCTGCTCACCAGTCCTCCAGCTCTAGAGATGAGCAAAACTGCTGTAGACTGCCTCTTGCAGTGATTTGACACCAGGTATAAATTGCTTTTACTAATTTCTCCTGATCTCCTTTAAGGTAATAGAGGCTAAACACAAAACGAAGACAACCACCCAGCTAGCATTTTGAAAGATGAGAAAGTTGCCGGTTTTGACCTCCAAAGCCCCAAATGGCCTGTGAGCAGAATATTTCAATAATCACTTTGCCTAGCTGAGGATGCCAAAGAATTTCACTCCCATCTCGAAGACTCTTTTCTAGCATCCAGCTGTAGTGTGTGGGGTGGGGGCCTGTCTCTGAGAGACATGTTATGCCTGCAATAAAAACTCCCTTCTCTGGGTGTGGCTCCTTCTATAGCTCAGTAGTAACTAGTTGAAACCTTAGCATTACCTATGTTAGCAAATCTTAGCTGCTATGCTGAGTTCTTGATTGGTTGTTCGCAAATGACGTTTTCCTGACTCCTGCTGCTTCCTGGTATTATTGCAAAGTTTCCTCAGAGTGTATAGGCTTCTGAAATCCACCTGATAACGATACCTGCCATCAGAAATATCAGTTGTTGTCAAACTTTTTGAAATCTTCAGAGTGCACTGTGGGTGCTGTAACAAAATGGTTACTATGAAGGGAGCATTCATGACTGCCATTTGGTGGATAAGTACTAAAGATTAAGCATTTGGGGTTGTTTTATCCAAAATGTAGAACACCTAAGCCTGGCCCAATCACTGTTCACTAGTAAAGCAAATATGGCTTTTTTTAGCAGGTCTTTCAAGAATATTGCTTTTCTTAACTCCTGCTGTGTAGCAAATTGTTACAGATCATTTGAACTCTTATTCTATTGTTGATTGCTTTATTCTTTTAAAAGCACCTCAACTATATGTGCAATGCAGAAAAAAGAAGAGAGAAGTGGCAAAAACCAATAGTGAAAGGTAGCTTGAGCTCTTCAAATTCCCATGAGGACAAGGACTTTTTACGGTGCATGGAATGTAAATCAAGTGTGTTTTATGCATTTCCTCAGAATAAAGTTTCTTCCGATAGCTTTGCCATGAAAATGTTCCAAATAAATTCTAAGTTAGCCAAGTCCAAATATCTGTGGCTGCTCCAAAATGCTCGTATTTCAGATACAAATGATTAAACCTTGCCTAGGAGTTTCCATAAGCCAATGCTTTTTAAAATGAAATCTTCCAAGCACTCCACTGTGAGCTGTAAAAGGTGTGATTTCAGAGCACACTTGAAACCAAATCATGTCATATAAGGCTATTTGCCCTGCCTACACCCCCCACACCATTCCGAACATGCCAAAAGAGATATACTGTACCATGGACAGAAGATTCAGTTCCAGTTGGGATGTCCAACTGGGCAATGTTAGAACAAGAAGTTAGGTAATGAAGAAAACATGAGTGATAGTAACTCTGCCATTTTTCATTAACAATAACAATAACGCAGAACAACAGCTTACCTGTACATACACGAGCAGTAGTCTTGGAAGTGTGAGCTGGGCCTCTGTAGGAAAGCAAGGATAATGGCTCTTTTCTACCTGGTAGCATCATTAAGGGCAGGAGAATGAGGCTCTGTCCCTTTCATTCTTTCTAAATGCAAATTATTCCTAACCACAAATTGCTTTGAAGCATTCTCTGCTACACACCTTCACTTTCCCTTTGACACTTGTAGCCTCAGGATAAGAACAAGCATTGCCATTCCAGTAAAGGAGAAAGTTGGGAGGAACTTGTGCTCCCCAAAATCTGCTCAGGATGAGCACCAAGAATGAACTCCTGAAAATCTGCTAACAGATTCCTTCCCGGGTATCATCCTAAATAAATAGATAATTTAGCTTGGTCCTAAGCACTGTACTGAACTGAACCCTTACGTATTGGTTCGGAGAAGATCCAGGGGGAAAAACAAATCTGGGGAAAAATTCAGCCTTGTTAACTAAATTGTTGTGTAGCTCCCTTACAAGAGCACTCTCCTATTACGACCGTGGCATGATTCGAGTGAGAGAACATTGCAGCAATGGAGACCTGTCACAACCCAAAAATGGCAGCTGCCATTTATTTGAAGAGGTGAAAGTAGCAAGCAGAATAGTCAGGAGAGTGGTTGGGCCTGCATCTTTGGGCTAGCCGCTAAGCCTGCTAAGGGGATTAGGGGGACTCAATTAGATGTTCCAATTTCACCAATGGATTCATTGCTCAACCAATTACATGCAGTAAGAAAATGAAGTCTCTTCAGTGGAGATGAGCACCTGGTGATTTCAAGCAAAGGGAACATATAATGGTCTAAGCGCAGAAGGGGTATTCTTTTTATTTCATACTGTGTCATGACACAGTCACGTACCCCTGTAGAATTGCACAGCAGGACCTGCCCTGCAGATCTGTATATTGAAAGGAGATGGCCTTCCCTGAATGCCAAATCCTTCTATTCTCATACAGTTATCTGGCACTACCATGGCATTAAAGGTCTTTAAATTGGTTTTTTTTTAAAAACTGAATCAAAATGTCAAAGCACGCATTTCCCCAATTTTAGCCTAAGTTTCATGTTTATAAACATCAAAAATGACATAGCACTAGAAATTCTGCAAGCTATCGTAAATCTTTAAGAACAGACAAGCACAAGCATTATTAAAACGAACCAATAATCATGTTTTTATTTACAGTTGTACAAATCATACATTCAAGGCAGTCATACCATGTTTTCAGTTAACCCATTTTGTTAACAAGTTTGCAACCGCAAAATATTCAGTACACCATTATGGGGCGGAGGGAACCCTTGTCTAACAAGGATGAGGAACCATTTGGTTGCCGAACTATATCCAACTCCCATCAGCCCATGCAAGCATGGCCAATGGCCAGGAGTGGTGGGAGTTGCAGTTCAGCAACATAAGTAGGGCCAAAGGCTCCCCATACTGGGCTTATACCACCTCTCAAACATCAGTTATCAGCTGCATATTATAAAAGTGGCAAAGACTTGAGTCCTACCGGGAGAATTCTGTAGGAATGCACGACAAACAATCACATGAAAGAGAGCAGGAGTACACTACCAATCCCTCCCACCATGTCGCTGTCTTCTGATGGCAAGCTGGAGAGTGATTTAAAACCTTGCTCTCCCTTGCATCTATGGACAGAATTAAAGGTCTGGTGTTTTTTTATGAAACCAAATTGTCTGAACTATATTTGGCTATGTTACATGTATTTTTTAGGGTGACCTTGTCCGAAAATTATTTGGCAGATACTTTTGCTAGAATTTAAACTTGAATTAGCAGAAAAGTTGGAGATGGTCTTCACCTGTAAATCAACATCAACTCTGATTTCTTCAGAACTCCAGTTTCCTTCTTCAATGTTTGAGCTCTGCTTATTTGACTTTCTGTTTCTTCCTTGCTTGAAACTGTTCTGTTTTATTCTTGACGGACTTGATTAGCATTGACAATGCAGGATCTATGGATTTCTTGGCCGCAGGCTCTGCCATATTGTTCCCTCCCCCAGCTGCCTCAGCAAAACCTTGCTCTCTTCGACGAGCTTTCTCCTCCAAAATCTTTTCCACTGCTTTTGTTTTCTTAAAGTTTGGATCCGAAGGATCCAAATTAAACAAATGAGAGGTATACATGGCTTGGAATCTGGCATCAGCAACATTAACCTGCGAAGAGCAAGAGAGGATGCTTTAACTGCAATAGCTAAAAAAAAGTAGGAGAAAAATGTGCCCTGCAGGATAGTTGTTAATCAAGAATCTAGATCTTAAGGAAATGTGAAAATGCAACAGCCTGTTTTAAATATTAATTTTGACCCATACAAAAATAGGTTTATTTCATTCCAGGAAGGCGGCATTATTTGGGCCTCAGGAAAGTCCTTGGAATTTTTCTTCTAGATAGCATATCCGCCCCCCCCCCCCCGCCATAAACACAAAAAAGGATGTAAAACTTTTTTGATTTCTGACACCAAGCTCAAGATCTGCAACTCAATCCTTTAAGTGTCCCTTTGGATAGAATGATATAAAATGTGTTTTTGCATAAATCGTAATGTAGTTATTGATCTACTTTAACACAAAATGACTAGCACTGTTATTAGACTTCAATAGGAGGAAGCCCGTAGTGTTACCTGGAAGTCATCTGTCAGCAGTTCCTTCTTTTTCACCAATAGTTTCTTTTTCTTTTTGCTCAGGTTCTGCTGCTCCACTATCTTGTCATAATTGAAGTGTCTCCTTTCATCTTCCTCATCATCCATCACCAGCAGAGCCATTTCAGCCTGTTACAATCAAAACAGATAGGATCTGTTTGCACAACATTTCACCGAATATGGGCTGCAGATGTTTCTGTGCCTCATCTAAAGGTTTGGGCTGCTAATGCATAATAGCAAGAGCTGTAATTGCCTCATCGGTGCCTGAATGACAGCCTACCAGCAACCCCCCATGTAAGATACTCTGATCTTTCTAACGGAATACCAATATATAAGCATCATTAATAAATGTGAACAATAAAAGAAAAACTTCAAAACGAGATCATCCATCTCATGGTTTGTTTTTGCAACTCATTACTTTTTGCAGAGTTATTACCATGTAGTTTCCATTTTTAAGGTAAATACAACAAATCATTCCGTCACCCAATGCAACTTTGTAGTAATGTTAACACTCCTAACCCCAGGACTTCATTCCGATGTCTAATCTTAATACTACTTCAGCATGTAATCTACTACCTTATGCTTTTCCATGTCATCTTCATTTTCTTGGGCATTTTCTTCTTTCTTGGACTTCTTATTTGAACCTAATTATAAGCACAACACAAATAAAAAGCAAGTTTTAAAATATCCAGGTGTAACCAGATTGGCGACACTGCAAGAATGTATGCACACTCTCCTGAATGCACGCTGCAGAAAACAGTTACATTTATTTGAGAAAAGTCAGCTGGAAGTCAACATGGAGATGCCCAAAGAAAATGGTCAGAGTCTTTTCCAGCTATGAGCAAGTAGAGGGAGTTGTTAGAGCGGGGGTTGCCAACCTGGTGCCTACAGGCACCATGGGGCCCGTGAAGGTTTTCAGAGGTGCCCCTGTGCAGGTGTTCCAGATCTGAGCTTTCATTTTTTAAAGAAGTAAGTCTCTAGCCCTCTTAGAAAGAAAGTTATAAGGAGAAATGTGCAGGTACCTTCAAAAGGATTTCTTTGCAACGAGAGTGGTGTAGCTACCTTTTATATTTTTCCTGGTAGTGATGAATGTTCCCAGTTGTTAGTAGGTAGCAACAGCATCAGTGTGTGTGATCTTCATAGTCAGGGACAGCAGGACATAGCAGACTTCCCAAGGGTGGTTCTCTCTCTTATTTTGTGTTCTGCCACCCTCCCCAAGGTAGCCATTTTGTGTTATGCCATGCCTCACAGCAGCCATCTCAGGACCAGGACCTCCAGGATTTCCTCAAAACTGAAAATGTGTCCAGGAGTCCCAAAATTTGCATTGATTTATTTCTAAAATCTAAATTCAAAATCCATATTCAAAAGGATGTCTTGTTTTACAGGTTCCCATTGGTGCTTGTTAGGGGAAAGGAAACAGTTTCCTTCTGAAGGAATCAAGCTTTTAAAATACGAAGTTTGCCACATACAAGCTGCATTGACACATAACAATAAGTGAGACTTTCTGGCTTAATGTGGTTTATCTGAAACAAGCAGGATGTGTGCTGCCTGATTGTTCCAGTTTATCTCCTCCCCTAGTGCGAGCAGGTTAAACAATAAAGCTATAAGTTTTAAGAAACCCTGGCTCCCTATTATCTCTGAACCAAGCAATGGAGTTTACTGTTCCCTAGCAAGTCATGTTTACCAAGTCCACAACAAACTATGGTTTCAGGTTGGCTAGTGATCATGCTTTGTTAGGGAGTAACAACCCACCCATGATCCTTTGGTCAGGCAAAACAGGAATCAAAGGATTCCTGGTTTCTTTATGTCACTCATGCCAGTTAAAGTGAGAGTGACTGGGCAGTGAGCACAAGGAAGTCTGACTAATTATTACAGGTGAACACAGTCATACGATTAAGAAGAACCCAAATCACGCTCCAGGCAGCATATGAAAGGGGCACCCCTCTAAAATTATGTGCAGTATACATTACGTAAAAGCTGATCTTTTTCTGCCCCATGTACAGAACTCATTCTAACCAATTCCCCAAAGAAATATGTTTTTCTGTCAAAGTTGCCTATGGCATGAAACATTTTGAAACAAGCAAACCACAATGCTGCATGTGTCTCCAGACTTGGTTTCCAGGAATCAAAAGAGAACAACAATCAAATCAATCATCTTATAAAAAACTGTTCAGGTATGATAAAACACAGAATATATTATGTGTTCGTAACAGTAACAATCCCCTGCAGTTTGTATGAACTTTGTTTTATAGGCCAATCAGACCCAATTGCTCTCAATTTGTTTTCCATCATCGGCCAGTAGGAAATATGCATTTTGTCTTTTGCTGAAAAAATAAATTCACTACTGAAAAGTTAATAATCAGGTTGGAACAGTCATGAAAGTATTTTATAGCAATGCCTTGGAGCCAGGCTCAGTTGTAGCAATTTGTTATTTTACTTGATGTTCCACAGCCAGCAGATTGCTTTTTAAAACCTTAAAACGCATTTGAACATTAAATGAAACCTTTAAAACATTGTTAGAGAGAGACACAAAATGCATTACTTGAATTATTAGCTGCATATATGTGCTTAAATTCCAGCTACAACACTTAGTTTCATAAAACTCAATGGGTGTTGGTTAGGGCATTTAGGAACATACTAAGGAAAAGATCTGCAGTTGCCCCAAAACTTTCAGCGACAATCTGGAGAGCTGTCTGAGTTAACTTGGCTGTTTAATAGGGATTCGACTTGTTTTAAATTGTAAGCCACCCCCTGGGAAAACTGCTTTAGAACCTTGGGGGCATTTTCCAAAGAAGCTTATGGAAGCAGCATGGAGGAATGCTTTTCAAAAGGAAGTTATAAATCTTGCTAGGGACTCCAGAAATAGCTATTTGAAATATGGTGGCTTTCATTGACAGGAACTATTTCAGTAAGGATCAGTTCTACAATGGTTACTTTAATGTAACATAGTACAGTACAACCACCTATCGACTGCAGAAGGGTATATATAGTTTATTTTTCTCAATGTTGAAGGAACATAAGAATTTACTTAGCTGTGAATTCTCCTCCTGTTTTATTTCCCTAGACGGTGGTCTAGAATTCAGGGGTGGGGTCTTTAGAAGAGAGGTGGACTAGGAGATATTTCCCATATTGCCATTATATCATGCTCTATTTCTACAAAGCAGAAGGCAAAATCCCATACCCCAACTCGCTTGACAGAAGACACATAAGTAGGCTAACAGGTGGGAGCTGATCAAATCGTAAAGGAAACTCAAGCAACACAATTTAGCCGTGGGCATGGGGGAGAGAAGCCATTTCACTCACTAAGGAAAATTATACTGAATTTTGATGCTAGGGTGGGAGAAATACTGGGGCTCTCCTTGTGTGATGTTTTAGCTTCCTAAAAATAGTATTTTATCAGTTTGCCAGATGACCTGGAGGCTACATTCTTCCCTAACATCTCCCCTTCAAAAGAACTAAAATTCTCCCACTATAGGCAAATGACAACTACTCAGTGTTCCTGCTCCTCCCATCCTGGTGATATTCCTTCTCTCATGCTTCACTGGGCAGCCACTCTAGCAGGACACATTACAAAGGAAGTAGCTTCTAAGTATTATTTTTGTTTGTACCTGTCCTACTAATGCTGCCTGACTCTCAAGGATTTCCTCTGCCTAGTTTCTCTAGCTCTTCTCAGTTTAGAATTTCCTATAAATGCCTCGATTTCTTAACCACCACCTAAGCAAAAATACAACCCATCCACTGATCGTTTTAGTTGCTCTTTCCTATAACTTTTTCTGTTTTCAATATTCTTTCTGACACCAAAAGTGTGGCAAAAACTTATTATATATAGTGGTACGTCTGGTTAAGAACTTAATTCGTTCTGGAGGTCCGTTCTTAACCTGAAACTGTTCTTAACCTGAGGTACTACTTTAGCTAATGGGGCCTCCCACTGCTGCTGCGCCACCGGCATGCGATTTCTGTTCTCATCCTGAAGCAAAGTTCTTAACCCGAGGTACTATTTCTGGGTTAGTGGAGTCTGTAACCTGACGCGTCTGTAACCTGAAGCATCTGTAACCCGAGGTACCACAGTACTGGAAAATGCATTTGCCACTTTTTCCCCATGACATGCTGATCTGACATTCTAAAATGAACCAAAAGTATTCTGCTGCAGAGTTGCAATCCATTTAGAGCCTCATCAGCAAGCATGGTTAGATTCCTAAGGGTTCATCATCACATCTTATGACTGAAGGATCTTTAGGAGCCTTTGGAAAGGGAATTTGTCAACATTTCTATGAAAATCTTAGTACATGATATCTACTTGACCACCTTTCACAATAAATGACATCTAACCTGCTTTCCCAAGTTCCTCAGCAAAGTATGGGTCGTTCAAATCAACATCAGATGGGCATTCATCTTCCGTTACTGTTTCGTCAGCAGCGGCCTGAAACAAAACACATTGCATTTCAGTTACTAAACACCAGCAGTGCATTAGTAATACAAGTAAATATAATATACAAACACAAAGTTTCCAAATAAAAGTTTCAAGGAGTAACCTCAGGGTGGATATTTACAACACAGGAGGAAAGTGATTTAAGATGGCTGCTTTCACCGAAATCAAAGCCACTATAGGACTGTAGGCATCAATATGGGCTTCATTAACGATTACATGAACACATACACAAATTTCAATGCTTTATTAACTTTTGGGTGATTGGTATCATGGAGAATAGCTCTTTCTCCCTTCCTCAGAACCCTTCAACAGTGAGCAGCTGCCGTGCAGTAGACAAACAACTACAGTGGTACCTCTGGTTATGTACTTAATTCGTTCCGGAGGTCCGTTCTTAACCTGAAACTGTTCTTAACCTGAAGCACCACTTTAGCTAATGGGGCCTCCCGCTGCTGCTGCACAATTTCTGTTCTCATCCTGAAGCAAAGTTCTTAACCTGAGGTACTATTTCTGGGTTAGCAGAGTCTGTAACCTGAAGCGGATGTAACCTGAAGCATATGTAACCCGAGGTACCACTGTAATGTGTTTGCAAGAACACATCTATCTTTCAGCTGCCTCATACAAGAGGTACCATTTGTTACTAACCTTCTCCTAGTGATCAACAATTGTTCCTAAACAAATAGCACCCACTGTACCTTTCTGTATAGAAGCCACTGCTAGCTGGATAGAGCTGGAAGGTAAGTATTACCAAAGCCGGGACCTTTAGCAATAGTTTCCCTGGAGAAAGCATTTGTAGCAGAAGTCTTCTTTGCAGCATGTGTGGGGAACCTTTGGCCCTCCAGATGTTGCTGAACTACAACTCCAAACAGCCCAGCAAGCATGGCTAATAGTTCAGCAACCTCTGGAAGGCCAAAGATTCCCAGACCACTCTTTAGAGAGTACCTGGAGACAGACATCATTTGACTTACGTTTAGGATAATTACAAAGAGAATATATGGAAGAGTAAAGCAATACAGTGCAGTGGGTGTGTTATCAAGTGTAGATATGAGAAATTCGGGTGCAACTTCACACTTGATCTTAAAGATCAATGTGTGGGCTAAAAAGGAAATCACAATCTCTTAGCCTGAGGATAATATGATGCAATCTCTCTATAATGCCTTGTTCTTCCTTGCAGGAAGTGCAGGTTATTAATGCGATAAAGCAAATAATTAGGATTCAATGAGGCAAACAAGAAAAAGAATCAATGAACCAATCAATGAATCAATGAATAAAGACATTGAACCCAAAGTCATAACCATGTGAGCAATGTCTTGGGCAAATGCTACATTTTCAACAATCGCTGATCCAACACAGAAACGCCTTACCAAAAAATAACCTATTAGAATTGTGAGATCAGCATCTCCAGAATAAATGTACTCCGAAGCACAGTTGTCTGTTCAACAGAATTCCTTGGCTGACATATTCAGAAATAATGGACATCCATATGGAGTCAACACTCTCAGAGTAATAAAAGGCCAGCCTCAAAATTAAGCAATGTCTGGCACCCCTCTTGTTGACTTTAGAGGAACAATGAAGAAAAGTCTATCATCATGGGGACACTGCCATTAGTTTTCCAAAAGAAACCCAAAATGTATATTTCTTTGAAGACTTTCCCAGCGTTAGAGATACGCTTTTAAAATTCTGCAGGCAAAATTTGCTCACCACTTAAGACTTTGGACAAAGCTACAATTCTCATCCAAGGCTTGGCAGCTCCAACATGACATTTCAGCAAGAATGACCATTCCCTTTAGCAATGCAGAACTTATCAAGGACACAGGATCAAAGGAGGATTTTCTGGATAGGCTAATACACTTATTTTCCTTTAATCACAACTTTAAAAAAAAAAAAATCCCATGGCTGCCAAAGGCAATGAAAAGCGCTCAGGCCTGTTATGACTTAGTGCTACCTTGATCAATCACTTGCCTACTCTCAAGCTTTCTGTTAAAGCACTTCGAAAATAATGTATCTAAGAGGAATAGAACACAAGTTGTAAAGCTGTGTTCCAGGGAACTCATGGTTCCTTTGAGGCTTTTATCAGGGGTTCCTCAGCAACAGTGAGAAAGATTCCACATGAACCTGCCAGTACAGCAAGACAGTACCAGACGCTCTCCTCAACATGCCTGCCTCCGCTAGCTGAGATGTAGTGAATGGCAAAGGGGCTGAGCCTTTTCAGCGATGCCAACTTGCTTGTGAAATGCTCTCTCTGAGTTCAACTGGCATTTATGTTTGCTTTTTAAGCTGCTGCTTTTACTTTTGTTATTTTATAACATTAGTTTTTGCTGTACAATGTCCGCAGCCGCTCTGGAAATCATTTTTTGAAGGCTATGGTAGAAAAATTATAAATTAATTAATATAAAGTTTCTCGGAAGACAAGATTGCGTCCACTGTTACTAATCTCCTCTTGCATTGAGCAGCCCCAAGGGTGTGCTGGCTTTCCAAGCTATATCTGCAGGCATTTCTTGACAGATGAGTTACCCTGGAAAAGGGTTCCCCTAAAGAAAGTAAATTTGTCAGGCACTTGATTAAAGTTTTTACTACCTTCTGTTTTTTCTTCAGTTTCCTTTTCTCTTTCTTCTTATCCAGAAACTGTTCCCATGGTGTCAGCGCATCCTTCCCTTCCAACTTGTTTCTTACCATTTCTTCAGCGCTTTCTTTAAGTCCTGAGGTCAACCAGAAAAATACATGTAGCCAAGTTAGCTCAATACCTGTATCTGAAAATCTGGAGGCAGATAAACATCACACCCGCATGAAGCTACTGTCCAAATAGCAAATCAGAAAATACTACTGGTGAGCCAACTGAGGGATTAGAGAGAAGGGGCTTCATTCTTACTTAGCGGCAATGTCTCAGTGGGTAGTGACAAGCAACATTTCTCTGTCTCTCCAGGACGTTCCTTTGTGGAATTCTGCAAAATGCCATCTCAGCACCTTATCTATTCTATCTAGCTTTCTATCTAGATATATATATGTGTGTGTGGTGCCATTATGAAAGGCTGGAGTCTCTAATATGGAGTTAACACCTAGTGTGCACACTTTCTCCCTCCCCCAGTTCCAGCAGTTTTTGTACTGTAGAAAAATGGACAATGAATATGGCAAGGGGCATCCCTAACAACTGAGATGGAGCTTTTCTTGTCCTCCATCAATAGTCTTGAAGTGCTCCTGGATGTGCAGTTGAATCTGGAAGCTCCAACTGCAACTGTAGCCAAGATTGGCCTTCCTCTACTCCAGCTGGGAAGAACTGCAATCCTTTTTGCTTGTTCGACATCTAGAAATTGTGTTTCACATTATATTTCATTTCAAGGCCAGCTGGTTGGCTCTATTTGGGGCTGTGCTCAGAAACTGTGGAAGCCCACTTCTGATTGGCTTGGCAAAAATGCAAGTGCTCTAGATAAGAGACTAACAACTTGAAAAATACAGTTAGGTAAAAACAGCAAAAAATCCACATAAGGGTGGATGGCACCCTTCATAAGGGTGGCATAAGGGTGATGATAGTGCTCCATACTAATTTTTTTCTTGAAAAATGCTCTGCCACCCAAAACGTTTGAGAAGCCATGGCTCTGGAGACTGCACTGATGGACACCTACCCCTTGTCATCCAGGCACAAATTAAAGAGCTGCTCTTGACAGTTAACAACAGATCTATATGCAGGCTGCTAAAATTATTTAATCTGCTTTGTTGTTTTTAATTTATCCATTTGCTTGATGGTGCTTTAGTATGCATTTATCACACTTTGAAGGTTAGGTCTATTTGTTTATTATACTTTTACAGTTACTTGGGCTAGACTGGACAATAGATAAATGAGAGACAGAAGGCTTCTGGTATAACAGGAAATCCAAGATTCAAAGCACTAATTCAGTTATTTAAGAATTAGTTTAGAAAAATCAGAGAAATTTAAATAAAGTGGTTATTACTAAAATTAAGTGCAAATTAGTCAGAATAGATAGGCAGACAGAATTTATCAAGTTCTTCGTATATTAATTTTCATTAGCAGCTGCAAGAACAGAAAGATCAAAAGAAGATGATGTTGCTATCGTCTACCAGTGTATACTCCCAGAGGGAGCTGAAATCATCAGCCCACTAACTTAAGATTGTCATCTCTCTAGTTCCCTTTCGTCATCTTTGTGCACAAGAAGAAATCTTTAAGGGTAGCATTCCCAGACCTGTCAACAGCTAGAAAAAGTTGCATATCATATTGAAATGTTTGATTGAAAGAAACATCCTCCTCCCCCAGCCCCATCCAATGACGACTTCATAAGGCCAAAAAACCAAAAAACCCACATCCCATGGGAAAGCATACTACTTGAGTTACAAGAGACTAGAAAAGAGCATAAATCAATTTCTTCTAAAATTCAAGTTACCTATCATTAAATGTATTATCTTCTACACACACTCTTGGGCTTTCTTGTCCAGCTTCCTGCAAGCCCCTTGTACCCCTGAGAATCTGCTCCCGAAGGCTGAGCGCCTCCAAAATGGAGAGCTGAAGCTGGTAGTGTGTAGCAACTTTCAATCCAAGAGTGCACTATTTTACATTTACACACATGCACACTCTGTTTGGACATAATGCCAAACCATGGTTTGATACTAAACATAGTTTAGTGCAAACCAGTTTGCTGTTACACCTGAACTGACAAACTATGGTTTGCAATGACCCTGCAAACCAAGACTTCAAACCAGCAAGGTTTGGTGTTACATATGAACCAACACACACAGTTCTTTATAATGGCCATTAAACAGAGGGCCAGATCTCCATTTCTAAGGTTTAGCTTAGAAACAAGTAATTTTTTAAAAATCTTAAAAGAGGTTAGAAGAGATCATTTACCCATAAATGATGGAACTGCATGCACAGCCAAAACTTCCTTTTCCAGGTTTAACTGCTACAGCTACAATTCCTGTTTTTCTAAACAGAACCTTAAACACTGCGTGTCGTGATGTGCTAGCAGTGTAATGCTTTTTCCAGCACAGGGAAAAATAATTCTGTCATCCAGGAGGACACACTGCCTTTTCACCTAAGACCAAAACTATCATGTCCCTTTAATTATATTTTTTACTGAATGGACATGATGGGAGAAAGAGCTCCGTTGAGATCATGTACTATCCCTATATAAGACATATTCTGGCAACTGCAAATATACTAAAATATTATTGTTGTTATTATTATTAGCAGTACTAATGTTATTAGTAGTAACAGTATTTCCCACCCTTCATCATATGGTCCCACAGAAGGTTACAACAATTTTTAAAATGCAATATCAAAATCAGCTAAAAGAAATTACAGCCAAGAGAATGAAGTGGCTCCCATAAGAAGATATCCGAGATGTCAAAGGCCAGGGCAAAGATAGCTGTTAATAATTTTGGAAACAGTCTGATATGTTTGTTCATGTGAGATATATGCAAATAGTGGTTTTTTAAAAATGTACTATTGTGATCTTTATCACCTTTCTGTGGTTGTTTTATTGAGTGACTACTACCCAGAATGAGATCGCTGGATTGACGGACAGATATAAATACTTCAAATGAAAATAAATAAACTGAATGAGTTTTCCAGATTTCTTAATCAACTGCCTAGAAAATAAAATCAATTGCTCCATCTGGAAAAGTTGGAGTGGAAGGAACAGCCTTTTCATGAAACCAGAAAGGGATTGAACTTCCTCCACAGATTAGATTGTCTTAGAAACAGCCAGCCAAATAACTTTCCAAGAACAAATGTGATTGTCTAAGGGGTGACAATATACAAAGCGTAAGCAATAAAATGAGCTGTTTAGAGCCAACAGAACATATACTTAGAGGCTGAAGGAAGCACAATTATCCCTACGTTCATCGATTTAAAAATGCACACATACAGTCACAAAACTTTCTTATTTAACACTTAATACTGAAAATTCAGTGGAACTGTTGAAGATAATGAACTGCAGAGCCTCCCCACGGCAAACCACCACTGCAGAGAAGCACACTGTGGACCATGTTTTCATGGTTTGTGAGCCACTGCAAAGACAGAAATACCTTTGATGAAGGGCAAGATATAAATCTCTTAATAAATAAACAAGAACAGAACCCAGACATGGAGTGTGGAGAACTAACAGGCACTGTTCATTCCCCTTCCTTCTTTTTCTCCACATGAGACTGGCTGTGAAAGTCCTTGTGTTAAGACGTTCCCAACTCACATGGAAACTGCCCTTGTCTAAAAACCGGTTTTGACAGATGCCACAGAGTGGCTGCTTCATAATGCAAGCCATTTATTGCATTAGCATCCCATAGGATTTGGAGACTGGAGAGGACAGACCGGGGGGGCGGGGGGGAGCAGGGCGGGCGGAGAGAACAAGGAGATTTTATTCACCCTGTCGCAAACTTTCTGCCTGGAGGTTTGCAGAGGGACCTTTCTTCATTTCAATTTGCAGTGTAAGAACACCGTGCTTTTTAGAAGCCACAGTCAAAAGAGAGCAGCTGAAAGTGACCTGTGCATGGTTTTCAATCAGAAGACATGGATTAACATTGGGTGTGCATGCTACACTCAGGACTCAACTCCTACCTTCAACAGGGGTGGAGTGACGAATACTAAGGAGGTAGAAGAAGCAAAGGGCTGCATTTGTATGTGGAGGCATTTGGCAGCTGCCATTTTGAAAAATGAAACACCACCGTGCCTCCATGGCAACTCTCTCCCATTTGCATATTAAAGGCACAAAGCCCCACTTTGGGTCATAGCTGGCAACTCCATCTTTCTTGTGGGGTGGGGAAAACCTCAAGGCCACAAATATAATAGTCAAGGAGTATTTTTCAGCAGCTCACCAACCCCTAATATTATTTCCCCTAAACAGTGGTTCGAAGCTCAGCCAAAAATAAGCCCCAAAAGACAGAGAAAAAGAGTGAAAGAAATGTTAGCTTTGAAAAAATATTTCAGTACCTTTTGAAAGAATAACTTGGAACTTACATATTTCTATTGCTGAATTTAAGCTGGTCAGTATTAAAAAAGAGAAAGGGGATTAAAGAACACTGCAAATAGTATAAGCCATCTACCTGGAACCCATTTGATTTCCATTTCCATATCAGTTTCTTGATGTTTCTTTTCTTTTTCCTGGATACTCCTAAGTAGTTCTCTGTACTTTGCTATTTGCTCTTCATCATCTTTGGAGTGTTGCTTATGTTTATCGCTGTCTGTTGTGTGCTTTACACCAAAATCTTTAAAAGAAAAGAGAAAAAGAGGAACTTCCAATAAATAGGTATAGAAGTCTAAAAAGGAGAGACGGCTCATCTTAAGCATAATACACCAGGGATGTGGAATCTGAGGCCTTCCAGATGTTGTTGGACTCCCAGTTTCCATCAACCCCAGCCAGAATGGTCAGGGATGATAGATGATGTAGTTCGTCAACATCTGGAGAGCCACAGGTTCCCCAGCCATAGTCTGTACTGACAGAATGGCTCTTCCGGATTTTATACTGGGACCTTTTGCACGCAGAGCATACCATATCACTGAGCTACTGTCAATTACCCTGAATTTAAATAGGTATTGTATTTGGAAATGAATAGTAGTCAGAAACACTTTTCACCAGCTCCACCTTGTGGAAAGCTAACACAGATTTTCCTCAATAACTGCATTCTTAAATTTAATCAAAATTCAGTTTATCCTTTGGGGGGAAAATATTTATAAAGCACAGCAAACCAAGATGAAATGGAATGACTGCATAAACCTCTTAATAAATATATAGAAGAGAGTAAGAAGCACAGAATATTCTTCTCATCTGATCACACTTTTTACATTTCTATTCTAACAGCTGAAATTCATTTTCCCCCTGTTTGTGCTTAATGCCACAATAAACACACTGGCTAGAATTCTGTCATGTACCCAGTAAATCAATGAATAAAACATCAGGATCATGTTAAGGAAATGGCTGTGTATTTTTCTATTAAAAGCTTCTTTCTGAAAACATAATTAAATTCAAGAACTTTCCAAACTGGAAATACACCAAAAAGTCTTTGGTCTGGTGACACAGTTTAAACCACCTTTTTTAACTACAGTGTACTTTCATGTAGCCTGGAGATCACAATGAATACATAATGCAATAAAAATAAGACATTTTCTGGAGCAATAATCAACAATAGTAGATTGAAAGTATTCTTTCTGCATTGTGATGCAGCTGTGATAAATTGTACGGAATAAATAGAAAACGGAAGTATTGCTGGCTTATATGTTCACTGAGTAACTGGGATGTTACTCTATCAGTTTCCAAGTGATATCCCATTTGCTTGTTTATTTCATGCGTGCACACACTCCACATAATACAATTAGTTCCCTCTGTATACCATATAGATCAGTACATCAAAAACTCACTGAAATAACTGGGGGGAAAATATATGGGAATATCAAAGTCCCATTACAATGCTTAAAAAAGTTATATGGGCAATCAAACTAAGTACCTTTCAGCTATATTTTGGGTTTCTCTGTATTAAAAATCAAAGTGACAGCCCTTTGGTGTAATGGTGTGTGCCACTCTGAAATTTTTACATGCCTGACTTCCACAGATCGTGGCATCAGTATAGATGACATAACTGGATATAAAAAGAGAACCCCATTATGGGGTACTAGTCCTTATCCTAATGTGACCTGGAAGTTATAAGTAAATATTCTGCTCTCCTAACACTTAATGTAAAGATCAGAACACTAGTTCTTTGTTACCAGCAAAGATTAATTATCACCTCCTGTAGGAAAGAAGGGTTTCTACATAGACAACAGAATCTTCCTTTGAAGGTAAACTTAGGGTTCAGGAAGCATGCAAGATAACCAATTTAGTCATTTATCCCTAGGGCCATGCCTTTTGAACCGCAAACTAGGCAAGGTAAACAAACAGCAAACAGACAGGAACTTGTAGGAAATAAACAGTGGCACACAGGAATGAAGATGTTAAAATCATCTCTTCCCCATAAGCATATATTAGCTTAGTACTTAAAAACGCCAGCTTTCCAATGGCCGGGTAGCTCAAAAGCTCAACAGGGACCCTCTTTTCACTCCACACTCTCAAGTATAAGCCCTATCCTTCATGGGTCCCCAGACCAAGGAATCAGTGAGAGAGACATTGGAGCCTTCCTGGTACAGGATATTGATGGGGAAAGCAGAACTGTCACAGCCCTCTGATTCCATGACTTGGGTTCCACCCTCTCCAGGGCAAGTATACCCTTCCTTGCCTTTACTTTTCATGTGGGCACTGTGGCAAATTGTCACACTCACTATCTCTAGGCTGTTGATAGGGATCCTGTTACTCTTTGAAGAGTGTTGTGTGATTTGCTGCCCACTTTTATCTGTAACTTCGCTGTTTGAAAACAGCATCCATGCATGCTTGTCACTTTTATTCCAAGTAATAAATCTATCCTTATTTATTTCCTACTGCATGAACTTCTTCTAGGCATTTGGTTAAGGTTAGAAATGCATATTCATAATGGATGCATGTTTTAACTGCAGCAAAAGTCCCTAAATCTATTGGGTGTGTGCACAAGAGTACATGTGAGTGCTGGATACACATGTGGGTTCAGACACACACTTTGTAAGAATGGCAGAAGATTTAAAGTTCTCACCACACTTTCTCTATCATCCTTGAGGAAGTAGAGAAAGATGGATCACTAATGCACCAGTAAAGGGCTCAAGCCTGTAAGATGCATACCAAATGTTATCCACAAATGCACACATCAGCTGACAAGGCTCAGTCTTCACAACCCACAGAATATTAAGTTTCTCTACAACTGCACGATTTCAGGAACCCAATTCCAAGAAAAAGAAACATTTCCATGAACGGTAACACTAGCCAGAGCTGCAGCAATTCAATTGTTCCCAAGGATCAAAGAAAACATATTCCAACCACACACAAAACTCCAAAACCTTGTTTACAGAATGATGGTTAATACAAATTGTTCGGTCTCAGCCACCTGTCAAATTTGCCCCTCCAGGGGTGGGGAAATAAGGATCTGGTTCCCTATCCATGCTTAACTTGCTTGGTTCCCAGTACGTTTCTGAGCACAATTCAAAGTGTTGGTGCTGACCTTTAAAGCCCTAAACAGCCTTGGCCCAGTATACCTTAAGGCGTGTCTCCACCCCCATTGTTCAGCCCGGACACTGAGGTCCAGCTCCGAGGGCCTTCTGGTGGTTCCCCCTCACTGCGAGAAGCAAAGTTACAGGGAACCAGGCTTCTCGGTAGTGGCTCCTGCCCTGTGGAAAGCCCTCCTATCAGACGTCAAAGGATTAAACAACTATATGACGTTTAGAATACATCTGAAGGCAGCCCTGTTTAGGGAAGTTTTTTAATGACTGATGTTTTAATGTATTTTTAATCTCCTGTTGGAAGCCGCCCAGAGTGGCTGGGTATAAGCAATAAATTATTATTATTATTATTATTATTAATAATAATAATAATAACACTGAACCTTCAGAAATGCAAGTACCTTGCTGTTCTTCCTCCTCTTCCTCACTTGATGAAGCCAAGTATGCTTGGAAGTCCATGTCCAGAAGTTCATCTTTTTTAAATGTTCGGCTGAGGGAAGTCACTCTCTCATGATCTGTCTCATCCCACGTGATGTCCACCTTAAGACGGAAAAAATATTGTGCTTTACCTTCAAGTCGCACACGTGTATGCATATACATATAAAGACTGGCTTAAAACAAACTCAATCCTCACGCTAGACCACAACAAAGACTCAACCTTCATATTCAGAATTAAAATTTATGGCTGTCAGCATTTCTTGCTGCACTCTGAAGGGATTTCAGAACAGCCCCATTCCCCAGTATGTCCATGATTTTACACAAGTGAAAAGCGGCAGTGACGAGACTGGGGAGAAAAGAAAATATGTAAAGACAAATGAGCAAGGGCTGGAGAGAAACCCCCAGAAATTTAGTTCCAACTGCAAATGAAATATTAAAAACTGAAGAGCTAGTGGTTTCTAAGTGTTGTTTTATGACCTGGTCAGCACTCTGTGCATGGATTAAGTGTTTACTGCCTTGCCAAAGAAACTTCCTTTGAAAGAAAGGAGAAGTAATTTGAATCCTAAAAATATATTTTATTCTTGGATATTGTCCTGATTGGCAGTAGTGGTGGACATTATCATTATCACCATCATCCTGTCCTACGGTTTTAGCAGGGTGTAGAGTAGGGCTCAGTTTACTACTTTTGCATTTATTCACATGGTTCCCGCTAGAGTGTCTAAATTCCTGACACAGTCCTGTTTAAATTCAGAGACTGTCTATGCTATTCTTTTCATGTATTGCATTTGAAGTCCTTTATGCCAGTACCAGAACTTATTATGTTGATATATTGGTATTTTTTGTTTGACATGTTCCCTGTTCAGAGTTAAGAGTTACTTATGTTTTTGTTCAATTATACTGGAATGCAGTGGTTTATGGAAATACACAGCAAATACCATAAACCACAGGAGACGGGGTGAAAACGGGGTCATAAAACATGAAATGGGTATATCAGAGGTGAAGCAAAAGATGTATTCTCATGCTATTTGGTATATGTAAAATGAAGTTTAGAAGTGAGATTTCTCTCCTAGAATGTTCTGGTTGATTGTGAAACAAAACAGATCACTTTTAAAGTCAACACAGAATCCATAAGGCTCTGTGATTTTAGCAACAGCCAATGTGGCAACAGGGTTAGAGCACTGGACTTAAGATTCTGAGTTCCTAACCCTGAGCTCCTAACATACAAATGCAATTGTATTCAGAACATGCTTTGCAACAAGCATCAGCTATGTGTCACCTTTGTTCCAGGATTTACAAAATTTCAAATGCAAACTTTCCGGCAATGAAAGGTATTTTTTTCCACTTGTACTACACACACAATTTTAAATATATATACGTGGAGACTGATGTGTGCAACAAATGATTGGTTACAAAGAGAGAAAAACAGAGTGCTTAGAAAAAATGACTCTGTATACAAATTTACACAAATTCTTTGGAAAAAAATGTCTGTATCCATTTTTTTCCTGAAGTGGAAGAACATGTTAATCAGATGTTTAAAAGATGTGACTAACGTGTTTGGAGTAATACAAATTCAACAGGCACATTAAACACAGCTAGCACAAGAGAAAAAAAGGCTATACAGAATGCATTTTAAGCTTTTTAAAAAAGAAAACTCCCAATCAACACTGCCAAAAGCACACACACACACACCGAGCAAGGTCATGAACCCACAGAAATCCAGTGCACAAGTCCCCAGGAAGATAATACATGAGAACTCCGCGTATGATAACTGCATCAACACAAAATGGATCATTCCTGCCTTTCTATCTACAGTGTGATCACTGCTGTATTTACAATCTTTACAAATTAAGAACTCGAAAAACTAAACAAGTTCCAAAGGGCTACAAAAACACTGTTAAGGTACCTTTGAAGTCGACACAGCAGCAGATGTGAAGTACTTTGGTTTATAAGAGTCCACTTCTGAGGCCACATCCTTTGGCTCGTCATCAAATGTCACATCATCTGGAATGAATCTTAAAAGCCGAAAAGAAAAGGAATTGTTATTAAAACAGATACAAGGAGGCTTCAAAGGAACAAATGTTGATAGGCCCAGCCTCTCTCTTAATTAGTATTAGCTGTTATTAGATATATTAGAAAACAGTTGTTGTTCAGTCCATGGTTTGGGTGAAGAGGTCAGTCAAAAGTGTTACATTTCACTCAGCACAGGGAATGTCTAGTCAGCTCCAGTTTAACCCCACTGAAAAAATGGTGACACCCCAATTACTGTTGCTGAACCTGTAACTCACAAGGCCTCGAAGGGTAGGAAGCCAGCAAAGAGGCAATAGCTTAGTGGAAGAGCACAGATGCTGGATGTGAAAAATCCCAAATTCAATCCCCGGGACCTCCAGAATCTTGGGAAGCAGAGCTGGAAAAGACCTGTCAATGAGACCCTGGAGGCACACGGCCAGACAGAATAGCAGACTATACTGAGTTACAACAGACCATTGGTGTGACTCTTTTTAAAAGGTAGCTAAGTATGTTTAAGGTGAAGTTCAGTTTATTTTATTTATTAGTTAACTTTATATATCACCCTTCATCCAAGGATCACAGGGTGGTAGCTGTATTGCTGGTTAAATGTTTAATGATTATTGTATTTGTTTAAAAACCAATTAAAATTTGTATTTAAAAAAGGATCACAGGGTAGTTTACAGTATAAAAACTACAAAAATACCTAAAATAACAAACAAAACCATAGCTCCACCTCTCTGCAGTTGCCACAGAAAGGACCAGTTATCATCATCAGCACTGAGAGTTGTGAATTAACCATCCTCTGGTCAAACTGTTCAGCATTTCAGTCGCTTTCAAAGCAATTACTCTCCCCGATATCCAGTAAAACATCACCAACTCCAGTGATGAGTGTGAGAAACTTAGGAGGGACATACTTCATGGCTCTCTGCTTATAGCATTGACACTGACAGTGAAGGAGCATGACACTCTAAAAAAGTAAATTCAATTTTGTATGCAACATTAAAACACAATTTTAACTGTGTTAAAAAGCACCCTAATATTCAAAAGATGCAAGCCACAGTCTGCTGTGGGAAAGGTAGCTTCAGTGCTTTAAAACAAGATATAAGGGAGCCAGAGTGTGTCAGACATTTGAATGTTTCAGCTGGAATTGAGGAATCTGAGTTCAGATTCAGCTTGGTCATAAACTACTGGGATGCTAGGGAAAAGTTAACAACTTCTGTCTCAGGAACCCTCTCTCAAAAAGAATAACAACAATTAACCATCTTCACGAAGCTGTCGCAGGAGGAAAAGAAAACCCCCCACAATACCTCAGGTCCACGAAAGAACAACTGCTTTCAAATTCCAATCCATCACATTCTTCATAAATTTTGTTGGCTGTTTCGGGAGTGTCACACTCTACAACCGCATAGAAATACTTCAGTCGCTTGAACTGATAGTCTCTCAGTTTTTCCTTATAAATGCTTTAAAGGAGAGAGAGAGATAAATCAAGTAAGGCTAAAAAAATGAAGGAACAATGAAGCAATTATACTGCAATCCAGTTCTCACAGCTGTGTGGCATAAGAGTATACAACAACATATGAAACTCTTCATGATTATGACCAAATATCAGACACTAGTGCCACAATACCGGACTCAGTGAGCTAGCAAGGTATTTTGTATCTTAGACCCTAGGAATATGTTCTGATGTACTTTAGAATCCGAGTTCCTTCACAACTATGGATACTCCAGAGCAGCCTTCACTAGCCTGGTGCCTCCTGATATTGTTGGACTCCCACCAGTCCCAGCCAGCATGGGAAATGGTCAGGGATGATGGGAGTTGGAATCCAGCAGCATCTGGAGGGCACCAGGTTGGGCAAGGTTACTCGAGAGCAGGCATCCTCGAACTCGGCCCTCCAGATGTTTTGAGACTACAATTCCCATCATCCCTGACCACTGGTCCTGCTAGCTAGGGATCATGGGAGTTGCAGGCCAAAAACATCTGGAGGGCCGAGTTTGAGGAAGCCTGCTCTAGAGTCATGGGCCAGGATATAAAGAGAGTTACTTTTGCTGTACCCAAGGGCTTGCATTCACACATAAATGGTTGTTGTTACATTTTTTCCTTTGAACAGCAGCTCTCATGCTATATCTCTTGAAACACCCTTGATTTGCAAAAGCATCTTGTTTTGTGGCATCAGGAGCTTTCGTTTGAGACAAAGAAGTTCAAAGGTACTCTGAACACAGCGAACTATTGGTGAAAAACTTTGAATCCCGTCCCCCGTTTGCCAATCCCTCCTAATGAATAGTTACCCAAACCATGGTAAGAAATCAATGCATGAGTGGCCCTATGCAGAAGTGAGCATGATCTTAAATTCATCGGCTGGTCAGGAACTTAGCGCTAATACAGCCTTCTTCAGCCTTGGATCCCTGGATATTGTTGAACTACAACTCTCATTAATCTCTGATGGCTAGGCTGGATGGGAATGATGGAAGCTGTTAAGTCCAGCAACATCTGAGGAACCAAGACTGAAGCATTCTGGGCTAAATGAACTGAAAAAGAAAAATCAACATGCAATAGTTTAGGTCTCCCCATACAATTCTACCGGCCACTGTTTACAGAGAAAGCCAGATATGTCTCTGCTTTAAGAAACATATGCATTTACATCCCCTAACTTTCCCCAATTACTTATCAGCATTATTATAATATCACCGTATATCTATCTACATGGCACTTGTTCCAAGGGCCCTACGGTCTGAGAACAGAAAGCAATGAATGAACAAAAGTGGCCATGCTGTTTGTGTTCTCTGAAGCACCAAATGTGTTGAAAATGCTAAACAAAGGTAAAGCTGCATTATGGTAACAATTAAACTAGCAATTTTTTCCTTTTCAGACTTTTAGAACTGATGGCATGTCTATAGCAGCAAACTGGCAGTGTTCGCCCAGAGGGAGAAAGGTTCCATCTAGTGGTAGAAATTCATTGTGCAGTATCATGTCAATACTTGTCACTTTGATACCCGAGGGTCATTCTGCTCATCATCCACCATCACAAATGCAACATGCAGCTGTAATGTTCAAGTTGCTCAACTGGTCAGCCTTGCCTGCCTCCACAAGAAGCAAACAATGAGGCTTAGTGTTACCTGCAAACCAGAACTTGTGTTTGTTTCTCTATACAAACCATGAGTGGAAGCCAAGGAGCAAAACAAACTTTGAGTTCTGATTCACATGTAGCACCAAGCTCTTGGCTTGTTTCTCCCAGATGTAAGCAAGATGTAGCAGAGTAGGAGCAACAGGGCAGTATGCACAGTGAACCATGGTTTATACCCAACCATTGCTTACTGTTACATGTGAACCAAACTAATGTTAGGTCCACTACATCCCAAATGCTTTGGTGTGAAGACAAAGTTTTTGGAATGAGATACCAATAGAAAAAAAGTATGTTAAACTAGAATCATTATGATATTGATTACTAACTTTAATTCTTCCTAGGATTTCAAAGGGGTTTATTTATTATTTAGTATATTTATTAGAAGTATATACTGCCCTTCATTTGAGGATCACAGGGCGGTTTAAAATATAAAAACACAGTACATAATACAAAAACAATAACCCTTCCCAATTTATTGGATTTCAACAGCAAAATTTTATATATATGGGAATTATTGTATGTCAGGGTTAAACACCTGTCATTCTCTGTGACATCTTCAGGAAGGCTTAATAGTTCAGTTGGACCATTCACTTCCTCCTCTTTCATTCTCTCTTTCCCAAACTCTGAAGGATAGATCTAGAAACAATAAAAAGGGTGCGTGACATAGTATTAAGTGGCTTGAGAACAGCTTGGGCTTAGATTTTAAATAATAAATTTCCCCATCTTTCCCTTCTGCCTTAACTATGATTTATACAATGAAATCCACTACTCACATTGCGCTATGAATAGGTCTTTATGCATGAGGCTCAACTGACATGGACAGAAGTTCATGGTAGACTGCTTTAACAGCAGAAATGTCTTAACTTTTGGTGTTCTGTTTTCATGCCTCACCAGTATACATTTTCCACAGAGTTCTATACTAAAGGATTCCTTATGGATTCCAGAGGGGGGGGGGGTTGCATTTACTGTCCAGTTAAAAGAGCATTCAGTGAACCTAACTGTGCTGCAGAATTGTAATCTTACTCTAATATAGGAGTGGCAAACTTATAGACCTCCTGGTGTGGTTGGAATTCAAAGTCCCATCAGCCTCAGCCAACATGGGCAGTAGTGAGAGATAATAGGAGTTGTAGTCTAGTAACATACGGAGGGCCACAGTTTTGACACCTCTTCCCACACCTTCAGTGCAAGTCTAACCAAGTATTTCAACTGAAACACCACAATTTACAATTTCTCCAGCACAACCCATGCTAGTCTCACAGTTGCAACTATTTGCAAAAAGATAGGTGGATTCCTTCGCACTTCCCCAAATATGCATTATTTGCACGCTGCTGTTGAAAACAAGTGCTTACCTTTACAGAAAAGATAAAACCACCTTTAGGTGTAAATGAATTAAGTAAAGCCAGTAGATCCTTAGCTTTCAGTCGATCCCAGTCCATGTTGCAAACTGCCAATCTACGTGTGATCTGTGTGTAAGAAAATAATTTCACAACAGCTGCCTAGACCTTTAAGGTAACACAACAGACTGCATATATCACCCTAAGTAAACAAAAATGCAGTTATGAAATTAGATTTGTGCACAAAGAGGACTCACAGTAGAGTATGAGCACTGCTACAGAGCTTTCTGCCTTGGAGAAGAACCAGAAAATGTGATCAACAAATTACATATTGACTTTCCTCCTCCAGTAAAGATCATATACCTTTGGCTGGCTGTTTCTTCTTCATATACATACATATACACATCAGGCCAGACAGACAGTTAACCATTCTTGCTTAATCCAAGGAAGGATAAGAACCCAGGACAGCAAGGATAAACTGCTAAATCCACAAAGACAAAACTAAGGGCAGAAGATACAGAACCAGAATTTCAACAGAGGTTCTGCAACTATTTTGAGTGGCTCCTGCTTTAGTTTTAACCTGGTTGACAGTTGCAAAAACTGCTGCTAGAAGCACTGAAATTTTAAATGTGTTATATAGAAATACTAGAAAAACTCTTGTTCCATATATGTTAGGCCTTCCCTCCACCCCTAATGAAAAAGTGAGCTGTAAACTTGCTGGGAGTGTGGGAGGCTGCAATCCTATAAATCACTTACTTATGGACTTGCTTTTTATGAGGACTGGCCTTGAAGGAAGGCAAGAAACGAAAAACACTCTATAGAAAGAGCTACTTAAAAGATAATTATGTAGTTAGGTCTTTCAAGATTCCTTGAGCCTTACCGCATCTGCACGAGGGGCATCTTTAGCCAATTCTCCCCATCCATGTTCAACTTCAGGCTCCTTTGGATATATCTCAGCCAAATCCTCCTCCTCTTCATCATCATCAGAGCTGGTTTCTATATTGCCTTTCCCCCTTGCCAAATCTGGCCCACTGTCGCTTTCATCAATCTCACTTTCATTTCCTGTTTCTTCTTCATCTTCTGAACCACTTTCTTCTCTCATTTCTCCCTCCTCTCCCAAGGCGCTTTCCTCTTCCAGATCCCCGCTATCCTCTGACTCACTTTCCTCTTCAGTCTTTTCACTACCTTCCAATTCATCAAGATCAAAGTGCTCCACATTTTCACAAGTTTCCTTTTGCAAGCAATGTTCATTAATGTGCTTGCTGAAAGAATTATCTTCCTTTCCTAAATGAAGGAAAAGCAATACATTTAAACATACATATGTACAATATAGTATTTTCCAAATCTGAATTACGTCCAGTTATCCCTCAAAAAAAGATGGCACCTCAGACATGCAGAGTGTGAAGGAGAATGGTATATTGTTAAGATTTTCAGTGGTGATTGAGATGTTCATTGACCAAACTGTAGCTTACAATAGCATGCAGCTAACTATCTGGGAAACCAAATGTCCAAGACTACCTGTCAAGCGGCAAAAATAATTTTCTATCACACATGAAAGTGGACAAATTCAGTAAGAAACTGTTTTTTAAAATGTAAATGTTTTTGATAGCACATTTAGGGAGGAAAATAAACTACTCACTTTGGTGAAAATAGTTTTCATAACACTGTGTTTTCACGGTTTCTATTTAAAAGAGAGATTCCTGGGGGGGGGGTGTCCATGGATGGGCTTAGGCCGGGAAACTAGGCAAGTGCACACACAAACGTGTGTGTGCACACACACAAACCCAACACAATAAAATAAATTCTAAGCAGAAAGCTTGTGTGTTTATGTGCATTTTTCCCTGGAGGGGGTTCATAGCTTTCATCAGATTTTCAAAGGGGTCTGTCACCCAAGCAGGGTTAAGTGCCACTGCTCTAAGTCACAGGTAAGAAACCACGACATGCTGTCCTCAGCCCTTGACCTAAATTCTTGTGGGTGATGAGGGGGGAAACTGGGTAGCAGAAAGAGAGAAATGGCAGTGGCAGCCACTAATATGAAACCCCTGGCATAGTACCTCCCCACTGGGATGGCAGCCACTCATAATGAAGGGTTCTCTGCAACTCACTTTAGGGCTCCCAAAGCCAGCCTTTTGTCCTTGTACTGGGAGCCAAAAGTCTGGGGGACATGCAGGCTGCTGGATGGCATAAAATGAGGTATAAGTATGATGGCATAGGATCCTGTTTATAGGGATAGGCTAACCATGATGCTGTGGTACTCTGGTGGTGGAGAGATTCTAACTCTTTGCAAAAGACTGCACTACAACCAGTTCCACTGACACTTGGTGCATTATACAGCCCTAATCCCCAACTAGATTCCGCCATCTATTTCAGGAGTTCAGAATCTGAGGCCCTATAATTCCTATTAGTCCCAGCCAGCATGGCCAATCATCAGGAATACTGCAAGCTGTAGTCTAGCAACATCGAGAAGATGACAGATTCCCCATCCCAACCAATTTAAAGTACAGCTCTAGGACAGTTTTCCTCCTCAAGTTTAACATATTTTACCTCCACAGAGTTTACCACTAAGTACACTTCTTTCCAAATCATGTTTGGAAAACTTACTGATCTTCTGCGACACCACAAAAGCCATTATTGTGCTAGTTTTGGCAAAATTAAGCAGTCTCCAATAAAAGAAGTGTTGCATGCAGAAAAAAGAGGCATAGAGAATTATTATTCATTTAGGCTATGCTTCTATGCACTTACTTGGAAGTTCCATTGAAACCCACATAGGGGTTTGGATGAGCAAATCGCAGTATATTAAACCAGGAAACACGAGCCTTTTTTTGCTCCTCCCTTCATGGCAAGGCATTTTATGTAAATTGGGAAACTGCAGGTACCAGTTTCAACACAAGCCAGGGTCTTAAAGTACATTTCAAACCATGGTTTAGGACAATGGCTTGTTTCAAAGCTGATGACCATAACTTCCCAGTTCAAATGAAATGGAAAGGGGTTCATTAGCTACTTCCTAGTTTCACTGCTGCACCCCACAAAGGGTAAATCAAGGGGGCTTGTGTGCATAAGCAAAAGACTCATGATTATCTCAGTTTGATAAACTGAGGTAGGATTATCCAAACTGGCTAATAAAATATTACATCCAAGAAAAGCTGAGTAAGATTGAGAGACAGGTGACAAATTTCAATTAATTACATTCAACCAACCTAATTCATTTCTCTTATGGTTTACATAACTGTCTATGCTGCTATTCTTCACTGCTTTTTCTTTTACAGTCTTCAGGTTCTCAGGATACTTTCTGCCTTGCTTGTTCTGCTTCTTTGGTGTAAGTTCCTTTACTTGTTGCAATTCAATCACTTGTGTGCCTTTTACAGTCTTTTTGGACTTTAACGATTTGCTTTTCTGGCCTTCATTTTTTAAAATACCCAGTTTTGACAATGAGGAACTTTTATCTGTCCCTTTGCTTTCTTTCCCAGAGTTACTCTCAACAGGAGACTTCTCAGATACTCTCTTTTCTTTAGTCTTGGCCTTCTCTCCCTGCGATTTCTTCTTAGTTAATTTTTGGTCAGTCTCTGAAAGATCCGAATCTGAATCGGAAAGGTCATAAAAGCGTCTCAGGTCCTCTGTAGAGCTGTGTTGAACAGGCCGCCCTCGCTTATCCACAGTGTACTTCAACTTGAATTTTTTATCATGAAACATGGCCTGAAATCTTTTATCAATTTTGATTTTGCGATCTTTTTCTGGCATTTCCCAAAATCTTGGGTCTTTTGTAATGCGGGAAAACCGCTGGTCACTAATGAGCTCCTTTTTAGACTCCATTTTCACACTTTTAAAAAAGCCAAACTTGAACTACTAAAAAAAGAAAGAAAGAAAGGTTACATCCATAAAGCAATTCTATCACAATGCATCACTCTGAAATTACTGACAGTTTTTATTAAGGAGCAAGACAGCACCAAGCATTACAGTAGTTTCACAAGACTTACAGATTAGTAAAGTAGGAGTAGCAAACATAGTGCCTTCCAGACGTTGTTGAACTCCAACTCCCATCATTCCCAGCTAGTGGTCATGCTGGTTGCAGTTCATGGGAGTCCAACAGCATCTGCATGACATGGTGTTGGCTACCCCTAAGCAAAGGAAGAAAGTTATACACCAAAAGAAGCATATGGCACAATCTGGACAAACAGTGAGACCTATGCAACCTTCTTCCTCACTTTTCAAGTTCCATTAAATGTAGTCTGATCTGGATAGGATCACGGCTTTTGTGAATCTAGTGGCCTGCTCTATCTTCCCCAGAAAAAGGTGCAACTGGAGCACCAGCTATAGCTGGTGGAATCCCATCCAAAACAGGAGGTATGTACCTCTAACCTCATCAGCTTTTTTTAGTGGCTCAAAGTACTTCTGCCTTGTCTGGATCTAGTGACAGTCTGTTTGTACACAACCTATTCATCACTGTTTTCAGGCACCAGTTCAGGACTTCCACTGCCTTCCTGGAATCTGATGCAAAAGATAGCTGAGTGCAATATTATCAGCATACTGTTGATACTCTTTTCTGGAGATTTCGAGTATCTTACCCACAGGTTTCATGTAGAGGTGAAACAACATAGGAAACAAGCCAATGACGGAGCATAACAGTCATTCCTGGACACTATCTTCTGATATTTGCCCTCCAGGTTCAACTGGAACCAGTGCAAAATATGTTTTCTCAGAATGTCAAGAAGTATAGGCAAGGCACTGTGAGGTTCAGCAGAACCAACAGAAATGCACCCCACCCCAGTTCCCAACACAGGTTATCAATGAGGAAAATCAATCCCAAAACCAGGTGAGAAGCCAAACTGGGAAGAATCAAGATAATCAGCATCATCCAGGAATTACTGGATATGAGAAAACAGCACATACATGAACTCTGCCTAGAAATGTTTGATACATACAATTATACTGAATAGCAGTGACTAAGGAGGGTTTCTTACAACAGCTTTTTCCAGGGCAGCTGGCATATTGCCATTCTTTGAAAGGAGAACTCATTATAATCTGCTCCATTCACGAGACATTCCTCCCTGACTATATTAATCAACCACAGCATGCAAGGATTTAGAAGGCAGGTAGTAGCAGTGGACAACTTCACAGTTCCAGGGATCCCATTAACATCCAAGATAAACAGGACAAGCAGGTGCCATGGGCATTATCAACACAACATGTAAATCCAGGTCAGACTTGAGGAAAAAGACCCTAAGATCTTCTTCAGATACTTTAGTCTAGGAGCCCCTGGCAAATAAGGCTGGACAGATGGCTACCAGAGGGAGGATCTTTACAGTGGTGGCATCCCAGGAGCAGAATGCTCTTGCCAGAATGGCTTGTCTGGTGCCAACACTGAAATCTTTCCAGCACCAGATGATTACCTTTTTTATTTTTGAAAAGCTTCCATCTTTCTTGCTTTTTATTAAAAAAAGTATGTTTTAGATCATTTGCAGTGTTTCCATATTCTGCCACTGGATTTCTTTTGCTCTTGATTTCATTTAAATGTTATGTTTTATATTCTATTTTATACCTTATGATCTTTACTTAAAAACTGCTCAGACAATTTTAGCTGCAGTTGCAGCGACTGCACACTGGGTACAACAGAGTACAAAACATACATGTATGTTTTGAAATGAAATACAGTGGTACCTCGGTTTAAGAACAGTCCAGTTTAAGAACGATTTGGTTTACAAACTTCATAAAACCGGAAATATTGTCTTGGTTTGAGAACTTTGCCTCGGTCTAAGAACAGAATCTGAATGGTGGAAGGGCACCGGTGGCAGGAGGCCTGATTTGGGAAAGCGCGCCTCGGTTTAAGAACAGTTTCAGTTTAAGAACAGACTTCCAGAACGGATGAAGTTCATAAACCAAGGTACCACTGTATTTCCCCGACTGAAAAGCGCAGAAACCAATGGCTTCAAGTTGCAAGAAAGGAGATTCCGACTCAACATCAGGAAGAACCTTCTGACATTAAGATTTCTGTCTGACAGTAAAACAGGCTTCCTCGGAAAGTGGTGAACTCTGCTTTTCTGGAGGTTTTTAAGCATCTGCCATGTATGATCTAGCTGAGATTCCTGCATTGCGAGGGGCTGGGCTAGATGACCCTCGGAGTCCCCTTTCCAACTCTACGATTCTATGAAGGGAGGTATACAAATTTAATAATAATAATAATAATAATAATAATAATAATAATATACAACTATAATAAACCCTCTCCTGAGGAGGAAACAGTTGTTAACCCTGGCTAGCTAACACGGAGCAGAAAAGCGTGGTATACGCACAGGGGGAAAGAACAGCAGCAGTGAAATAAAGCCGAGAAAAGCGCCTCCTACGAACATTTACGAAGAAGGTGCCACTGCCTCCCTCATAAGAGGCGCAACCGCTCCACGGGGCCCACGACACCCGCGTGCTCCCCATACTCACCGCAGCTTCTCCTCAGGCTACTCAGGCGCGAGGAACTTCCGGTCTCGGCGGGAGGAGAGGGGGGGAAAGCACACAACCTCTCGTCACTTCCGAAAGACTGCGCGCCACTGCGCATGCGCAGCGAGCGCTTCCTGGGAAGGCCGGCCTCCGGCGACTTCCAATTGGAAGGCGCGGTCAGCTGCGCGGGACGACGGATAAGCTTCCCCTCGAATGCGAATATAAACTGGAACAGAAGCAATCCGTGGAAAGTGCGGCGCGCGGGTTCGAGGCACGAGCGCATGCGCATTGCTTTCTCGGCGATGGGCGCGAGGGCGCTGCTGAGGGGGCCGCACCGCCGCCTCCTCCGCCGCCTCCTCCTGGGCGGCGGTTGGGGGCGCCGCTCCGCCGCGGGCCCCGGCGCCCTCAGCCCCTTCGACCGGCAGCTGAAGAGGAAGCAGAAGGAGTGGGCGGCGGCGCGGCCGGAGATGCAGCGCTGCGAGTACCTGAGGGAAGAGGTGAGCGCCGCTGGGGAGGCGAGGGCGGAGAGCCCCCGGGCCGGGTTCCTGGATGCGGCCCCCTCGGCCCCCGCCACCCAACGCCGAGAACGTAGAAGGACCCTTTTCGTGTACAGTGTTCGGGCCAGCAGCTTCAGCGTCCGGTTTTGCGCATTGGGATCCACGAAGGTTGACTAGGGCTCAATGTCATTCGGATAGAGTAGCTGAGGATCCTTCGACCCACCAAAGGTGGTTGGAGGGGCGGGGCATAACTCTTCAAACCAAGTAAATCAATAATCCTGCCTCCAGGAAAATAATAATAATAAATAATGCCTTATTTATCTGCTGCTAACCACACTGCCAGCCTTCCAGCAATATGAGTCCAAGTGCATGTGGCTGATCGCTAGCAAATGGGAAAACGTCAGTATAAAAATATATAGTCCCAGATTTACTTTGTCGTTCCTGTTCTCTTTTTTGCTGCCTGGATTCAGACAACACCTAGCGTGAACCATGGTTTGGCTGTTGGGCACACCTTGGCGGGATCCTGCACTCTTCCCTCTGTGCCTTTGACATTGAGACTATGGCTAGTGCAATCCCTGCAAACTTTACAAATATGTTTCGGACTATCAGGTCAAAGTGAGTTCTGTGTCTGGTACGAAAATAGGGTTGTATTCAACTGAGTTTTACACAGAGGTGATCTTTTGAAATTAATGACCATGAGTAACTGCTCCAGTCATTTCAATGGGTCTGTTGAGTAAAGGTTAGCTGGTTGCAATCCATAACTTAACCAGCCTTACTGTGTGCCTTGATTTGGGGAGGCAGGGGAGAAAATTTGCTGTTCTGCACCAGCAAATGTATTACAACAGTTCCAGGAAGGGAGGGAGAGTAATAGCCTGCAGGAGCTTTCATGATCACCAAATAATGGTTTGACATTCTGTCTGAATTAAGCCACTGATTGAGCATCACTTTTCAGTTAAATGTGGAAAAAATTAAATTTTTCCTAAGATCAAAATTGGTAGTGATACTAGTTAATCTGTGGTGGTGGTTAATTTATTCTCTGGAAGTGGTGAACCCATATAGTGAGAACCAACTGTTCTTCCTTCTGTTTCACAGGTTGGTAGTAGGATAGCTGACCGTGTGTTTGACATAACTAGGTAAGATATTAGCCTATTCAATTTGTATGTCTAGCTGTTTTCACAAAATCCATGCTATTTCAACTATACTGTAAAGTTTAAAGAAAGTTGGGTATGGGGAATTATAAAAGCTTCCTGGTATCATTGACAGTAAATTCAGGTAGGTAGCCGTGTTGGTCTGACGCAGGGTTAAACCACAGAGCCTAGGACTTGCTGATCAGAAGGTCGGCGGTTCAAATCCCCATGACGGAGTGAGCTCCCGTTGCTCGATCCCTGCTCCTGCCAACCTAGCAGTTCGAAAGCACGTCAAAGTGCAAGCAGATAAATAGGTACCGCTCCGGCGGGAAGGTAAACGGTGTTTCTGTGCACTGCTCTGATTCGCCAGAAGCGGCTTAATCATGCTGGCCACATGACCTGGAAGCTGTACGCTGGCTCCCTCGGCCAATAAAGCGAGATGAGCGCCGCAACCCCAGAGTCGGCCACGACTGGACCTAATGGTCAGGGGTCCTTTTATCTAAGGTGTTACTGGACAATTTTTTAATTTTTTTATTAGACAGTAAAACGGTAATGTTTCCATTCAGTGGAAGGTGTGTAATTGGGAGTTGGATTTGGATCAAAACAAATATTGTACTGTTTTGTTTCTTGAAAGTTTCATTCTTTGTTTTTGCTTAAAAAACTTTTAAAAATTATATTTCCCCAATATGAATTATAATGATAACAAACAGAAATGTATTGCATAGAAAATACAGCATGTCACATAAGAGAAGTTTAAGAAGTTTACACTGGTATAATTTAATAACATTCATCTCTTAAAAGAGAGCAATCTAGTAACCAAGATTTGAGAGCATACATTACCTGGCTGTGGGTCAGTGATAAAGAAGAAAACATAAATTGAGATATTTTGAGGTAACAGAAGGAAGACTGATAGTTATTCACATGCCTGTTTAAAGGTATAGTTAAGAACAAGAGACCAAAATTGGCAGCCATAAATGACACTGAATCTAGATTTGTGCATAAGCTGAATGAACCAAATGTCCATGCGCTTATACATTTGTATATGAAATAAAATAAAATGACTTTGGGAGTACAGTGTTGTGTGCTGCTGTAACAGCAACTTGTGTAACTAAGCAACACCTTGTAAAATATGATTAATGAGAAATAGCAGCAGACATAATAGCAAAAATTGAACATGTGCCTAAATGTAATCACGTTTAGAAATAGTAGTTTTTAGTGAAACTTTAAGTGAGGTACATAGGGTTGCAGTATTCTTTCCACAGATCTGACATCATAATGACACTTGTCAGAGAAACCTTCCCATCAACCAATTGCAAGTGGAGGTTGCATACATTTTGCATGTTTTAACTTACAAAATTTTGAGGTGACATCTTTGAAGACATGAACTCATGGGTATAATAAAAAAAGCCTTTGCAATTACTATTAAGGCATTTGCTCTCCTGGCTGAAGCTGTTACATTAACAGCATTGAACACGAAGGGACTAACTTATGAGTAAATTTATGAGTAAACATGCAAAGAACTGTACTTCAGGTAAAATGAAAGGGCACAGCCCTTCAGAGGAATGAGACTTCAGAGGAAGAGACTTGATCAGATCAGGCCTATACATCAAGCCAGATATTCTCTCTAAGTGCCACTTAGTTCAGAGGGACTTACTCTCAAGTAAGTGTACACAACATTGCAGCCTGTGTCTAACTTAGAGAGTAAGAATTGCACCAAAGCATTATATATTAGGAGTCTTACTGAGCTGCATCTTTGCAAATAATTTGCATTTATTTTTCCTAAAGGACTTTTCCCCTTGCACTGGATCTTGGCTGTGGACGAAGCTACATAGCTCAGCATTTAAATAAGGTATGATTTCCTCTGGATCTTTGGCTTAGATTTGAATTACACAGAGAGAACTGAACAGTAGATCTACCTTGGGCTTTTCTCTTATGCATAATAAAAATAGATCTAGCCACAGTGGGTTGGATCCAGACTTGCCAATGTCAAATCTGTTTTGAGTCTGTTGTCAGCAAAATTCTGAGTGCTGTCACAGACAATGCCATATTAATAGCTTAACCCTGTGATTGATAACTTGGATGTAAATCACATTGGCCTCTGATAGGATTTACACCCACATGGATAGGATTGCACTTTATGGTGTACATTACACAATATTGTCTCCCTGCAGAATAAAGCTTTTAGATACGGACCAGGATATTCTTCTTTTTGTCTGTCTTCACCCAAACTAACTCTCCCATCTCACTCGCCCCTAGATAAAATCGGGTAAACGGTTGGAGACAATTTATGGTCATTTTTGTTTCAGGATGTCATTGAACAGCTTTTTCAAGCAGATATTGCAGAAAACGCTTTGGTAGGTAGCTGTCTTGTACTTGCTAGCTGTTTAATCCATGATATTGAAAAGTAAAGCACCTTAACTACAGTCCTAAGCCATTTCTATTCTAATCTAATTTAGAAAAACGCAATAGAATCCGAAATACCCAGAGTCAGTGTTATAGCTGATGAAGAGTTCCTTCCTTTCAAGGAGAATACATTTGATCTTGTTGTCAGTGGATTGAGGTAATTAATAAGTGAACTAAAGGTAAACAAAATAGTTTCTAGTGATTGCGGCTTGGCTCTGAAAAGGCTTGTGGGTGTGAATTAAAGCATTTCCATGCATGGGGTGAGGTTGAGGAAGAGCTATCTTTCTTCAAAATTCAGTCCCTAGCACTGTAACAGTTGCTTCTTTGGCGGTGGGGCTTCTGAGCTACCAAGATCTACAAATTATTGTTATGTGAAGGGGAAGGGGGCTGAAAAGCTCTAAAGCACAAATAGAACACTGCATATGTTCCTTTGGATCCTGGCCTCTGTATCTTAAAAACACGTGGAAGCTAACACTTCTGTTGGATACCAAGCCATTACACACTCACCTGGAAATAAGTCCTATTGAACTCAATGGGGCCTACTTCTAAGTAGATATGTATGGTAGTACAAAGTTGGTCTCCAAAACCAATATGTGGTGCTTTTACCGTTAAGGCTTTCTGGCTGCTTTCAGAAATTATTTCATCCAAACTGGGAGTGGTTGTTACCACTAACTACAACTAGTTTCAAAAGCAAGCCAACATCAAACCATGGCTTATGAAGCTGGCTTGTTTACACTGTCATAGCTCAAGCAGAATGACAAGCTGAGTTTAATACTGCTGATCATCCAAACACACGAAATGAGGTGGTGTGTGGAACAAAAGAATCCATGGCTTAACTTGGTTCCCTCCAGATGTTGGACTTCAACTCCCAACAGCATGACCAACAGTCAGGGATGAGTAGTGTTGTAGTCCAAAAGGTCTATAGGGCACCAGGTTGAGGAAGGCTGTACTAAGCCATAGTTCTGTGTTGCACATATGCATGGCTGCATTTGGATGCATCTGGATTGTTTAGCAGCAAATACAACAGCAGCCTGCTTTAACGTGGCAAGATTCCCAGTGTATTTGAAAACCTCAGCCAGTTTCAATCCTAGACCTGTAGAGTTGGAATGGACCCTGAGGATCATCTAGTCCAACCCCCTGCAATGCTGGACTATATAGCTGTCCCATATAGGGATCAAACCTGCAACTTTGGCGTTATCAGCACCATGCTCTAAACAACTGAATGGGATATTTGGAGTCGTGCAGAAAAATAAGATTCCAAGGCTGCAATCCTATGCATGCTTACCAATAAGTAAGCCCCACTGAACTCACTGGGACCTATTTGAGTAACTATGCATAGGATTGCACAGCAAGTGTGGCTCATAGCTCTTGTCTTAGCCTTTTCTTACTCTGTCATATTTTATATCCAATACAGTTACCTTTGTGCCAGTAACCCACAACCTGTGCTGCCTGAAACTTGCATTGCTGAGAGAGCTCCATACCTTTTATTAATCCATTTTTCATTTAATTGTTTTTTTAGCTTGCATTGGGTAAATGATCTTCCCAAAACATTGCACGAGGTAAGTACAAGTATTACTGTTCCTGTAAAGTTGATAGATAGGAATTTGGCTGAGTATAAGTACTAGGGAGAGTAATATTTAATCATACTGAGTTTTTCCAATATTGTGCTGGCCATGTCTTTACATTTTCCAGTTGGAAACTGGGAACTATCACTTTATATTATTATTATTATTATTATTATTTCTTATTATTTTTAAAAAATGACTGGGTAGGCTGGGACATGGAGAGTTGTCTATCTGCCTTGATATATTTTGGGGGAGTGAAGGGGTGTCTTTTTAATTGTTACCCCTCCAAAAAAACCACTGTTAAACATTCAGGTACTGGAAATGTCAGTGTTGTGAATATATATCTTAATCAGATGCTTTGTTTATGCTTTCCAGTCAACCTATATTCTAAATCATTTATCCTTGTGCCATTAATTATGTACCAAAATAGCAGCACCCTTGTAAAAGTAGGAGGTATTAGCATGCACAGAGTAGTTCGGGGGGTTGCAGAAGTATAAAAATACTGGGATGAGGGTGATCAGGGACCCTGAAAATAGACCAGTGAGGACTGAGCACTCCTAGTGAGCAAAGACTGCTGACTTGCGAGGAGGAACACAGGGGAGGGAATGGCATGGCTGGGGGTGGGGTGGTATATTGTGGTTTACTGCAATGGGAAGTGTTCTAGTGCATGCTACCTGATCGCTCATGCTTCCCTCCTCACCTGGCGCAAGTGGGGGAAACAAGTAAGGAAGCCACAGTGAAAACCTGGCTGTGCTGTCCAAATCAGGGATTGTGGTTTGTTTCTCCCCAACAAGCTTTAAACCACTGTTTGTTTGGCGTGTTTTGGGAGCGGAGTTTGAACTATACATATCACCACAAAACAACTTTTGTTCATGCGTTACTTAATTACAGTGACTTGTTTCAGATACATCGAATCCTTAAACCAGATGGAGTATTTATTGGTGCCATGTTTGGGGGAGACACGCTCTATGAGCTTCGTTGCTCTTTACAGCTGGCCGAACTGGAAAGGGAAGGTGGATTTTCCCCACACGTATCTCCGTTTACTGCTGTCAGTGACTTAGGACATCTGCTGGGAGGAGCTGGCTTCAACACATTGACTGTGGTAATTATCAGTTACAGGAAAGGAAGCCCTGAAAACAGTTGCTTATTGAAAATATCTGAATAAAGTTGTGTGCTTTTGTTTCTCCATATTCATACCTCAATTCTTCTTGGCCAATCTTTCTTAAGAAGCTGCTGCCTCTTCTATTGGCTGGCCCTGTTGCTCTTCCTTTTTCCTTCAGAGACTCTGCCTCTTGGTCCTCTTACTAATTAGGTTTCTAATTACCACCTACTCCGTTTTCCCATTTCTCTATTTGCTGTAAGTGGCACAAAGCTTTCCTGTTGCTGGCTTGGTGTAATGTGCTTTATCTTACCAAACTCCTCTTCTTCTATTGTATGTGGAATCAAGTTTAATTTATACAAAAGAGCTGGGTTTAGTCTTCATTGTGTCCCACTATTGGGCCTTTATGAAGTGCATTATTTTGAGTATGTTTAAAAACCTAAACCTTCCTATTTTTAGGATACTGATGAAATCCAAGTTAATTATCCAGGGATGTTTGAGATTATGGATGATCTGCAAGGCAAGTCTACCTTTTTCATTAGCAAATTAGCAGTATAGCATACTGTTCTGTATTTTATGGTTAAATGCCCTAGGCTTTGTAGAGGAGCATTCCAGGTGGCTAATCCATGACACCTATGTACCCTGTACGTATATTCTACGGGTGGCATGGGGATCCTGTGTGGCCCTCCAGATGTTGTTGAGCTACAGCTTCCATAATCACTGACTATTGGCCATGCTGGCTGGCAATGATGATAGCTGATGATGGGAGCCCAGGATCCCTAGCCCAGTCCTACAGATTGGTTAAAACAGAGTAGTTGGTTTTTTTTTGGTACAATTGAGGCTGATGTTTGAACAAGAAAACATTGTCTGCTAGCCTTTGAAGGTAAGGGGGAGCACTAATTTAATGTATGTTACTAGTAGCGTTCATCTTGAGTAGGTAGCATGCCACCTCTGATCAGTTGTGAATCTCCAGTGTAATTTTAGATCAAGCTGAATAGCCATTTCTATTCTTGCCTTAATGCAAATAAATAAATAAATAAATAAATAAAGGAATCGCTTTGACAGCTGGGGCAGGTAGATATTGCTGTCAAAGGGCAAAATACTTGCTTTAAATCATCCTTAACTAAATTTTACCAAAAAATTGAGCTACAGTCCTACACACACTTACCTGGAAGTAAATCCTATTGAACTTGATGATGCTTGCTTCTGAATAAACATAATATAGTGTTTTAGAAAACTACTTCTGGAAAGTTTTCCTCACGCTGTTTAGAAGATGTTTCCATCTAAAGTGGTTAAACCACCTATCTGTAATAGTCTGCATGATCATCACAATATATACTGCTTTGTAAGGTGTCTCTAGGGTTTGTTTACCATGACTGCAGTCCTATGCACACTTCTCTGAGTGGAAGCGTCTTTGAATGCTGAACACCTCTAAGTAAATATGTATATGATCAGTTGGCAGATAGGATTTTTGAATTGCATATCTCGTCCCATATTGTCATATTATTGATTTGAAATGCAGAGTGTGAAACTCATCGTGTGTGCTGTATCTTCTTTTAAAGCCTGAAAACTATTTTTAGGTATGGGAGAAAGCAATTGCTCTTGGAGCAGAAAACCTATGCTACACAGGGCAACCATGTTGGCGGCAGCAGCTGTGTACAGAGGTGAGTTTGGTGTTTGAACTGGAATGTCTTAACTTGATGAGATGGGTACCTTTGATAGACCTGTATTGGCTTAAATAGATTAAATTTTACTATATGGTGAAAAGTTGAGCCATAGCTGTCTCTGAATAGGTTTGTGCCATATCGTTTCACCAGCCTTCCCTGCAAACAAGTGTTTTCAAGGTTGGTTGCCCATCCTTTTCTGTTTTCTCACTTCTTCCTCCTCCCCACCATAATGCACACGGCTTTCCAATGCTGGAACATATTTTGCTTCCCTTAATGCCAAGAAAGAGTGGGAGCTCACAGCTGCTTCATTTAGCTGGGCAAAGAACCACGATATGAAAGTTGTCATTCTTTGCTCTCTTCTGCCAAAAGGACCAGCAGAAGTGGAGGTTCATGCAATCACCATAGCAAAAGAAAAGCCGCACACTAGCATGACAGTTGGATGACTGTTCTTTTCCCTAGTCCTTAAAGAATTTAAAGGGCAGAAGCTGGCCAGAAAGGCTTCTGGTACAGAAAGTGGGTGGATAGTTGGCTGCCTGGATGCCTGACTAGCACTGCTCATCTTAGTCAAGTGGCTCATTTCATGCCTGAGTTGCGCAACCCAATGACTTAAGTAGCTCCTCAGTATCTAAAAATAATATAAAAATGAATGTATTTATATATTATGCAAATAAAATTATGACTGCCTGCTTAGGCAATTAAGTCTGTGTCCTATTCTGCAGTATTTCTCTGGTATTATGTATAATACATGTTTCTTCCATAGAAATGTATGGAAATGATGATGGGACCGTTCCTGCAACATTTCAAATATATTACATGATAGGTTGGAAATTCCATGAAACCCAGGTAACGTGCATCCCTTTGATTACAACTAGAGTGTCTAAATAAGCATATATTTACATATATTGTGTTAAGCTTTTTCAGTGGAATTCCTTTACCAGCTTTTATTTAATTTGATTAAATTCCATGCTCTTCATACATAACATGATTCCTTCTGTCTTCTTTTCAGGCAAGACCAGCACAGAGAGGTTCAGCAACGGCATCATTTGGCGATCTGAGAAAAATTAATGAACTAATTCCAGGAGGGAAAAAGCTTTGAGATATTCACACTGCCATGTGCTTTTTAAAATTGACGTGCCACTGACTTTATTTATGTATGTAAATAGAAACAGCATAGGTGTATGGATTTTTATGGTATAATGCCAAATAAAATCATGGTATTTCATGTTTCTGTATAGAATTCAACTGACAAAACATGAGAGAATGTAACAGAAAAGGTCCATATATATTAGGAGTAGGGTAAGGTCTAAAGCGCGGGGTGGTTAAGGATCAGGCCCCAAGCAACTTTTTCAGGACCCCCAAGGCCCCATTAAGTTTGGCAGTGCTCAGCACCTGCTGAGGATGCAGCTTGCCCCCTCTTCACTCATTAGATTGAGTGGAAGGGAACAGTAGCACCATGTCCCCCAAGCTGATTTACATGTAAAGGGTGCTGTATAGGCATGCATGCGCAAGAGGATAGGGTGCCATTTGGACCCCTGAGTGCAGGTATGTGGCTCTTGGTCCAAAAAATAACCACCAAGTTTAGGCACCCCTAGTCTAAATCCATATGAGACGTCCACTTTGCTGAAGCCAAGCAAATGTGGATCTGGTCACTATCTAGATAGATTCTAAGTAGGGCTTTATTTCAACTTTCAAAGCTGTCAGCCTTCAAATCACCACTTGACTCCTTGATCGGTCTTGCTACCCCTTTCCTTCTCTATTCTGTGATTCACGCAGAGCTATGTTCCTCCCTACCTCTTGGATATGCTTCCAGACCATTGAGCAGTCTGCGAGCTCAATCATGGGAAAATCATGGGAAAAGCTGAGCAAGAAAGAAATGTAGCTGTATGTAAATCACGGGCATTTACCTAGGGAAGACATTGACCTCTATTAAGAGACTGGAAATGTAATAAAACATTAAGCTTGATCAGTTAAATGCATAAAAATTATCCTATCCTGCTTCCACAGAGCTCAGAATAACATTTGCTTTCTTCCTCTGTCCTTTTGTTCAACTGACTGGCCCAAATTTACCCATTGTGCTAACTCAGATTTGAATCTCCACTCAACCATGTTATTGGTCTCGATTCAGACCAGTCTGCTACACTAACACTGCCTTCTTCTAACTTTGCTTATGGGTAACTGCCTTCTTCTAACTTTGCTTATGGGTACTGATAAACAATAGTTCGTGTAGAGAAAGAAATTAGCATTTTGTCACCTTAGCAAATAAGTCAAGCAAGGGCACAATTAATCCCAGCCTCAGTTCTTATAGCCATTTAAAGTAATCTGAGAACTGTGTACAGTATATCACAGACTAAAATTAAAATTCTGGGGCAAGAAACATAGGATTTTGACCCATATATTCACACTGAACGAATTTACATAATTTTGTCTCTGCTAGTCATGGAGGACATATTGGTATTTGCTTAGAATCAAATTATTAATTCAATTCTCAGTTTCACACACAAGCCCAGTGCTAGTGGCACCTCCACATTGTATGAAACAGTACTCTGGAAGAGGACCCAGGAAATCCCAAGGGCACATGTATGGAAGACTGTGTGGCCTTTTGCAAGCTTGCTCAGAAAAGTCATGCCAACATAAGTTGCTCCCACACATTTATTACAGTTAATACCAGGTTTCTTCACCTATGCACGGAGAAAGCAAGATGTAGACTGCACGTCCCTTATTTAACACACATTACTTTAAGCAAACCACCCACCCTCACTAATACTACTAAAGAAGCTCAGACACGGAACATTAAAGCCCAGACCTATGCCTAGAAATGCAGCGCAAAAGGAAGCCTGGATGAGTGAAGTTGAGGTTAGATTTGAACTCGGCGCTTCTGAATCCTGAGTAATAATCTTAAAGATACGTTCTACCCAGCCATAAATGCTGAAAGGTGATAAATGCTATTTACAACAGGGATGGGGAACCCTTGGCAATTTGGCTCACCTTGAGACCCAGTTTGGCCCATGAAGCAATTTCCCCCCAACCACCACCCCATGTCAGGTATGGGGCATGTAGAAACAGCTTGATGGGCTGTGTGACCCAAGTTTCCCACGGGGAACTGGATGACACAGCTGATCTCTGCAGAAGGCAGGCTTCACCAATATTAACCAATAGCCATCTCAACAGTACAATCTCATTAACTTGAATTCCACACCTTCACCCATTTTTAAAGCTGCAGGCTTACACTTTCCTGGGAATAAGCTCCACGGAACTCAACGAGAACAAACTTCTCAACAGACATGAATAGGATTCCACTAAGTTTTGCAAGTTTCTTTCGAAGCTTGCAGAGGAGTGTAGTGACAGGCTGCCTTCAAGAGGAAATGATTTCAGTACACTATGGCCATAAGAAATTTAACTTAAGAAGCTGAGGGGACCTCCACCTTAACTGAAGCTTTCAAAGGTTGGGTTCATGCAGAGAAACAACCTCAAAGAAACAGCCCAGGAAAATAAGACAAATATTTGATGACCGGAAGAAAATAAGCTAAATATACTTGAGCTCATCCAGACTTCTTTTTGCACCACGTTCTGCAGCTCCAGGTCCATGCTTTAAAGATCTGTGTCCAAGTGGGTTTGAGGTTTTTTCCACCTGGCACTTTCCCTGGAAAACCCGCATGTTACCACTGAATCGGAGCAAATGGTAAATTGTAGAAAACCCAGTTGCCATATGCTCTGATTCAGTGGTAAAATGCAGATTTTCCTGGGGAAAGCATTTGGGGGGAAAACAACACTGAGCTTTAAAGCCCAGACCTGTGCCTAGAAAGGAAATCTGGATGAGCGCTGAGTGACATTAGAAAATACTATTTCCAGGCAAGATTGGTACAAATATGCTATTTATACATGTTTTTTAAGGCACAGCTTGCAAGGTTATGAGTCAGGTGGCTTTTGGTTTCAGTTGAAAGTGTTTTGTTTACACTTCAAACCGAATGGTGGTACGGGGAGGTGGTATTACTAATGTATTTTATTCGGTTTTGACTTGTTGCTTTTTAATGCTGAATAGAGACTAAAGTAATATTTGTGCTGAAAACTATGTTAAAACCATAAGAAAAAAATGAGCAGGACTTTCATAGAACTTTCATACCCCTCCTGTTTAATTTTGCCTACTGCTTATCAACAGTATAAGCAACAAAACAATGACTATCATCACAATCAGATCCCAATGTAGTCTTAGCATGTGGTCCAAGTCTGGCAGTTTCCAGTTTCCCATTTGCTATAGAAGAAAAGAAGAAGAAGAAAGTATTTTCAAGGTGAAAAGCTTTGCTTTGCAAATACGACTTGCACAATAGGTATGAGCAACATCTTTCTGTATTATCCACTTTCTTCACTGGTTACTACTTGGTCTCAGGTTCGTGGCATGTATGCTTCATTCCTGGTGCTGTAACTATAATGTAAGTATAACATCCTGAACCTATGCTGCAGGTCCTCCCCTCATCAGCTTTGCTCAGCTCCATAAGGGTGACTTTGACAGAAGGACCTACAACAGGCATAGGCAAGCTCGGCCCTCCAGATGTTTTGGGACTACAACTCCCATCATCCCTATGTAACAGGATCCGTGGTCAGGGATGATGGGAATTGAAGTCTCAAAACATATGGAGGGCTGAGTTTGCCTATGCCTGACCTACAACATGGACAAATCCCCATGTGGCTCAGGATTTGGGTTGTTACCCCAAAGAGCAGAGAAAAGAATTGAGCTACAATGGCATTCACAGAATGATCTTAATTTTAGACTCTGTCCTTTCTTCAAGTGAAGGACAGTTTAAGAATAAAATAGGCATACACTCCTTACCAAAGGATCCTATGCCATTCATAGTCAGGTTCTAGAGTTCTATTAGCACAGAGCATTTTCACAACATCATGGTTTCAATATACACTGCAAAAAATGCTGAGATACGATTCTGCCCACTAGTTTGTTTTGGTACCCAGGAATAACCTTAACAAGTGTGCATCCACAAAGAAGAAGAAAAAGCTTCTGTTCATGGGGGTGGACATGGAGGATTGTTTAAATGCCAAACTATTTTCCTATGTGGGAGGGAGTCTCTGGCATTGGTACAGTATACACCGCCTTCCATTTTTGTCCTCTTCCTCCAGATTTGGGTGCGGGGGGAATCTGTTCACCAAAAAATAGGTGGAAGGCTCCAGTTTTTCTGGGAGAAGTAAGTTCCTTTCATAACAGCTGGAAGTTTCTTCAAGTAACACCTCCTCCTCCAAAATGGTGGAAGTTAAAAGAACTGCTACCTAACCATAACCCCTAACACTAACAACTAACCCTCAGCCTCACCCTAACCGCTGATCCTAACCCCCTAAACCCTAACACACTAACCCCAACACCAGCCCTAACCCTCACCCTCCCTCACCCTAATCAACCTCTAAATTTAAACCTAACCCTTACCCTAAAACTTCTTAATCCTAACCCCCTAACCCAAACCCCAAACTTGAACCTCTAAACACAACCCTAATCCTAACCCCCAGCCCTAATGACCTAACCTGTACTCCTAACCCTAACCACTAACCCTAACGCTAACCCTTACCCCTAACCAAACCCTAAACCTAACTGTAACTGTAACCCCAACACACTAACCCAACCCTCTAACCCTACCCCAACCCAACTGTAACCCTAACCCTAACCCTATCCCAAGCCCAACCCTCACCTGAAACCTAACCCTACCCAATCCTAAACCTAACAATAAGCCTAAACCAATCCTAACCCTAGTTTAGGAATTTGGTTTAGGGGGTTCAGATTCAGGGGTTTGGTTTAGGGGTTCAAGTTTCAGGGGCTAGGTGTAGGGGTTCAGGTGTTAGGTTTAGGGTTTGGGGGTTCAGGTTTTGAGCATTAGATTTAGGGCTTCAGGGCTGGGGTTTAGGGGTTGGGGAAGAAAGTATGAAAAGTTAGAGTCCCACTCAAGGAAAGGCAAAGATTGCCATTAGGCTTAGTAGAAACACATTTAGATTTGCACATCTAGCCCCACTTTCAAGATTTGATACTTAAAATCACACTTCTGTGAATTCTACAGGAGGATTTCAATTTCATTAGGATTCTGCATCTGAGGAAGTCGCTCCGGTGTGAAATTTCAATCAGCAACAACATTTGCATGTTGGGAGCACGTTAGGTGCCCTGAATCTTAAAAACTGGTCTAAGAGCATTCTAGGTTTGACAACTACAATGACTACAAATAAGAGTGAAGAGCAATTTCACAAAGAGGGTATCTTGGAAGAGCAGGCCCTAATCAAATTACAAGAGGTTAGGTTTGTGTAAATCACACTTACCTTGAGAAGCTGAAGATCTGTGAACAGGTGCATCACTTCTAGTCTTATATATGCTAGGAACACTGGTATGAAAGCATCTGTGCTTGTCTCAGCTGCCAGGTCATACCACCTTCTAGCTAAGTGTATATCCTAAAGATAGAAAGTCATTTCTAAAATTTGCAAGGGCTTTATGAAATATCCATGGTTAAGGCACCTTCCAGTAGCAATGTCATTGTGGTGCTCTCAAAATCATTTTGATTGATATGGTAAGGGCCAATCAAGATTGTCAAATTCTATTGACTGAATCCGAATTCTTGCTTGTATGCATAGTTTGCATGCTTTAGCATAAAGCGTTGGGGTGATTTACTATATTGTAAGCATCAGTCAGCCTAGAAAACTAGCGAGGAAAAGAATCACTATTTCCTCAAAGGTAGTTTAAAAGCGTATCTCAAGATCCAAAGCACTGCAGGTAGTGATCCCTTTTTGCATAGATGTTTGTCAGCAGCCGCTTCCAACAGCATCTCTCTGAGCAAAACCAAACACTGTCTTCTGGGGGAAAATATTTTTGCATTCAGGGTGCAGAACCACTTTACACTTGTGCATGGCATGAATAATGTGGAGCTAAGCCACTGGGTCATTTGTAGTTCCACATGTTAAATAAGACTAACATATTCCACCAATTGTAGCGTTATAGTCCATTAATAATGGTGGAAATTCTCATAATCTACTGACTTCTCAATTCTTTAGCTTTTCTGAGCTGTGCTCGTTATCCTGCTGTCGCAGTCGAAGAACATATTCAGTGTCTTCATTGTTCCTAATATACTGATGTGTTGGTCAATATTTAGTCAATACTTGATCAACTGATTTTTGGACAGGTCAAGAACCCTGCCCAAACGAAAATTCTGTGTCCCACCCACCTTGGTTCTTTAACTAGAATATTAACAATAACCAAAGTTTACTTGCAGAGCTAATGTTTGATGCAGCACCAGACGTAGATTATGTTACCTTAGGAATGCCTAAACCATATTCATACATATATGCCAGATTGAACATGGCTTGAGCACTCTGTTGATTAGCAGCAAGGTTGTAATGAACCGCAGCTGTCAAGTAATCTCTCTTTATTCCAAAACCATAGAAGTGATAATCTCCCGTTTTAACTCTGGCAAATATATTGCCTGCAAGACAAATAGTTGAAAAAAATATTATGATTGCTTTTGTGGTTGTTATTTATAATATCCCGCACCTATCAATCCAAGGTGGTAGAGAATGAATTCTTGGTCATTATCATTTGTGCCACCGGTTCTGAAGGTGGTTCTGAAAAGTGCAATTCAAACAAGGTGGCCTCCCTCCAAAAGAGGTTTCTGTGTATGTGTACAAAGACACTGGACCACCTATGACACCTGCTTCTCCATCACTAGTGTTGACTTACTCTGTTTTCAGGTTCTTGGCTGGATCCCAGCTATTTGGATGACAAATATTTATTAGAAATGTTTCTTAGGCTACCTGCCAATAAAACCTGTGAGGCAGCTTACAATGTAGTAATCCAATTAGATAAGACAAAGAGACAGTGATACATAGATAAAACAGCACTTGAAAACTAACCATAACAGAACAGTTATAACAAGCCTACACTCACCTTGAGACACAAAAAAAAGTCTGGAACTGCAATTATTTGAGAATCGGTGCCAGATTACTAGCTCTCAGAGCCCATGTTGCTATAAATACATATGGTGCTATATTCTCACCCCTTTGTAACTGGGGTAGTTCTGAAGAAGAGGCCTCATAAAGGAAGCTCTTATAGGGACTTCCCCTGCATGCAAAGACAGGCTCTGGTAGATTGATTGGATGTGACCATTAGTGGGTCCAACAGTCAAGAAAGCAGTTTCTGCACGAGCTGTAGAGGCGCAGGTGGGGCTCATTCACCTGGGAAGGTAGCCCATTAGGAGAAGGAAAACTCTGAACCAAACCTCCACTGTCTTGCAGATGTACTTGTCTATGAGAAAGACTTCAGGAGTAAACCTCAAGGAACAATCCATATCCACTGCTTTACGGGACTTCTTTGGGAAAAGTCCAAAAAGTATACCTTAACCAAATCCAGAGTGGAATGGCATCTTGTATGTTTCCTTCTGGCAACTCCTGTAGCCCAGCTAGTGCCAAATGTATTGCTTTCCGTTCCTTTGGACCACATCAGTGAGGCCAAGAGAGGAGTCTTGTCATTTGGGCAGCACAGGACCTCCATACACACTGCCCAGGTTTGACAGAACAACAGTACTCAGACTTTACAGCACTGAAGTGTGCATGAAGTACATATTTTAATTCTTTTCCCTCTCCTGCTTCCTATAAATTCTAATTATTATTGATACAAAATACCTTTTCCATATGGTCACCAATTTAAGCAATACATGTTATTACACATCATTTGACACAACTTTGTTAATATATTCTGAAACTTTTATCTCAGTATTTATTGTTATGAACATGAAATTTATTACGGTCAGAGACCAGCATGAGAAACACATTTATTGTTATGCACTTGTTGCATGTCATATGCTCTAATAAAGATAGGTAAACGTAAAGGATCCCTGGACAGTTAAGTCCAGTCAAAGACAACTATGAGGTTGCGGTGCTCATCTCGCTTCAGGCCGAGGGAGCCAGCGTTTGTCCACAGACAGATTTCCGGGTCATGTGGCCAGCATGACTAAACCACTTCTGGCTGTGCCAGAAACCAAAGCGCACAGAAATGCCGTTGACCTTCCTGCCACAGCGGTACCTATTTATCGATTTGCACTGGTGTGCTTTCGAACTGCTAAGTTGGCAGAAACTGGGACAGAGCAACGGGAGCTCACCCCGCTGTGCGGATTCGAACCACCGACCTTCCAATCAGCAAGCCCAAGAGGCTCGGTGGTTTAGACCACAGTGCCACCCACTCCCAAAGATATATCCCACTGCAAACTAACAGTTTAAAGAGGAAAATTAGTAAAAACTATGTTGCCAAGAATTGTTGCCAGATGAATCTCCCTGTAAAGGGCATAAGACAATCTAGGCAGTCATTCAGTCACCACCTGCTTATCTTTAGGTAGAGGAGGTGGACATGGAAAAGGGTCTGTGGTCATTCCTAGGTCTGCTTCAGGACTAGTGGAGGACATCCTGCTGCTTTTCTATAGTGCAGTGGAGACTCTGGTCAATGCAAAGATCTAGTGGTCTTTAGGCTGGGGAATCAGAATGATGCTGGCAGTGTGACAGTAAACTGCATTTGTTCTGAAAATGTTCCTCTTTTGTTTTAACAGGATTGTTTGCACACTTTGAATCCCCAAACCGCAGGGATCGAGTAGGTTACAAATTTTAGTCAAATGAAAATGGCAATTGGCTTTGGGAATACTTTGCCCTTCTATTAAAATATTTGATAGTAATTCATGTATGTCATTTGGTGACATGGTTCTAGGACCTGGAATGAGGATGCCTTTGTTCAGATTTGCTGGCTAGTCTTTAATAGAATTGTCAAGGCTAAAGCATTACAGTATTCTACCATTAAACCTACCCGTCCTGGTTAAGGAAGTACTCTAAAGAAAAACCAAGATCAAAGAAATGCTGAAATCTAAGTTCCCCATTGTGAGTCTCAAGAAATGGACAGGCAGGGATGAATTATGTCCAAGGAAGTGAGGCAAGCTGAGAGCACTCTTTATTCTGACATCTTAGAAAATTCAGTCACCTTCAGGGCATGGAGGACAAGGCATAGCTAGTTGATTTGTTTGAGCAGAAATTAAAGGTTCATGGTAGCTAACTCTTTACTGCTCAGTGAGTTTACTTCTGTGCCCTAAACATCACATAGAGACTTTGATAGGCATGTCAAAGAACTGAAAAAATAATTAGCTTGAACGAGCATGAGGTTGCATTTTTCAAATTATGCTCCCTTTTCTCTGACAGAATGTATGGCTCATATGAAATAGCAATGAAGCGAAATTGTTTAAACCATTCATTGCTTCTTTATATGTAACAAAATTAAGTAGAGGGTAATAAAAAAAAGTGAGATTGGTTGGGAATAAAGATAGCTAGGTTGGTTGGGGGATGCTTATTCTTGAAGGTCACTTAACGTTCTATCGTCATAGGAATTATATTTGTTATTATTAATTATTAAATTTGTATACCATCCTTCATCCAAAGATCACAGGGAGGTTCACAACATAAAAATACAAAATGAGAACACAAAATACATAATAAAAGCAAAAACAAAGCAATAACCCCACTATAGAGATTGATGTAGCAAGGCCATGTAAAAGGAACAAGGTAACAATTAATATGCACATCATTCATTTTTTTACATTTTGTTATTCAGTACTTTATAAGAAATGCCTGTGGGATTGCCATCTCAATGAATTAAGTGGAGGGGAAGGAAAATAATATCTTAATATTTTACAGTGATTTTTAATGACTTATCAGTATTGTTGCATGAATGTAATCTTTTCTTCCTATTTAACTGCAAGAGCCAAAATGGGAAAAAATATCATACTAATAAGAGTGGACAGCTAGGCACAGGTTATTTTTAACTCTGTTCATACCTTGATTTGCAGCCCGCTTCCATAAAAGAAGAGCCAATGGATATATTTGCTCTCGGTGGAGAAGTTTAACATTTTCTGTAACAAAATATTAGCATCATTTGTCTTAACACAATCACCGTGTTAAAGAATGCAAGTAAGCAGCATAAGATAAAGTTTCCCTTACCAGATTCCATAATGTGAGCTGAATTGCACTGAGCTACTTCATAGCCCATTTCTGCTAGAAGTGCATATTGAACAAGAGATGAATCAACATTGCCAGTCTGGTAAGCAAAGTGTGCTGTCAGGAATTTGTCTGACCATCTCCCCAGTTCACATACGGTTCTGTAAAGCTAAATAGCAAAAAAAGAACAGACATTAAACACATACAAAGAACACCAGAAGTTTGTAATTAACTTTGCCTTAACAGCAGGGTTAATGGAAGAAAAGAAGATTAAAGGGAGACATTAGACAGGGCAGTGGTTTTAAACGGATGCCACCAATGTGAGCACAATGCTTCAGGTGGCAGTCCTAGGCATACTTACCTGGGAGTAAGCCCCCTGAAAACAATGGGACTTCTGAGTTTCTGAGAAAAAAATCCATAGGTTTGCACTATAAAACAAGTTCAGCATGTGTTGTGCTTAAATCTCCTTTGAAATCAATACAATGTGCATAGCTTTGGCTGGATTGTGTCTCGTGTGTAATGTTTGCAAAACATTTCTTAGCGCTAAGGACACAAATGCCATGAGGAGATGCAAAAAAAAAAAAAAAAAGTAGAATTAATTCATCTATAGACTAGCAACTCCCCAAAATCTTAGTATTTTGTAGCCTCTATGATAGAAACCTAACTTTGGAAGGTGGGGGTAATAGATGCCAGTGGAAGATTTTTTTGCTAAGTCTAAGCACAAGAGACTCATGAGAAGAGAAGACTCCCTGGAAAAGACCCTGATGTTGGGAAAGATGGAGGGCACAAGGAGAAGGGGACGACAGAGGACGAGATGTTTGGACAGTGTTCTCGAAGCTACCAGCTTGAGTTTGACCAAGCTGCGGGAGGCAGTGGAAGACAGGTGTGCCTGGCGTGCTCTGGTCCATGGGGTCACGAAGAGTCGGACACGACTAAACAACAAGCGTAAGAGAACATGTTTGTCATGGTTGTGGTTGGGCAGAAAAAAACCATAAACTTTCCCTCCCCACACACTGTAGTCCTGATGCAATTTTGGCCCCCATGCCTGAATTTCAAGAAAGAAAACTCCTGGAATGTTTTTGAGCTATTCATTTGACATGAAGTGTAGTTTGACTCTGTATCTATTGCTACTGGGTGGTTGTTGGCTTTGGACAGCTGTTGATATTGGATGAGAACAACCATCAACATTAATATCTCAAAGGGCAGACTCTCAAACAGGGCATTACTTACTTTAACAGCATTCTGGCATGACCTGAAAGCTCCCATTCCCGTAGCGTACATTTCAGCCAAGTGATAAACAGCAAGGGGTTGCCCGTTTTGAGATGCCAAGTAAAAATATTGGAAGGCAAGTTTGTAATCTCTCTTGACTCCAGAGCCATCTGCAATGAAATATGATTTGGATTTTCATCAAAAATTAGGTAACTGAACCATGGGAGCCTTGACAAAAGGAAGAACTGTGCCCAGGGACTTACTGTGATACATAAGGCCCAGCTGAAATTGGGCCTGGGCATATCCCTTCTCTGCTGCTTTATGAAAGTATTTAAAAGCTTCACTGTGATTCTGAAAGGGAAACAAACTTATTGAGAGGTCAAGAAATTAGTTTCTGGTTTTGTGGAACACTGATCGTGGACTGCAGCTCAGAAGACGTTGCAGCTGCATTATGAGAAGCGGTACCGATAACTTGCGGCACAATCCTGTACTTGAGATCTGTCGGCTGAGGGGTCATGAGACGTAGCACTAAGTCCCACTATGACAACAGAGCACAAGGTACACAAAGACCCTGGCGGAACAGCCCCTGTGGTAAGCCATTTATTGGTCTGTGCAATGTGCCTCCTCATTGGCTCAGGGGTGCTTGAAGGTAGAAACCCCTCCCCACCTTGACTACTGCGTGGTGGTATCCTAGGACCCCTTGCATGTAAAACATAAAACCTATGTTTTAATTTTGGGGTGTTAAAGCCACATTAGGCCAAGCGTCTTATGGTTTTATTGGCTTTTTTTATTATGAAAAAGCTCTGATACACTGAAGACTTACCCGTGGAAGACCTTTACCACGTAAATAAATAAGTCCAAGCCCCCATAGTCCAATGGAATTGCCCTAAATAACATATTGAGAATGTTTCATTTAGACATAAGAATAAGTTACCCACTATATGAGAAGAACCTATAAAGAATCACTGTAATTGTGTGCCTTAGTGTCAATTATAATTATTTACTGATTATATTTCTCGCTTGTTAACCAAGAGACAAATGTCTCCTTCGCCATATCTCCTCTGGACATTGTGTCACACCAAGTTATTCACATAACCCTGGTATGAGCAATAAATGGTTTAAAGGTAAAGGTTGCGGCGCTCATCTCGCTTTATTGGCCGAGGGAGCCGGCGTACAGCTTCTGGGTCATGTGGCCAGCATGACTAAGCTGCTTCTGGCGAACCAGAGTAGCACATGGAAACGCCGTTTACCTTCCTGCCAGAGCGGTACCTATTCATCTACTTGCACTTTGACGTGCTTTCAAACTGCTAGTCCGCAACAAGAGCTCGGACGACCTAAATGAAGCATTTCGTTACACAGTTGTGATTATTAATGCAATCTTATGCAACTCTACTCATTTAATTCAATTGGAACTATTTCCACTGAGTTCAATGAGTTTAATTAAGAGTAAAATCCTGCCTCCCTCCCCAAAAGAAGTTCTGATAGGTTTGCTCTGGAGGTAGTTGAAATGTTCATGAACATCAGGGTCATTATATCAACCCAGGTTGGTGTCAAAGACTTCACCAGACCCAAGTACAACACAATACACTATAGACAAAGAGAATATTCATTTTGTAGGACAAATGCAGTCTGAGCAAGTGTAATTTGAAGCCTACAAGTTTAATGGAAGTTTTATGGAAAAGTTCCCCTCTCCCCCAATGTTGTTCATCACATAACCATTTTTCTATACGGCCTTTTCAGTTGCTCCTACTTATCTATTACAGTCCTTAGTGTTGAACAAGTTAGTCACCTCTTACATAGCACCAATGCATCTGGTGTTTTAAAAGATTAAATTAAAGAGGCAGATGTGAGATGCCAGCAGTCTAAAAATACAGGCAAAATGAACAGTAGGAGAGGAATGAAGGGACAATGTACTTTGACACATGACACCCTCAATATATCTACAACTTGATTCCCAATTCAATATTGATGTGATGAAATCACCATGAAGCAACACTTTCCTATAACATTTGTGGGGTCAGTCTCTCTTTCAAATATAACCTTGAGTTGTTAGATCTGAAATTTGCTTCATTAGTTACAACAATTTGTATTGTTTTGCACTCGTAGCACTGAAACATTTTGTTTGTTTTATATATTAGCTGCTTGATTTTTCATTTTAAAAAGGCAACCCACCTCTAAGCAGTTTACATAAAGCTGTGCAAAATATTCCATTGACTGATCCTGTTGATGTCTAAGTAACAACAGGGAGCATTCCTCAGTACCAGGAAAAATATGCAAGAGATTTTTTAAATGAAAATTCAGAGTCTAGAGCACCAGCCATGGGCACCACTGGGAGCTTCCACAGGCAGAAGGTTGACAAACCTAGTATAATAGGTTAAGGACATTTTAAAGAGCAAGTACAGAAGGTTAATCATGGTGTGGTTTGATTTAGTGCTTGTAATATATAAAGTTAAAAGTTGATTTGAAGCAGTGATTGTTGTGATCTTTAATTGTCAGATATAACTGTATTCCTAAGAACAATGTATTAATTATAATTAATTAAAGCTGCTACTTTTTTAAAAAAAAGAAAAAGAAAGAAAATACAATACCTTCTCTGCCGCCATTTTGAAATACTTCAAAGCTGCAATGTTACTCTGAGGCACTGTAGCACTTCCTTCTAAATACATCTAGACAGGATTAAGAGGGGATATTTCTTCAGATGATGGTGACCATCCATGGAAATGCCTCCTCTTGCCATTAAAAATTTGCAAAACAAACGGATGAAGTTCCTCTGAATTTAATCCTATTTTGCACTTTTGCTTCCTGTTTTCTGTTTGACTCTCTGTTATGTATAGTGCTGGGCTTTCATGAGTCATTTTAAGGAAGATTTGAGGAATCCTTAGCCCTCCAATGTTACTGAACTTTAACTCACAATATCTATTAGCCATGTTTGCCAGGGCTGATGAGAGTTATCTATCAGCAACATCCAGAGAGCTGAAGGCTCTCTAGGTTAAGGGACCCCTGACCATTAGGTCCAGTCGTGACCGACTCTGGGGTTGCGGCGCTCATCTCGCTTTATTGGCCAAGGGAGCTGGCGTACAGCTTCCGGGTCATGTGGCCAGCATGACTAAGCCGCTTCTGGAGAAGCAGCGCAGCGCACGGAAACGCTGTTTACCTTCCCGCCGGAGCGGTACCTATTTATCAACTTGCACTGGTGTGCTTTCGAACTGCTAGGTTGGCAGAAGCAGGGACCGAGCAACGGGAGCTCACCCTGTCACGGGGATTCGAACCGCCGACCTTCTGATCGTCAAGTCCTAGGCTCTGTGGTTTAACCCACAGCACCACCCAGGTCCCTTGAAGGCTCTCTACTCCTGCTTTAAATATACAACTATAACACAAGCAGCTGAACACATTGTGTATTTGTTTCCAAAAGGAATACCCACAGCTTACAGTAACATAACAATTCTCTTTTTTTTTAAATACCAATACCTGCTTAATAATAATTAATATTAAATTTATTACTTGCCCTTCGTCTTAAGGTTCCAGGGCAGATTACAACATTACAACACACATTACAACACAATATAGAATACACTTTAAAACGACTTACAAGTAGAGAAAAAAGTGGGTGCTAAAAATATACATCTCAAGTGTCAAAAGCAAGGACAAAGAGGTGCATCTTGAGGAATCGCCAGAAGCTATGGAATGAAGGTATCAGACACACCTCTCCGGGGAGGGAGCTCCACAACTTACAACCAGCAATGGCATGAATTTTCCATTTGCAAATTGAAAGACTCCTTCTATTCATGGAAGGGCTTTCAATCCAGTGTAGGCCCCCATTGGCAGAAGGATCAGAGAGTGTTTTTTCTGATCCCCCTTTCCCCTCCAGTCCTCAGTGTCAAATCTTGAACTGTTCCAGTTGGTCTCTTAAGCCCTCCAGAACAGATTTTCAGGGTGGTGCAAAGGAGAAATAAGCCAAAATTGCCCCCCCCCCAATTCTGCCAGCAGCATCTCATGGAAACTTGGAGTCCACACCATTGATTAGAAGAGAAGCACTTTTTTGTGTGTCTTGTTCTTAAGCTGACCAGGAAATGTCAAGAAATGGAAGGAGGAAAGAAATGTCAAGCTCTCCCCTCAAAAGTGTTCATGCCTCTTGAAAGTCCTCCTTAAGTTTGCCATTCTACTTTGAAGCACAACACTTCAAAGTCAATCATGATATGCCTTTGATTTTGCATGCAGAGATACAAGACAGTCAGATCCCTTTGGCCATGATCATACAGCAGAGCTTTCCAAACTGTGCGTCATGACACGTTAGTGTGTCAGCTGCAGTGTGTAGGTGTATCACACAAATGCTCCCTGCATTCCTCCTGGGACTGGAAAGGGGTTAGTTTAACCTCCGGTTGCTAGCAAAACTGAATTAACTGTGTTGCAAAATGATGCATGTCTAAAAAGTGTGTCTCCAACATGAAAAGTTTGGAAAGCTCTGTCATACAAGATAGGTGAGAACTGCAGTTTAATGTGGTCTTAAATGTACAACTGAAGATTGCCTCTTCCCTCCTCCAGTCTCCTCCGCTCTGCTTTGACCACATCGCAAGTAGCTTGTATGTGAGAATGGCCCCAATCCACTGCAGCTGGACTCTGCTTGAATGTGAGGAAACTACAAAGGACCATAGATGGGGTCTCAAAGAAGCAAACATAGGTACCTTTCCCAGGAATGCCATACCATGTGCATTCCCTGCATTCGCTGCCTTTAGGAAATAGTAGAAGGCTTTCTAAAGAAAAAGAGCAGAATAAAGTGATGACTGATATAACAAAGTTTCCAAATCAAGGTATGCATTCTCCTGCCTTGACACCTGTTCATAGTTAGACAGGCCATATTGGTGAACAATAATTCAAACTGGCATCTTTATGTTCTAGTAGTCTGTACAAACTTAGATCATATGCCCCAAATGGTATTGGGGTTCAATCCATAATGTCTCCAGGCAGGGCTGCAAATGTCAAATCTGAAACCCCTGGAGAGACACCATCCACTAGGGATGGAAGAATCTGCCCATTTGAATCTCTTAGTTGCTTATTAGTTTTTCCATCTTAAAATAATTTTTTGCCATATGAGCAGCAATTTGCAGTTTGTTTTCAAATCCCCATGAAAATTCTTCTGCATTTTAGTGTGACGTTTTTATGAAGTTTTGACTATATGTGCATTTTTGCAAGGAATTTTCCTTAATGTGATATGTTTTCGTATGTTATTTTAATGCACATTTCACCCTAATATATGCATTTTTTAAAGCACTGCATTACAACTCAGATGTGTGTGAATTTCAAAGGCTGGCTGTGTGCGGGGTTTTTTTGTTTTGTTTTTAATTGTATCAGAAAGTGTGAATTTGATTAATTCAGCTTTACATGCTAACTGAACTGAAATTTTTCCACATCCCTAGAGCTCTGAAGAGCCAATGGTTTGACCTGGTATAAGACAGCTCCCTGTGTTTGTTTGCTTTTTTAGTCCCATTTTGCTGCAAATACATAAATCTTAGGTTGTGGTCCAGAAGGGCACTCACATATGCCTACCTTTTCCTCCTTAAATAATGCTTTTCTGAAACTGCTTTAAAGAAACCCTAATTTTCTGCTGTGAAAACTCCCAAACTAAAAAAGCACTCTACACATTTGTTGCATAAATGTTTAAAAGAACACACAAACTCACACAGCTGGCATTTCTGCTTATAAAAACCTAAGCACCAGCTTCCTAAATTGGTGCTTGAACTTGGAGGAAATGAAAGACCGTGCTAGATTTCAAAAAGATGCCTGTTTGAACAGGGGTATTACTTTGTGATCTTAATCACGCTCTTTGGAACCATCCCATTCAAATCAACCAAATATACTTCTAAAATTTAAAACTGTAAGAGCACGGCTTTCATCTTTCTAATCTACCTGCACTTACAGCATGATCTCTCTCGAGTCCTTTCCTTCCGAAGAGATGCAGCTGTCCTAGATACACCTAGAAATAATTATTTTAAAAATGAATGTCTTGTATCTTTTGGAGCCAAAAGTCAATGAGCAAGAATGGCCCAATGTCACACCAGCAAACACAACAAAATTTCCCCCTTCCACCTGTTTTTTCCAAGCCACCAGAGCAGATTTTGTATTTTGCGGGTGCACAGAAAACTGCAGGAGAGAAGAGGAAGGGGAAGTCCCATTCGTGCAAATGGTGTCAGAGAATAAGACTTGGGCACAGAATTTATGGCAAAGGGTCTGTGGGGGAATACTAGTCTGAAGGATTCAGCTGCCCTTCCTGGGATCTTATTTAACATTAACTTACTTTTTTAATAGAAAGGGATAAAATAACAACAAACACACAACATTTTTGGTTGGTTGGTTGGTTGGTTGATAATTATGTCCCACATCAGAGTTAAAAAGGTGGCTAACAGCATTTTTTAACATAGAAGACCAAACAATTCAACCATTTATTTATTTTTAAGGTTCCAGAAGACATATGACTTCATCATTCTTAGACTCCCTGGGAAGCAGATCTATCAAGCAGATCCTGAAGGTGAGGGCGAAATAGGACCACAATGGGGTGGGGAGAGGGGAGGAAGAGGATTGGTGACAGCAGTTTCCATGCATTTGTCACTTAATGCCACACTAATCTGCAATATTTGTAGGCTGAGGGTCAATTATAATATTCTTAGTAAAGATAGGGATTCCAGTAAATCAGGACGTAGGGAATATTGTTTAAATTCCTGAACACTACAGTTAGATCTGAGGACGCAGGTGGCGCTGTGGGTTAAACCACAGAGCCTAGGACATGCCGATCAAAAGGTTAGCGGTTCAAATCCCTGCGACGGGGTGAGCTCCCATTGCTCGGTCCCTGCTCCTGCCAACCTAGCAGTTCGAAAGCACGTCAAAGTGCAAGTAGATAAATAGGTACCGCTCCGTCAGGAAGGTAAACGGCGTTTCCGTGTGCTGCTCTGGTTCGCCAGAAGCAGCTTAGTCATGCTGGCCACGTGACCCGGAAGCTGTACGCCGGCTCCCTCGGCCAATAAAGCGAGATGAGCGCCGCAACCCCAGAGTCATCCGCGACTGGACCTAATGATCAGGGGTCCCTTTACCTTTACCTTTACAGTTAGATCTATGCGGGCAAAGCCTTGCATCACATAGCACAAAAACACAAAGTGGCTACTTTCAGTTTAGATGGCTTTAATAGAGGATTAGACAAATTGATGGATGTTAAGGCTATCAATGGATACCAAGCACAATGACTACGGTATGTACTACCTCCAACACTGGAGGCAGTAGGTCTCTAAATACCAGTTGTGTGGAATTGCAGATGGGAAAAGGGCTGTTGTGCTCAGGTTCTGCTTTTGGGCTTCGCATGGGCAGCTGGCTGGTCACTATGAGAACAGGATGCTAACTAGATGGGCCTTGGACCTGATCTAGCAGGCTCTTCTTATGTCATTATAATTGCTGTTTTTATTGTTTTTGTTTTATAGCATATTTTAATTATAGATTTTTAAAAAGTGTTTCGATTGAATTATTTTATTGTGTATTTTGATGATGTGTGGATTCTAATTGATTTTATACTTGTAAACCACTTTGAAGTCAGGTAAGCAGTATTAACAAATTAATAAATAATAATAATAATAAATAGGCAAATAGAAAGGAATGTCTCTTACCTGTATCTGTGTGTCTCCTCTTTCAGCCAAAAACTTGTAGTACTGATGTACATCCCAGTCCAAGATTTCTGTATCAAAACCCAGATTTTCTGATCTTTCCATCAGCTTCACTTTTTCAACTGGCTTATCTTCATTTTCTTCTAATTTGCTTGCAACTAATAATAATAATAATAATAATAATAATAATAAATTCCAAGTAACACAAATCAGAACAACCGCTTCCTACAATCCGAGAAGATTTCATTTTTCCTTTCCATGATGTAGTCAGTGTAGTACCCTCCAGATGTTCTGAACGACAACTTCCATCACTCTTGACATTGGTCATGCTAGGTCACCTTAAACACAGTGATGGAGGAGGCAGGTCCAGTCTACTTGCCCCACCACCCTCACACATGTATTTACAGTTCCCTAATTGTAATGCCTGCATATGGCTTCGGTTAACTTGCTTTGTCACTTGGGACTGTATTTTAGTACAAGTAAACATGACAAGCAGAGTTTGGATTTGATACCCTGCTTTATCACTACCCTAAGGAGTCTCAAAGCGGCTAACAATCTCCTTTCCCTTCCTCCCCCACAACAAACACTCTGTGAGGTGAGTGAGGCTGAGAGACTTCACAGAAGTGTGACTAGCCCAAGGTCACCCAGCAGCTGCATGTGGAGGAGCGGAGGCGTGAACCCGGTTCACCAGATTACGAGTCTACCGCTCTTAACCACTACACCACACTGGCTCTTTTGTTAGACAAGTAACTGGATTCCTGGGATTAGGGCCGGCCCACCCGTGAGGCAAGGTGATATGACTGCCTCAGGCAGCAGGATCCACAGGGGCAGCAGATTTGACGTCCAAGGAAGGCATCGTCTGCTGCTACTGCCAGTGCCATAGTGGCAGCATCAGCTGCAGCTTGCTCCTTGGAGGCCAGATCTGCTGTGGCCTTGGCTGCCTCCCCCAGTGCTGCCTCTACAGTGGCCTCTTGGTGAAAAGGGGGTGCTGTTGGTCCCCCTCAACCTTCGTTCTCAAGGTAGACCTTTATTCCCCCCTTGTTCCTGATGCACATCGTCACTAATCCCTTCTTCCCTGGTGGGGGTGGAGGGTGCTATTCTCAGGTTCTCCTCAGGTGCCAAAAAGTATTGGGCCATGCCTGCCTGGGATCTTGGAAAATGTGTTCTTTTCATATGTTAATAATTTGAGTGAGAATCATGTCCTCTGCCCCCCATGAGGGTCTGGTATTTCTTAGTCTTTAAGGTGCCACAGGACTCTTGAAAGAGCAAACAAAAACAAAAGTGGCACTTTCAAACAAGGCAAGATACAATAGATGAAGGCCACCTACTGTAATCTGCAACTTTCTTGTAATAAAGAAGTGCTGCTTCACAGCTCCTTGGAACATTGATTCCTAACCAGTAACGATAGCCCTGTTGGGGGAAAATTCACAAATATTTTAATTATCACTCAAGCCTCTAGAATTGGAAATAGTGAAAATATGTGATTTACAAACCAAGATCATCTGGGATATAAGATTTCCCCCATGACTTGCGAATGTGTAGTAAACAAGTGCCTAAAGAGGGGGGGAAATAAAATCATAAAATCATGCCAGGTTTTTCTTCTTTGAAAAACACAAAATATAGATGAAAGACTTCAATGACAATAGGGTAAAGTCAGCACAGAATTTTATTACCTTTGATTGACTGTATTCCACTCCTATTCCATATGAAGACAAGAAACCTAATGCCTATGGGGGGAAATAAAGTAAAAAGTTCAGTCAATCCTGTTGCTTTTCAGTTGCTTATATTGTTAACAGTTGCCTTAGGCCCAATTCTCATGCGGTAAAATTATCTTTAAGTTATTTTACCATGTCAGTTTCATGTAATCAGGGCTTAGCATTAATGCACTTGTGCAGAGAGTCAGCAGGTATATTTACTGTAGCCCCCCATGAAATGTAGGAAAATGAAATTTTTCAAAGTAGTAAATGTTTATCTGGGCTCTACCATTTCAGACTGCTTACATGGCTGAATGCTTCCTTCAACCACTGAGAGGTCCTCTAAATTCTCTGCTTTCCTTATCCAGGGACAACATCCTCAGAGGTAGCATGTGAATTGAAGCCAGGGAAAGTAAGGCAAATGTAGGCTTGGCATTTTGGGCAAGAAGTGCAAAGAAAAATAAAATAAAATATAAAATAATATAAAATATAAAATATAATAAAATCACATTGAGATGCACACAAATGTGTCTACATTAAGGGTTGCATCCAATGGCATTACTCAGGCAACTCTTAGTGAATCACCATCCCTCTTGCAGCTACCCACACCTCCTAAGCCTTGGAGACCTCCAGAAAGGTTGGAGGCCCTCCAAAACAGATTCAGGTGGTGAAGACTGTAGGAGAAGGAATAATTGAAAATTGCTTCCCTTCTTGTTCTGCTGATGGAAATCTTACTGTCAGCTCAACAACACCACTAGATACAACCCATAACGTATGCAATTTTTTTATTTCTTTTCCCTCTGAAAGTGTTGTAATCCTAAACTTGAAGAGGACCTAAGAAGGCTAGGCGTTGGAATTTTTGAGAACCGATATCTGAAAATGAAGCTCTCAAAATGTGAACTTTCTGTGGACTTTCTGAAAATGGCCATCACAATTGGGAGGTATAAGCAGATGACAAAAATATATGGGGGCAAACAAACTAAAGCGAGAAAGTCAAGACAGAGTATGCTTAAATAAGAAATTTTCATGAAGCCGTCACATTGCTCATGTCTTTGAACAATGACACATAAATACATGATACAGACATTTTCAGGTTACATTAAGGCAGCATATGAGAATACTATGTGAACACACACATACGTGTGTTTTCATATATCCCCCTTTGCAAATTTTCTGTGCGTAGCTATATAAACATCATACTGAAAACAAAGTTAAAGTGGCAGACAGGCTGTGATGTGACTGTATATAGACTCCTTGAGGCACAGGCGTGTGCTTCAATCTTTGTACAAAATGAATTCTAGATTTATTCCGGCCAGTCTTGGTTCAAGGTTATAGACATGGACAAGATTAATTGGTGGAACATTGTGTCACAGAAAAGATGTAACATGGAAAAAATAATGGTGCTTCTGAATAAAGAAAAACTAAATTTCTATATCATAACTTTGTTCCTCACAAATAGTTATAAAACAGTTTAAAATAGGTCACTGAGCTAAAATTTAATTCAGGGCTGTCCAACCTTTGTATCGTCGGACATTCCATTTTCCAGACCATGGTCCAGAGGATGGAAATGTATTTACAATGTAAACTGACCTCCTCCTATGGTCAGGATCCACAATAGTAAAGGTAAAGGTACCCCTGCCCGTTACGGGCCAGTCGTGTCCGACTCTAGGGTTGTGCGCCCATCTCACTTAAGAGGCCGGGGGCCAGCGCTGTCCGGAGACACTTCCGGGTCACGTGGCCAGCGTGACGAAACTGCTCTGGCGAGCCGGCACCAGCGCAGCACACGGAAACGCCGTTTACCTTCTCGCTATAAAGCGGTACGTATTTATCTACTTGCACTTAGGGGTACTTTCGAACTGCTAGGTGGGCAGGAGCTGGGACCGAAAGACGGGAGCTCACCCCGTCGCAGGGATTTGAACCGCCAACCATGCGATCGGCAAGCCCTAGGCGCTGAGGTTTTACCCACAGCACCACAATAAAGCTGTGCTATTTAGCTGTTTCACAAGGAAATGAGGAAACTTATGTGCTTGGGTGTAGTGTTCTGCTGGACTGAGGTCCAGCTCCGAGGGCCTTCTGGTGGTTCCCTCACTGCGAGAAGCAAAGCTACAGGGAACCAGGCAGAGGGCCTTTTCGGTAGTGGTGCCCATCCTGTGGAACGCCCTCCCATCAGATGTCAAAGAGATAAACAACTACTTGACATTTAGAAGACATCTGCAGGCAGCCCTGTTCAGGGAAGTTTTTAATGCGCGACATTTTAATGTATTTTTAAACTTTGTTGGAAGCCACCCAGAGTGGCTGGGGAGGCCGAGCCAGATGGGTGGAGTATAAATAAATTATTATTATTATTATTATTATTATTATTATTATTATTATTATTTTAAAGTGATGCAACATTAAACAACATGAAAACATTTCCCTTTTCCTCTGAAATGTTTCTTAATGATACTACTGAAGATACTTGAACATTTATTAGAATGTGTAGTTCTGCACATTCCAGAGGAACACTAATGTGACACCTTGGAGACAGAAAGCCTTGTTGTGGGATCACATTTCATGGCCTAGAACCTATAATATATAATATTTTTTTATTTATACCCCGCCCATCTGGCTGGGTTGCCCTAGCCACTCTTGGCAGATTCTAACACAAATAAAAACACAATAAAACATCAAACATTAATAGTAACAATCTGATCCAATATAAAAAGTCACAAAACAAAACAAAACAAAACAAAACAAAACAAAACAAAAAGAAACAAAACAGCATTCAACAATCCATCAGAGTCTAATAGTAAACAGTAAAATTAAAGATCAGCAAATAATAATTTACAATAAAGAACAGGGGTCAACAAACTTTTTCAGCAGGGGGCCGGTCCACTGTCCCTCAGACCTTGTGGGGGGCCGGACTATATTTTTTGGGGGGAGGGAGAATGGCGGCGGAGGGATGGTGAGCTTCACGCAAAAGGGCTCCGGAGAGAGGCTGCTTAAAATGGCAGCCGCTCAAGTGCTGCTGCTGCTGGCACCAACAAAGCCCAGCCCCCTTTCTCCTCTGGGCAGGGCGGGGAAAAGCCAGGAGGAGGGAGGGAGGAGGCGGCGGTGCCGCCGCTGTGTGAGGGAGAGGGAAATAACATGCACACTGGCGATCCACGCGGCAATTCCCAGACCGTCCGTGGGCCGGATCCAGAAGGCCGTTGGATCTGATCCGGCCCACAGGCCTCAGTTTGCCTACCCATGATAAAGAATTACTAATCTATAATCAAGAAAAATAACGGCAAATCACAATGCATAAATTACCACAAAGCTTGCAAAATCATGTAAAAGGATCGAATTGAAAAGCAAGGACACACAACTTATAAAACTATTCTTAAATAATATCCCATGACTTCTCTCTTCCCAGCTGCTTCTGCTGTCTGGGAAAGGCTCCCAGGGCTGGAGCGTGGATCAAGGCAGGTGGAAAAGCCATTGCCTGGTTACCATAAAACAATGAACCTGCATCATGTGATGCCCGTGGACACTAATCCATGAAAGCTTGCAGCACAATAAATATGTTATAGCAATATCCAAGGTTGGTCATTGTGGCATTTGCCTCCTAGGATGGGTCATAAGGAAAGGGTTAAAACAGGTGTGATGTGATTGGCCAGTGAGAATGCAAGGAGCAAATAAAAGTTAGAGTGGGAGGTTTTGAAAGTCAGTTGGAGTTGAGGTTTGGGAGTTGAGTTGAGAGTTGAGGTTTGGGAGTTGAAGAAGGAAGAGGGAGGTTTAGGCAGTGGGTTGGTAGAGTTGTATTGTGAGAGAGTGAGAGGAATTGTTAGGTGGAGTCAGATAGATAGTTGGAATAATCAGTTTGGAGTTGTTAGGAACTAAGAATAAGAAACTGACAAGAGAAAAACTAACTGAAACCATAAGCTTGTTCCTGCATTTAAAAATAAACTTGATTATTTGTTTATGTTAACAACTGACTGGACTCTGTGTGTCCCCGTGAGATACGGGGTGGTGGCAGCGGAAAAAGCAATCGCAGTGGCGGCACAGGGTCAATAGACCGTCAAACGTCCGGGGGCCCTGTGTGTGATCGCCACAGTCATACTGAGAATAGACACAATGAAATCAATGGACTCTGTATATGGCAGGAGAGTCCTGCATTATTGAAATGATGGCTGGAAAGCTTTTGGAAAGCCAATGTGTTTTGGCACATTTGGTCTATCTGTTCTTTAATGACCCATCCACAATTCATGTATTCCTTTTATCCATGTATGTGCACACAGGAAACAGAGACATATGCAAAATGCTATGAAAACCTAGACAAAAGATTCAACAATCAGCACAACTTGTGAGATGCCTCTTCATGTTCTGCAACAGAGTCATGCGAAAGGAATGCAAGAGGAGATCCATTTGTGATTTATTAGACAAGGGACTAGTCTGAGCAACTGAATTTGCAGCCGATCTCTTACGCTATTTTTGCTATTATTTTGTGTCATCCATAAATCCTTTTCAATTAAAATTGATAATTTGCCTTAAATCAGAACATGTTAGACACACTAGCTAGGTGCGAAAATATAATTAGTTCTTATATCTTCAATTCTAACAACCGTAAACATTTGATTTTTGTTCCATGGAAACCATTGTCTACCTTCGGAGTGTCTTCAGTGGAATAAGGACTAAAGCCTTGACCTGGAATTTTATTGAACAAGGATTTTAGAAGATGTTTGCTGAACACACCAGATAGCCTCTTGAAATCAGGCAATTTAATAAATAATTAACTTTATATCCCTACCTTGTTGACATTTCTTGGCTGAGCATAAACACCATCTTACCTCTTTTCAAATATTTATGCACTCTAAAGTAGACTAGTGCCTGTTTAAAGCTTTAGCTAATTAAAGAGCACGTACCGTCTGGCCTTTATGAGATCCTTCTTCAGCTAAAATCTCATACAATGATACAGCTGCTTCTACATTTTGAGGAACATTATTTCCAAACAACATGTCAGATGCCAGTTGCTCCATAGCTTTCTGGTTTCCCATTTTTGCTGCTTTGACAAGGAGCCGGTGGGCTCTGATTAAGAAACACAAAGTTCAGATTTAGTCCGTCGGATATGGAAATTTCTCATCTATACATAAAACAGGAATTTATTCTGCTGTAACTTTGCATTAGAAGTTTACCCCCTTCATCACCAGAGACTGGGCCATCTTAAGCATATGCAGCACTGGGGTGCAAAGATCTGCCTAGCGCCCCTAGGTTGCCCAGAGTGGTCAACCTTTTGGGGGGGGGGCAAAGTTGTTGACCTTTTTTTAGGAAATAGTTGTTTACCTTTAGAACGGTTGCGGGGCGCAGGGACTCACAGCACCAACCAACAGGCGTGCCAGCGCTCATGCACAGGAGTGTACATAGGTGGGTGCGGGTTCCATGCTGGGGGGGCAAAATGTTGGGCAGCACAGTCACCGCGCTGTCCGCCCACTGCCTCCCCCCTGCTGCATGGGCAGCTAATTGTTTTGGAGCGGGGGCTCGGAGCACCATGTAACGTTGTGGGCACTGCGCGACGCATCCTGTTGCATGCGCCAAGCTGCGGGTTCCTTTGCTGGCTTTTCCACTGTTGGAACATGCTCCCAGTGCCACCCAACGTGGGGTGCCAGCGCAGAACAATGGGGAAGGCAAGTGGCATCAGAGGAAAGATCTCCAGATGGGATCCGTGTGCTCCTATTCGTCGAGTTTTGTTGCTGCCATCGGCGCTGTCGGCGTGCGGTGGATCCCATCTGGAGATGTTTCCTCCGCTGCTGCTTGCCTTCCCCATCGTTCTGTGCTGGCACCCCATGTTGGGTGGCGCTGGGAGCGTGCGCCAACAGCAGAAAAGTCAGTGTGGTGTAGTGGTTAAGAGCGGTAGACTCGTAATCTGATGAACAGGGTTCACGTCTCCGCTCCTCCACATGCAGCTGCTGGATGACCTTGGGCCAGTCACACTTCTTTGAAGTTTCTCAGCCTCACTCACCTCACAGAGTGTTTGTTGTGGGGGAGGAAGGGAAAGGAGAATGTGAGCCGCTTTGAGACTCCTTCGGGTAGTGATAAAGCGGGATATCTTCTTCTTCTTCAAAGGAACCCACAGTTCAGTGCATGCAACAGGATGCATCGTGCAGTGCCCACAACGTTATGCGGCGCTCCAGGTACTCCAACGTTATGCGGTGCTCCAGATGTGGGTTGACACATGGCTGATTATAAAAGGACCCCTCCATAGGTGTGCTTCATAAGCCTATCATTGCAAATCTCTACAAGAGAAACTCACTCTTGCATTGGCAATGGAACCATACAAATTAATAGGAAAGGGAGAAACATGGCCACATGTACCTATTCCATCCTTCTAAAGTCTCCAAGAAGACAGGAGTGCCTGGCGTGCTCTGGTCCATGGGGTCACGAAGAGTCGGACACGACTAAACGACTAAACAACAACAAAGTCTCCAAGAGAGACTGTGCCAGCCATGTGCCAGACCTGCACTTAAATTGATTTATGCCTTCTCTGGGACTGTGTTAGCAAAACAGCTAAGCCTACACTTACTTTTCTGTATCTTCTTTGTTTTTGGAATGCTTCAGTATTTTGAGGCTTCTCTGATAAAACTGACGACCTTTGTCCTTTCTTTCCACCTCCTCTTCCACTAGAAATGTGACCAGAAAAAACACTGTGATGCAACTCCACGATGTATCGCCAGAGATTTAAATCGTGCGCTCTTTTGATAGGGTGCATGTAATAAGCAACATTTCTGTTTTCGAATTCCGGTGAACGCTAGAGTGGAATTTAAATATAAGGTTTCAAATAAGATTTGCGCATGAATTGAGCTACCCTTAAAGCACAATGCATTTGATGTAATACAGTATGTGGTTACTAAAGATAGCTTATACTGCCAAGCCCCATTAAGCATTTATGAATAGAGTTAGGGCCTTAACCCACCTACCCATTACAAGTTTAAATAGGAGTGCATTGTGCCATAGCAATGAGTGGCATTTATATCCTCAAACCTTGATGATTTCTAATTGTTTCCATGGTTCTCATCCCATCTCCTGTCTGCTTTCAAAGTTCATTGGCCCTTTCTCTTAGATACACACCCTTCCACTTCCTCCAACACATACACAATATTTCACAAAAGCATACATGTTGGGTTCTTTCCCCAACAAGTAGTAGCCTTTCTTTTTGGCCCCAAGGCTCTCATCATTCTCTCTGAAATCTCATCTCTTCCTCCATCACTCTAGAAGCCAAAACAAATGAGTCATAGGGATTTTGTGGCCAGATCTCCCATCATTTTTCATTTCCATTCTAAAACAGCCATGCAGAGGCTCTGAATTTTTTGATTAGAACATGACACCAGGAGAGAAAGTGTTCAACCCTTACCCCCTACAGTTTCCCTAGTCTAAATTCCCTTTCCTCAAAGCTGTTGTTATTAACTCCACTGAGGGAAATATACACTTAACTTCCCCAGTATTTTTTTTCATCAGTAGGACAAATATCAGCTACAGAGAGGAGTGAAATGTTGGACTTAACTTCAGATAGACTTCAAAGTAATAATAAAATGAATCAGTTTTGATCGCAGATATCTCACACTGTGCCTACTTTGGTTTTAAGATGCTGTTTCTTCATTGGAGTGACAGTGGGGGAGTCACTTTTCTGAGGTGTCGTTCCTAGACGCTGCTGCAACATTTAAAGGCCCTAAATCATGTGGTCAGGGCTAACCACACGATTTCTTCCCTTCAGATTATGCTTGCTTGGGAAAGGCCCACTCAACTATCCGCACCTAAATTGAGGAGGGCAATTAAACATTCCACCAACCTCAATCTGCCCTCAGCCTCCACTTCCTGCCTTCTTATTTACATCCCGTCCAAGGAGCAGGCACTGGCTGTCAGCTTTGTCTTCCTTAGTCTCAGTGTTGTCCTTAGAAGGAGGAGGAGCAGGACAGAGCCAAAACTAGCATTTGCTGGCTTTGTCCTTCATTTGCTCCAGCTTTACCTAGCTTATAGGGGCGCGGGTGGCGCTGTGGGTTAAACCACAGAGCCTAGGACTTGCCAATCAGTAGGTCAGCGGTTCGAATTCCCGTGACGGGGTGAGCTCCCGTTGCTCGGTCCCTGCTCCTGCCAATCTAGCAGTACAAAAGCACGTCAAAGTGCAAGTAGATAAATAGGTACCGCTCCAGTGGGAAGGTAAATGGCGTTTCCGTGCGCTGCTCTGGTTCGACTGGACCTAATAGTCAGGGGTCCCTTTACCTTTACCTAGCTTCTGCCTTCTGCCCCACCAGACTCAATGGGCTTTAGCCATCGCTGCCCATAACTGTATATTCATAGGAAACTGCCTTATATGGAGTCAGGCCATTGACTACACCAGAGCTTTCCAATCTTGTCATGTTGGTGACACCCCTTTTAGCCATGCCTCATTTCGCGACACTGTAATTCAGTTTTACTAGCAAACTGGAGGTTAAACTAACCCCTTTCCAGCCCCGGGAGGAACGTGGGGAGCATTCGAGCAACACATCTACACACTGCAGCCGACACACCAATGTGTCGTGACAGTTTGGAAAGCTCTGGTCTACACACACTGGCAGCAGCTGTCTACTGTCTTAGAGAAAGGTCTTTCTGAGTCCCACCTGAAGATACCAGGGACTGAACCAGAGACCTTTTTGCAGGCAAAGCCTGTACTCTACTACTGAATTACGTTCCTTGAAGAATAAGAAGAAACGCTGGCATTTGCTGTCAGGCACTGGGCAAATTCGAATTTACTTATCACACTTAGTTAAAACAAACACCTCATAGTTATGCACAGCTAGAATGGTACACAAACTGGCTTCTGTCCCTAACTAATGCACCATCTTGTGCTTGACAAGTAGAGCATGCCATTCTGAAAGAGAGTGTCCACTAGCAACAAATATGTTGTAAGTGTTTAATACCAACTATAAGGCACATGGGATCAAGCTGACATAGTGAGCTTGGTGATGGCTATAATGCTACTGGTGCTTGGCTGCATTTAGGCTAGAAAATAGGTTGGGCAGTGTTCTGAGCAGAAAAAGCCTTTCTTTCTTTCTTTCTTTCTTTCTTTCTTTCTTTCTTTCTTTCTTTCTTTCTCTGTCTACAGCACAGGGGAGGATTTGTTGTAATTGTGTAGGCAAAGCGTAAACCTACTTTCCCTGCACGCTGTGTTCATGAGGGGCGGGGGGGAGAAATCACTCACACACCTGCAATTTATTTTATTTAAACCATGACATGATTGGGAAGGACACAACTCGTGTCATGTGCATGGGCATTGGCAGGAGTTTTTTGGGGGCAGGCCTTTTGTTGGGGGGGGCAGAACCTCAGTTTGCTATGTATTTTTATTGATTTTTATTGGTTGGGGGGCAGCTGCCCCTCCTTGCCCCCCACCCCCGCTGCACCCATGGTCATGTGTAATTAAGCTCTTAAGTATGTGGAATCAAAACTCTAGTGCTTATGAAGTTTCACATGGATGTCTTCAATAAGGTGAGCTGAATGGGGTTCTGCGATTCATAACTAGATATTTATAAAGTGTCAAAGAAAGTTCTGGATAAAGTTTGCATCAATTCACAAATTGCTGACCATTTCATTGTCCGACCTAGTTTCCCCGGTTCTGTCAGCGCTTCTTGCTCCCGAATGTTTTTGCTCTTCTGATATGAGCAAAAATAGCCAGTCATGCCACATTTTGCATTCTTTTAAAACATGCAGTCAAGTTGACAAGTGCATCTTCATGGATTCCTATTTTTCAGCGGAAAATCAATATTGACATTTTTTTTTAAAAAAAAGCATGGGCTTCCAAAGAGGTGTTTTTTTGTGGTGATTATTATCTAACTTATGTGAAATGATCGATAAACTATTCCTTATTTTAATTAAGAGTAAGAAAATTCGCATTGAGATTATGATGTTGATTATCATTTAACATTCTAACAGGGCAATCCTAGATGTGTCTGCTCAGATGTTACCCGTATTTTTCGCTCTATAACACGCACCCGACCATAACACGCACGTAGTTTTTAGAGGAGGAAAACAAGAAAAAAAATATTCTAAACAAAATAGTGGATATATGATTTTTGTGGTTCATGCTGTGGCCACAGACATGTGATCTGACGGTGAGTTTGGGGTAGCCCAATGCAAAAATCCTGAGGATCCATGTGGATCCATGCTTTGTAACCACGGAGGAGGGAAGGAAGGGGAACTATGGATCCTCTGCTCACGACTGCAGCAGATCCCCCCCGCCACCCGCAGGCATTCGCTCCATAACACGCACAGACATTTCCCCTTACTTTCTAGGAGGAAAAAAGTGAGTGTTATGGTGCAAAAAATACGGTAAGTCATTGGGACTTACTCCCAGATATGTGTGTATAGGATTGCAGGCTGACCTGGGAGTAAGTTCCACTGAACTCAATGAGGTTCACTTTCAGGTAGATATGCAATTGTGATGTAGCAGTATTTTATATTAGATTCCCTCTCTGCTGTTAGCTCTTGGCTGGCCTTGAAAAAGATGCATGCATTCATTTAAGACTGGCACTGGGGGAAAGTTGTGATCTTGTGTCTTCAACAGCTGTGTGGCATACATTCAACATGTTAAACATTTCTAGTACAGTGGTACCTTGGGTTAAGTACTTAAATCGTTCCGGAGGCCTGTTCTTAACCTGAAACTGTTCTTAACCTGAAGCACCACTTTAGCTAATGGGACCTCCTGCTGCTGCCGCGCCGCCAGAGCACAATTTCTGTTCTTATCCTGAAGCAAAGTTCTTAACCCGAGGTACTATTTCTGGGTTAGCAGAGTCTGTAACCTGAAGCGTATGTAACCTGAAGTGTATGTAACCTGAGGTACCACTGTATATAAATACAAATATAGGAAAACCTTCCCCTGTTCAGATTCTGTCAGAAGTTTTATTACATGTGTGTCTACTGATTTATTTTTGAGTCCTCCTCTCCACCTGAGAAAGAGAGCACAAATTTGCATGTGATGCAAAGAATGTGCAAATTTTATGCAAATCTGTGCTCTCTTTTTGCAAGTGGTTTAGAGGGCCCGATCCACATACAGGGTACTGGGCACACAAAAATTCCTATTGTCACCCCTGATAGAACATTGTCTCATTATGCTTTCATTTTGCCAATTCTTAATTGAGTGAGATTTTACAGTAGAGTAGTGAGAAAACTGGATAGGGAGATTTTATTATTTTTTCTATTGAAAACATTTTTTTTAAAAATTACAGTGGTACCTTGGTCTACGAAGAGCCCTGTTAACGAACTATTCAGTGAACGAACTCTGCAAAACCGGAAGTAGGTGTTCCGGTTAGCAAACTTTGCCTCGGAAGCTGAACAGACGGTGAATGGTGGAAGGGCACTGGTGGTGGGAGGCCTCAGTAGGGAAAGTGCACCTCGGTTTAAGAACGCTTTGGTTTAAGAACGGACTTCCGGAACGAATTAAGTTTGTAAAACGAGGTACCACTGTACTGATTCAGAAAGCTTTTACAGCTCAAATTTTGCCTAACACTCCGAGAGAATATACAAAAGATCTGAGGGAGTAGGAGACAGTTAAGCTCTGAATTGAAATGATTACCTTCTGATGAAAATGAATCTTGAACTGTTAATCTTTTACTCTTGTTCAGGGTCTCCTGCAAAACAATTGAATTTATATATGTAATCTATCTTCAAAATTGAAGGAAATTGTTGTCTGGTCAGGTCCTAGAATCGGCTTAGTTGCTCATACAGGGCTTGTCTACACTTCCGCTTGTCCCATGTCGAGAAAGCATGGGTCTGAGTAATTTCCCACTTGTTCCATGCTTTATAGGCCTGGGTCCGAGCAGTTTCACAGTAAGGATTTAAACAATTTTTTTAAATGGATGTTGCAGAACTACGCTTTCTTTACAAATAACTAAGTAGAATTAAGTGGTTTTTAATTTTGCCCAGATGACATTGCATACATCCCACATTGCTGTGGAGCATGTTATGTAATGTCACTTGAGGGATGAGATGCAAAATGTGCTCATCTTGAGTGCCTCTTCTTTCACTTTTAACAAAATTCAATTGTTTTTTAATCATGCTTTGCTTCATTTCCAGCTCTAAAATGAGCTCTAGCTATTCACACTCAAAATTGTATTTCAGTTATTTGATTTGATCAACCTGAGCATAATCATCAGAGGCAACTTTTATCCCCAGTTAAGGTTTTTTATTTGCATGAAATGATTCATTTTGCAGCAGCTTCTTTTATTTTCCCTAGAAGGGATTTTGCATTGAGAATAAGAAACAACTATTCATCAGCTATACCATCTATCACTTAGGCTGTGTAAGTCAAAGTCAACTTTGCTGAAGGCAGTAGGCAGAAAGCACTCAGCAGAACGAAGTTACTGTGACCGTTTGGAATGAAGCAAGAACTTAACAAGGAAACACAAAAATCTCATAGCATGGAGAAACATAGCTAATAATCTCTGAGCACACCTGTATGTTTAGCACAGCAACATAAAAACAGCAAAAACAAACAAGGATGGGCATCATTCTTCCACATAATATAAACAACTATTGTTACTTTAAAAGGTTTATAAACCACTCACATTATAAAACATTAGAATAGTGTATAGAAAACCAAAAATACATCTAAAACATACACCAGAAACAATACAGCTAAGATAACACAGTACAACACCAAAAGATGACCAGTGGACAGCAATTAAATATTTAAGTCAGAAAAGGCTTGGGTAAGTAAAGGTCTGGAGCATGTTATCTGAAGGAGTAGATACTTGGAACATGCCTTATCTCATAAGGCAATAAATTCCACATTAAAAGGGCCACAACACTGGTGGACACAAGGTGAATACTCAGAACTCTTGGAATTGCTAGGAGGTAGGGATGGGATCCTCAGGTCAGATGCCAAAATGGACTCACTTGATCTAATCCGGGAAGATCATAAAATGGATTAGATAATGAAGGCCACTTTAGAATCTCCAGTCCGTTGATTCTGGCTGCCTGCACCAGGTGGTCTGAGGGCACTGGAGGCATGCATGTTTCTGCTGCATATTTCCCTCTGAGAGCAACAGACCATTAATTCCCATTGTTCCCAAGGAGGACTTGCCCTGTAACAGTTGCAGATCTTGGGGTCTCAAATTTCAGTGGCGCCCCTCTATCTCCTGCACTCCATTGCAGTACACCCTGCGGCATCCCTGAAACTCCACACCCAGTGCGACTGAACTGGCTGTGCTCCCCTAAATACACCTGTCTGTACTGTAATTTAAAGTTCATAGAGGCGAGGACCCCACACATTTTGAATTGCGTTTCAGAGCCTGTGGGAAGCTGAAAGTCTTACTTCTACATGGAGTTTCTTAGAAAATTACTTTCGCATTTCTGTGGATATTTTAAAGGATCCTTTGGGGGATCCACAAAGCTTAGGATCCAGCAGATTCTAGCCACTGTGGGTTGTGCCACAAAAGACCTCATTTTGTGGCTTTCTGCTTGCTACTGCAGGTGGGAGAATGGCCAGTCGTAGCTTTCTACCTGCTAAGGCAAAGCTGGAGCCTTCACTATGGCAGAGACTTCCAACAGTATTCCTCTCTGCTAGTGGAGGCTGGTAGAGAGGCAACTATGTGTCATCCTAACTCAGCCACTCAACCATCAAGGGGAAGGGGATTAGGATTACATTCCTAATCTGGATCCAACCGAATGCATTTTAACATTGTCTGGATGGATAGTTCATCATGTGCACCGTACAAAACACATTTTCGTATGATTCAATCTATTACTAGTTTGGGGCAATAACCTTGACTTCAACAACTGTCTTACTCAGCATGTGTTATTTCCAAGTACATATCTCTTTTCTTTTCAATTATTTACTTTTTCTTTCCTTATCTAGTGATTTACCCAATAGTAGACTGAATCTTCATGCTATTTATACTGGTCTCATATATAAAAGAACCATGTGCTAAAATCTGTTATTTATTGTTTATTTTAATATACTTTAAGAAGCACAATAAAAATGAAATTCATATACAGCAAAAACAAAGCAGTTTTTGAAAAGGCGGTAGTGTTTTACCTCTTTTGAAATGTTAACTCCTCTCTTATTCTGAAGAATTTCTTCTGATTCTGAAAACAATAAAGACATCAAATAGAGTACAACTTTTAACAAAAAGGTGTTACAGAGAAACAAGAACATTTTACAGTAAAACAAAGGAAGCCATCTTGGTCCACACACACACAAAAACAAAAAACAAAACCCACAGTGAGACAGGACTTTTACAAAGAAATTATTTTGTTACATTCTGATTGGTCCTTCTTGAACCTCCTTCAGATTAAAAAAAGAGAGGAAAGAATAAAAAATAATAGAATGAGAACTAATAAAGGACCAGGAGATTGTCTGGTATTCCTTAACTCAAGGCTACTGAAGGATAAGATATTACAAAAAAAAGTAATCAATGTAAATTGACGGTAGACGAGTTTGTAACCTGAAAGAGTCATTAAGGATTCAGTTTCAACCTCAGGATCTCTTTCAAAAATGTAGAGCATTGTATGCGCCAAAATGAGCATTAAAATGAATTTGAGCAGGGTTGCTCACAGTGGCTAAGAACTGTACATTCTTTGAGGCTTCCTCCCGCAATCCCCTATGCTGCCTGAAAATCTGCTTTGGAGGGTTGTGGGACCCTCTGGATCAACATGGAAGGTGGTAGTGGGGGTTACAGGGAGAATGGGAAATAGTTGGAAATTATTTCCCTTTCGCTTCTTCCATTGTGGAGCCTCCACTGGATCTCAATAATTCTCACCAACAAAAGGAGCCCTTCCATTTGCAGAACAGTAGGTCAGGATCTAACCCTTTTAAATACCGTATTTTTCACTCTATAAGACACACTTTCCCCCTCCTAAAAAGTAAGGGGAAATGTGTGTGCATCTCATGGAGCGAATGCAGGCGGGAGGCTCTGCTCAGCGCTCCCTTTAAAGAGCCGCGTGGAGCGTGTGTGGGGCTCTTCGGGGCTTTTCCCTGAGGAGGGAGAAGGGCTACCCTTCTTCCTCCTTGTGGAAAAGCCCCCAAGAGCCGCACACACACTCCGCGCGCTCTTTAAAGGAAGCGCGGCTCTTGGGGGAGCCTTAGCTGCGAGCAGCCTCTCCCAGGCAAGGAGAGCCTTCATCGCACCAATCCCTCTTGCCCTCCTGGCTTCAGGGATAGCCCCGCAAAGCCTCCTGAGCGAAGACGGAGGAGCGCTCCCTCTTCGCTCAGGATGCTTTGCGTTGCTTTCTTATTTCTTGTTTTCCTCCCCTAAAAACTAGGTGCGTCTAATAGAGTAAAAAATACAGTAGTTTAATATAATGGATTGGGCTATCAAGATGTGTTTATTGCTAAACACATCCAAACTACCAAACAGGATGGGCACGTACATTGCCTAAAAAAGAAAGGAAATGCACCATATTATAGCATTGGTATGAGTTGGTGAAAGTTATACTTCAAATCGTTGGCTTTCCCTGTCCAGGAAACTGCCTGGCAGAGAAGCCATCAAGAGGTAATCACTGGAATGACCTAGTTATTGACTTAAGAAAAGACACAGAGAGAGAACAGATCAGTAAAAAAGAGAGAGAGAGAGACTATTCCGCCAGAGTGCAAGTGGGGAAGTTCCAGATTTGCAGTGGACAGTGATGTAAGCGAACGGTAAAAAGTGTCAGTTTTGCAAGCTGGAGTGGGAGGGCAGAGCTCAAGGTGTGCTGTCATTTCGTGCTGCAGAGAGCGTCAGATACAGTGTTTAGGGTCTATGAATCCAAGCCTGTAGCAATGGAAGGAGCAGGACCCTCTTGGGTTGAGAATGCTCTGCATTCTCTCCATATAGGCTCAGGTTGCAATAAGATAAAGCATGATATAAGAAATAAAGGGAGAAATAAAAAACACTAAAATTCAATAGGAGTATTTAATGGATGGCTATACCATCTCCTGTCTTCAACCACAAATCCAGAGACACACCACAGTTTACCTGAATGATACCTTGGTCCACCGGTGGTCCATGGACCACAATCTGGGAACCCCTGACATATTCAACTTTGCTGGGATAAATAGCTTTTCTAGTTTACTGAATTCTTTTAGCTTCTGTGTTTGTTTCTAACTTCCCTGTGAAGTGCAGCTGTACTAGAAAGAAAACTGAGCAGCAGAGACTTCTTTCATATACAGTATAATACAAAATGACATTCACATGAACAAACATACCAGCTATAAATTAATACTCTCTTTTGTCTGGAAGCTTAATTTTTATGTTATCTGGTGGACCTAAAATAATTTCTCTGACAAGTTTAATTAGAATAATAAAGCTCTAGGGACCATATAACCGTTTCTCCAGATTCTTGCAGTTATCCAAGCAGACAAAATGAACTTGAAATTAACTAAGGGTGGCAAATACGCAAAGGTTTATGAATGAACAAGATTAACATTAGTTAAAGTGAACCAGTTAGTTAACATTTGTTAGAGTGAACCACTGTCATACATTAGTAAACCTGAGGCAATATTTAGTCCAAGCAAAGTGATGCACATTTATCCTAGCAATCTCTTATTACAGAAGATAATAACATTGTTTGGTAAGCAAAATGAACAAGCAAGTAAAAAACCTAAGAGCTCTTACTATGCTGATACTGGCTCTCCTTTAACTGAAATGTTTAAAATGTTAAAAACAGATGCCTACTAATTTCAAACACTGGAAAAGAGAGGCTTTATTTATTTATTTTTTAAACATAATTTTTATTAACAGGCCAATCATATCACATTATTTCAAATCACATTAATTCCAAATTATACAGCCGAATTTTTCAATTTTGTTGGGGGTACCCATACATCAAGCTCCGGACGAGAATCCAAACATCACTTCTATTACTGCTTTAATTAAACAGTTCTATCCAGTTCTGTCCAGATAGTCTCTTTTTTACTTTCTTCATCTTCTTGTTGTTGTCATATATTCCTTTCTTTGCGATCTCTGATCATCTTCACAGGCAGGTTAAGAACAAACATCGTCTGCGTGGGTTTTACGCACTCCACAAGTCATATTTCATAGGGACAGCCGCCATTCCACTCCTCCTTCGAAAATTTATCTTCGGTCTGCCCTTCAGTTTTCTCAGGCTTGTAAAATATCTCCTAGAGGGCTCTGCCAGGTTAAAGATCAAATTCCAAACATCGTTCACTTTCAAATAGTCCTGGTTCTCCTCCCCCCGTCTTTCTTAAACAAGCCTGTCTTGCGAGACGCCATTTTAAAACTGCGTCATAAAATTTTTCCATTCTCCGATCTTTACCAATCCTCTCTTCATTCATCATTAATTCATCCCACACAGTTTTTAGATTCCTGCTTGTGTAGTAAAATACGGGGGTTCGTTTTTCTTTGGGGTGGAGGGTTATTATTTATGCTCATATAAGATAAAGAAAGAAAAGTTTTTTCCTCCACCCCACCTTCTTAGCTCCAAACACACCCATTTCTTAATGGCGCTTCGTCTCTTGATTTATTTGTCTTCGCCTGCTGCTCCGATCCCAGAGATCCATTAATCAGCAGTCTTATCTCCCGACCTTTGCTTGACGTATGTGCTTTAACATCTTCCAATTATATATTTCCAATTATATTTTCGTGTTAAAGCAAGCCAGCACGCGCAAATTGGAGACGGCGTCCGGGAAGAGCCGACCGCACCGAGGGCTTAGCCAAGTGACCGGCGCACCCCCCTCTCTCGAATCTGGGGATGCATTGTGACCACCGCTGGCAAGGCAGTCCCCCCCCATATCCTTGGGGGGGGGGGAGACTGCATACTTCCCATAGCAGCCTCTTAATTACCTCGTGTGGGTCGGAGAGATGTTATTGTCGGCCATCTTCCAATGCGCCACCTGGTGGCCCCCCGGAAAAGAGAGGCTTTAATGGTCTGATAACAAGCAGAATCTGACAGTGTAACCACCATGTCAACAGGTGACTGACTACAAGGAAATACCGTAATTGTTTCAGATACAGGAATTTTTAAAAAACCCTCCAGTTAACAAGGTGCCAATGTAACCACTAGACTCCTATCATTCTTGACCATTTTTAATGCTGGCTAGGTCTGCACTATACATTTAAAGTAGCATCATACCACTTTAAACAGTCTTGTCTTCCCCCAAAGAATCCGAGGAACCAAAGTTTGTTAAGGGTGCTGAGAGTTTTTAGGAGACCCCTATTCCTACCCAACCCGATACAATTCCTAGAGTGGTTTAACAATCAATCCCTGTTCACAGGAAGTTCTGGGAATTGCAGTTCTAGTAGAGGAATAGGAGGTCTTCTATCAACTCTATTAACAAACTACACTTCCCAGGATTCTTTGGGGGAAGATGTGGCTGTTTAAAGTGGTATCCTACTGCTTTAAACGTATAGTGCACATGGGCACAAATGGCAGACACGCCCTATCATTCATGGAAAGTCCCACACCAGTCAGTTGCCAATTTAGTCACGGTTAGGATACTCCAGGTGGTGTTCCCTAGGAACAAGCAAATACAGTCGGACCTTGGAAGTGAACGGAATCTGTTCCAGAAGTCCGTTTGACTTCCAAAATGTTCGAAAACCAAAGCACGGTTTCTGATTGGCTGCCGGAAGCTCTTGCAGCCAATTGGAAGCTGCGGAAGCCCTATCGGACGTTCGGCTTCCAAAAGAATGTTTTAAGTTTGTTTCGATTGTTTGGGAGCCAAAATGTTCCAGAACTAGGCTGTTTGACTTCCAAGGTACGGCTGTATGTTGATTTTGGCTTCTTTCCATTTCTCACATTTATAAGTTTGGTTTGCCACATTTCCACAAATGGTTTCAATTTTCTTTTTTTTGGGGGGGGGAAGGCTTCGTTAAAATTAATCAGAATTTTAGGGCAAATTTCTCTTAATACATTCAAATGCAATTTTACGTCAAATACAGATATTTGCAAGGCAATTCCCCCCAATATAATATACATTTATATGCACACTTTACCTTAGTATATGCATTTTTGTACATTCTACTTGGCTGGAGAACTGCATCGCTAATGGCTCTGTTTCAGTTCCCCTATTGTTTTGGTTAGTGTGGATAGGTAAGTTCACCTTTAAATGCAAACTGAACTGAATACAGTGGTACCTTGGGTTAAGTACTTAATTCATTCCGGAGGTCCGTTCTTAACCTGAAGCACCACTTTAGCTAATGGGGCCTCCTGCTGCTGCTGCACTGCTGGAGCACGATTTCTGTTCTTATCCTGAAGCAAAGTTCTTAACCTGAAGCACTATTTCTGGGTTAGCGGAGTCTGTAACCTGAAGCGTATGTAACCTGAAGCGTATGTAACCCGAGGTACCACTGTATGTGTCTCCCATCCATGGTGTCAGCTCTACTTTCTACTTATTATGGAAACCTTTTCCCAACATTTTAATAGACTGAAAAGCTAGTAGAATTAGATCAGGCTAAATTATTCTGACAGCATCAAATGGCCTGTGGGGTTTTTTTTGGGGGGGGGTGTAGTAGACTTAAAGAGTTGAGGAAACAGATTCTACAGAGAAATGGCAGACTCTACAAAACGCAGTCACCAAATGTGAAGATACAACATCAGTGTATAAAACTGGATACAAGACCCATCAAATGCAGGTATCAGAATACAGTGGTACCTTGGGTTACAGACGCTTCAGGTTACATACGCTTCAGGTTACAGACTCCGCTAACCCAGAAATAGTACCCTGGGTTAAGAACTTTGCTTCAGGATGAGAATAGAAATTGCGTGGTGGTGGCGTAGCAGCAGCGGGAGGCCCCCATTAGCTAAAGTGGTCAGGTTAAGAATAGTTTCAGGTTAAAAACGGACCTCCGGAATGAATTAAGTACGTAACCAGAGGTACCACTGTATAACAGTTTTCACTTTACTTTGCTTTACTCTTTGGTTAATAAGGTATACTGTGGATGCTTCCGCACAACTTATTTCAAAGCATTATATTTTAAGGAGGAGGAAATAGTTTTACATGGCCAGTGGATTTTCTGTACACCAACTTGATCATTAAATCATACAAATTAGACTGAAGAGGCAGAAAATATATACAATGTGACAATGAAGTAGCCCCTTCTTTTGAAGAAACTTTGTATTTTAATTACAAAGATTCCTGCATGAAAAACACCACACTTGAACAACACAAAAAAAAAACAGTTGTAAGTTCACTGGGACTTGCTGCCAGGTATGATTGCAGCCTTAATTGGGAACAGAAATGCAGACATTTATGCTAAAACATACAACTCTGGACAAAGCTTGCGACTTTATCAAAGTTTCAGTTAACAATCACTTTTAAAATATGTTATGATAACCAATATTAGGATTTCCACATAACTGTAATAGCTACACAATAGGCAGAAATCTAACAGGTACAGCTTTCCCTAATAGAAAGCTGCACCTGCTGAATTTCTGCATGCTCGGCCACTGTTGAAAACACTGGGCCTCTGTCAGTCACAAAATGGCAACCTTCAAGAGGAGCATAAGAGATTTATTTTCAGAAAAGCAGCCAGCTTCATCTGAAAACATAGCATGAGTCTCCTTGATTGTTATTGTCACAACTGACACTGAATATTTGTCAGCTCATTCCCCCCTGACTTAAGTATTTGTGTTCACCTCTGTAAGGTTTCCCCCCTAAATTATAAAAATAGAATATAGTTTCCCCTTTTAGCTATCTCACTGTTCACTTCTAAATGTCTGGGAACAGGAGAGTAATCCTCCTTGTTGGGTTTGGAGAAACTATAGATTTGTTTGGCAACTCTAGCATTCTAAAGGTTTTTGAATGCTCTACAATTTACTTATAAATTGTAAGACTAGACACATGCTACAGAGGAGAGTTATTAACATCTGAATATAATTTTAATTATTCTTCAGAACTATGCAGATCTACAGTCAGACAGAAGCCAAAAAGAAGGCTGACTTCCGTCTCTCTGCCTGTGTTTGTGTGTGTGCATGTGTATGTGTGAGAGAGAGACTGTTCCTTATTTTTAATTCCTTTTCCTCTGTTCAGATAGGCAGCATTTATCTAGGGGGCTAGTAAATAATTGGCACTTATCTGCAAGGCTGAAGTGTTGCACTAAGCAGGAGCAACTTTCTCCTTAGCACTACTGTAGCACTAAGCCTAATCTGGCATCAGTAGCTTGATACCTGTACAAATCTAATGAGCAAGGGATGAAAGGGTGAAAAGGAAAGAGGCTGTTCGCTCCATTGTGAAAATTCCTCATTGCACGTACAAAAAGAACTGGTAAACATCAGGATAGCGGATTGCAAAACTGCTTCTGATAAAATTCAATTTCACTTCAAACATTGAATCAATATGCTTGAATGGCAGAATATAGCCGGAAGGAAGACAAAACTCTACATTTTAAAAAAATTAACTTAGGAGTATGTGCCACTGGAGTACTCAATAAAATACAGCATTCCTTTCACCACCAGTCTACTTCTATATTACTACTGATTTTGAAAGTAAAATAAATAATTCAGGGAGACGGGAGCCAATAGTTTCTTCTAACTGCAATATATTGGGATCTGCAGATGAGGGCCAACATCAACCCCTCTTTATCAGAGGTGGTAGGGCAAGGAGTAGGACCTTTTCAAGAGTGGCACTTTATCTTTTCAATTCTCTTCTCAGGTGGCTGCTCCTATGGGAATCTAATTATGAAACTAGTTTAACTGTAAAATGTTAGGTCACTCTCCAATCAGGGGCATATCTATGGGCGACCAGGTCTACCCCCACCAATGGCACAGGCTCAGGGGACCACAAACATAATGCCTCTCCACTCTGGCTTGGAGTAACTAGGAGCCCACCCACCCACCAATGTGCTCCTGGGGCACCTCCCCAGCAGGACACCAAGGGTGCAAGGGCCAGGGGGCTCCTTGCCAAGGGCACAAGGTACGCCTTTGTCTCTAGTGAACACACGTCACTTAAACCTTTACTGCAGCAGTGTTGGCCATATTTCTGAGAGCTGGTTTGAGAAATTCTAAGATACATCTTGAAATGGGGAATCATAATTTGCACAATTAGATTGGGATGAATTCAACTTTCAAACATGAGGCTGAAAGAATGACTAGCTGCAGTCATTAAATGGAAGCTCATGTGTGAACGTCGGTTTGACTGTGCATGTAATAGGGCTTCAAGACAACAAGCCCTCCACTGAATGCAGGTCTGTAGTGCTTATATTGCACAACTTGTTTGATCAGAGAGCACAAAATGTGAAAGTGCTTACTACTGGAAAGGATGGCTCTGTGTAATGCAGGGGTGGGCACCCCTGCATAGCCTTTCTCTTGTGTCTGCAAGGTCCTGCTCTCCTGCTCCTACCCGCGCTAGAGTTAAGCTTGAAAGAAGCCTTTCATTGTAGCCAACAGAGGGTTTTTTCAAATCAAATTGTGACTTTGGGGGAGCTGTTTAGCTGGAGAGGGATGTGGTAGCTTCCCCTAGCTGTGATTCGACCACCACCACCACAAACACCCTCCCATCACAATTAGATTTCAAAGATCCCTTCTACTGCAGCCAATAAAAGGCTCCCCCCCCAGGCTAACTACAATGTGGAAAGGGTGATTGAGGAAGGGGGAATACCCTTCCCTTCCTGCTTGCGGCCTCCCCCTAATTCAAGCCTAATCGCTGGTGGCAGCGTGGAGTGAGTGTGCATGCATGAGTGCCTGCCTGTAGTGTGTGTTTTGTGGGTATGCCAGTTTTTCAGGTTTGCAAATATGCCAATGCACTGGCCCCAAAAGGCTAGGAAGCCCTGCTATAGTACTGCCTCCAAGTATTTGAAAATACTTTGATTGTCTGTATGCAATCAAACTCACTCCCATGCTTTTAGGAAACAGTGATGCTAATTCTAAATCTGTTTCCACTATTACAGTATTAAAGCTGCATGTGTGATTATTACATGTGGTAATTCCATGGCTTTTCCCCAGCATGGTGTAGTGGTTAAAGCAGGGGTGAGCAACCTTTTTCAGCCGTGGGCCGGTCCACTGTCCCTCAGAGCACGTGGTGGGCCAGACTATATTTTGAAAAAAATATGAATGAATTCCTATGCTCCATAAATAACCCAGAGATGCAGTTTAAATAAAAGCACACATTCTACTCATGTAAGAACACCAGGCAAGCCCCACAAATAACCCAGAGATGCATTTTAAATAAGAGGACACATTCTACCCATGTAAAAACACGCTGATTCCCGGACCATCCATGGGCCGGATTGAGAAGGCAACTGGGCCGCATCTGGCCCATGGGCCAGAGGTTGCCTACCCTTGGGTTAGTGTGTTGGATGAAGACCTGGGCAACCAGGGTTCAAATCCTCACTCCAGCCATGAAACTCACTTGGGTGACCAAGGGCCAGTCATAGTCTCTCAGTTTAACCTACCTCACAGAGTTGTGAGAATAAAACAGGGAGGGAGGGAGCAATACACACAACGTTGAGCTCTTTGGAGAAAAAGTGGAGTATCTATGCAATAAAATAAAATATGGGCATAAACGGGAAGAAGTGTCACATCTGAATCAGTGCTCAATTAGAAATACCATTCTTCTTCCTATAAGAGCCAACTCCTAGGGGTCACTTCAGGCCCCTAATAAAATATTTGAGGGGACTGCCCAAATTAATGGGCATTGCCATTCAAATCATGTACGTGTGCCACATTATGTGATTGATTATGTGGGGTAGGGCTTACCTGCCCCCCAATATTTTAGTCAAGTAGACACCCCTTCTTCTCCCTCCAGATAAGATGCTTAGTGATCAACAACTGCCTTTTAAAAAAGTTCTTTTTAAAGAGCGTGTGAATTAAGGTTTTTTGTGTGTTTAAATAAAACAATAAAAACAAGGATAATACCAGATACCCACTATGCACTGTGACCCAGAAGGCCATCAAAACCAGTGCTACAAGAGGAGCCTTCATCTCAAATACTTCCTTTGCTTTTGGGATTCCCCCAAGAGAGGCAGGACCAGGAGCTAGGCTGGGCAAGGCATCCTTGCCGCTGCTCTGCAAAAGGAGCTACTCAGACTGTTTACAAGGAACAGAAGAGGACAGCCTGCCACACTATGCGCCCTCCCAAGTCAACTGGCGCCTTCATCCAATCGGGAGGAGGCGCCTCCCTTGCCTGCCACCAGCATCGCCGCCGCCTCGTCGGCTCCGCCTCGTTTTCCCCAAGGTTCTGCCCTGACGCGGTTACCTAGCAACCGCCTTCTTTCCTGCCAGCCAATCACGGCCCCGCTGCTCCTGCTGACCCGGAAAAAGACGGCTGCAGCCTCTGGTGTTCCCGCGTGCTGCGTTTGGGAGGAAGGCGAAATTCAGATCGCTTTGAAACCAGCGGCGGGGAGGAGCAGGGCGGTTGTGCTTTGGTGTCGGCAGCAGCCGCTGCTTGGGAGCAACAGAAGCAGCAAGGGGGTGTTGTTTTTCGCCCCCCAATCCAGGGGCTGGGCAGGCGTTTTAAGGCAGCAAGCTGAATGCACACCAGCACTCTTGATGCATGCAAATTGGGGGGGGGGGCACCTGGAGTTGCTGAAGTCCCCCATATTTCCTAACCGTTGGCCCAACTGGGTTGTGGCTGATGGGTATTGTAGTCCCAGCGACACCTGGACCAAACCAAACCAGGAAGAGTGCAGAACGCAAAGAGCGGAAAATAAGGACTATTCTATAAGCTCTGTTAAGAGATCATCCACCCTTTCACTCTTCTTCCTTGTCACCTGTCATCAGGCTACCTGAACAGTTTCCATTCCAGCTGACAGGGACAAAACTAGGATTCATTTCACCCGGGTCAAAGACCCAGTTTGGCACACCCACACACCCATGCATATTTGTATACACGCACATACACATGGGTGTAGCCAAGGGAGGGGCAGCTGCCCCCCCATCAGTAAAAATCAATAAAAAGACATAGCTAATTGAGGGCCTGCCACCTCCCCCAAGAAAAATCCTGGCTACACCCATGCACATATACACAGGCTGGGAGCCTCAATGGCACCCCTCTGGAGGCTTTACCAAGGGGGGAAATCCTGGCTCCCGCCACCCCGTAGCTACAGCTCTGCAGCTGGTCTGTTGTAACTCTAATTTAAAGTGCTCCTTGAGTTTGCTGCCCTCTCCCTTTTCATTTTTGTGCCATGGTGTGCTAGAATGTAAACCTGAGGGTTGGGACTGTTTATTAGTTATTATTATTATATTATTATTGTTGTTGTTCTGTAAGGTACTCTGGTATGTTTTGGGCTAAAGAGCTGATTATAAATGCTCTAAATAAATACGGTAAGTTGTTCTGGTGGTGTCTGCTCTATGATTCCACAGAATTTTAGTGTATGGGCTTACCAAAGGCTGTGTGGGAGTATGGCCATGTTCAGAGAACCTTTTAATACACTTTTAAATCTGCACAGCTCCATGAGGAAGAATGAAGTGGTAGAATGAGGAGTGAGTAAAACAGACCACTGCAGACTGTAGGAGGGCAGAATGCATGGTGTTAGAAGATTGGGCAGAATGTTGCCCAAACTTGCTGGCCAGATGTGGCTAGGCACAAATTTATTATTTATTGAATGAATGAAATTTGAGTGTAGAAAAAACCTCAGAGTGGTTTACAAAAGACAAAAAAAAGTAAATCAAGAAAAAACCACAAACATGTTTTAAAATATACTTTTAAACATACAAAAGTTAAATACTAAAATACTGAAACAGATTAAAATTTAGCAGGCATACAAAAGAGTACAGTGAAGGCACTTGCTTGATCTCAAGAGGTAGTGTGCTCTGCCACACTAAATGAGTGAGTTCTTACCAATGCTGAACAGTATTATGTGACACCTCTAGTAAATTCTGTTGTTGGGTTGCCATGGGGACTAAATGGTTAGACAATTGTTACTTCAGAATCACTTTGGGAATGTTATGAATATAAAAATCAGAAAAGGTAGCAGAAGACCCCTAGCTAAGGATGAGGTAATGCAGATGTCGCTGTGTGACGAGAATCACACACATATGAAATAGCACAGAGAACTGATTTTTGTTAAGCATCTTAAAAGTTTTGGATGTCCCCTTGAGATCTGACATCAGAGCAGCGGACTTTGGTTAGCCGTGTTATTAAGTATGTCCACATCTGTGCTCACTCTGTATGTGTAAATAAGTGCAGATATTACAAAATGTCAATAAAAATCCTGCGACCTTTTAACTGTGACCTACTTCCGAAGGGAACTAAACTCGGGCAACTTTAACAGACCTCAAATTTCTCAGTGCTTGGCGAGAACGTAATGATATTTTTAATACCTAGCTACTTGCTCCACTTGCAGGTAACGTCCCTACTTAAGTTCAATAAGTCTTAAAGTTAAGTTACTGAGCTGCAGCCTAGCAGTGAGTGGCTCTAAGGATATGTGCCCAGAAGGTAGTCTGCAGCTCCGAAACCCAAGCCTTAAACCCATTTTCTTCTTCTTCTGGGCACCGGGATGTGCCTTAGAGCAACCTCCACTTCAGGTGCACCCTTGTCACTTCTCTCACACAGGTAGCACAGAGAAGCCCACTCTTCCTGGGGCCGGCCCACCTATGAGGCAAGGTGTGGGCAACCGCCTCAGGCGGCAGGATGCACAGAGGTGGCAGACCCCAATGGAGATCTAGCTCCTCCCCTTTTGTTGCCTCTTGCCCCTCCCTCGCTCCCCCTGCCTGTCAAGGTGCCCCTCCTCCCGCTCCCTCCATTATGCCTCCCTGCCCCTTTAAGCAATCGTTGCTGCGGCGGCGGCGGCGGCGGCGCAGGGGGCGGGGCGCGTCGCTTGAGCGGCGTCTGCCGGGGCCAACGGGCGGCGGAGGCGGGCGCTGCGGGGGTGTCTGTCGGGTTAGAGCGAGGCGTGACCCAGTCGGCGAGCGCTGTGAGGGGAGTGTGTGTGTGAGAGAGAGATAAGAGGAGGGAGGAGGCGAGTGGAGGAGGAGGAGGAGGAGGTGCCCAGCAGCAGCAGCAGCAGCAGCAGGGCGACAAGCATCACCGCCGAAGACGCCGCCGCCGCCGCCACAGCGGAGCAAGCTGTGCCCTCTCGCTCGAGCCCCGCAGCCGGGTCGGCGCGCTTCCCCCGTCGCCCGTGAGCCTGGGGAACCTGCAGCTCAAAGCCTCCGCCAGCCACAGCACCATGTATCCCGGGAACAAGCGGAAAAAGGTCTGGAGGGAAGAGAAAGGTACTGACACCCCCCCCTCATTCCTCCATCCGCGCCCATTAAAGCGCGCCCCTCTTCGCTCTCTTCAGGCAAACGGGTAAAGGGGGGGGGAGTTCGCTTTGCCCCCCCCTTCTCCAGGATGCGCGCGATCCAGAGCCCCCCCCCCGCGCCGCCTCTTTCCTGGACAAGGTCTCCTTCCTGTTACCTCAGGCTTACCTTGGCGAGGCAGCGGGGCTCCTCCTCCTCTCGCTCATTCCCTCAGCCTTGCCTTTCAATGTTGTGGTTTTCTTCTTCTTCTTCTCCTATCTCCGCCCCCCCCCCCTTGCCACCCTTAGTTCACTTTTCCTCTCTTATTGGGTCACGCGTTTCTTTCCCAGGGACAGCCGAGGAGGAGAGGGCATGAAAGAGGCGCTGGCTTTCCGTTGGGAACGTTGGAGGCGGTTGGTGGGGGGTGGGAAAGAGAGAGAGCCAGAGCAGGTGACGAGGAGACGGTCGCCTTGGGGTTTATCTTGTCCCTTCCAAGTGCTACGACCTTGTCAGGGGCTCTGTATTAGTTAGGCTGCATCCTGTGCATGGCCTGGTTTTTTGTTTTGCTGGGGAGGGAAAAATAATAGCTACGCTTTCCTCTCTCTCTCTTAAATTCTTGACTTTGTTCTCTGTTCTGGAGTTGCATTTTTTTTTTTTGGACTTTGCCCTTCTTATCCAAAGGTAGAGCAACAATAACAAAACTATTGATTGCAAACAGCATTCATTTAAGAAAATACCCATTTTTTTTTTTAAAAAGCAGATGATGCATCTGTCCTCTTCATTGGGCTGCCTGTGTTACTTTCTATCACTGGGTGGTTCTGTTTATAGCTTGTCATGGTTCTGTGTTTGGGTCGCTCCTCTCCTCTGTTCTTGCTTTCTGCTGGGTCGCCTGTGTCTCACTCAGATGTCTGCAACACAGAGCTCCCCAAAAAACACGGTAAAAATTGATTGCTGCTTTCTCTGTCATTCACGTGTCACTAAAGAAATGCAAGGCATGGTGGCGTGTATTGCCATCGGTGCAAGGCACCTAACCTTTGGGACGTGAATTTTGAAGTAGACCCCTCCCACATGCACCAACCCTCTCATACTTGTGTCAGGAAATGAAAGTGTAGAGTGCCTCTTTGCTGCCTCTGCGTACAACTTTAGTTTCTGTACCCTGCAAAGTTAATGATAACTGCTTCTGTTCCCAAAGTGTTTCGATTTCTCCCTATTCAGTGTTAAAAACCATTGTCAGGATACTGCAGACAGTGACAGCACAGCTAAAGCTGGCTCTTCTAGCACAGGAAATACTTTGAAATATGCAAGTTTCATTTCAAATAACTTATCAGTTGTTGAAACTAACAGAATGAAAGTTTATAAACTAATCTCTATTGGACCAAAACTACTACTGTAAACAAAAACAAAGTATCTTTGAACTTGTATTCTGACCAATGGAATCTTGTCTAACACAAAATGTGCTCTTTTTTCTCTGATGGGCTGATTGCAGTACCCCAGTCTTAAAAACAGTGGTTATTAAAGAGTGGGCCTGTAATTTCGGAAGCCACAGAGACGGACACAATTGTTTTGTTCTTGTTTTTATTATATTTTGTTTTTATTTTGCATTTTTATACTTTGAACCGCTCTGAGATCTTTGGATGAAGGGTGGTATACAAATGTAATAAGTAAAATAAATAAAACAGGGGAGGCTTATTTTGACCTGCGCATTTATGCTGACTAAAATGTAACTATTCAAAAGGGGAGAAAATGATTGCTAGTATGTGTAAGGGCTATTCTCTAATGGTGTGTGTTTTAACTAACAGACTTATAAAAATTCTCTCATCAGCAAATACATTAGCTCTTCAGTGGAAACTGTCACTACATTTTTGTGATCATTGTTTATGAATGGCTTAAATATAATATAAAAAGCTTAAAATAATATTTAAACTCATTGTATTAATGCTAATTAAATTAAAGTTGTACCTGTTGGACAGGGCTGTGCATGTTAAAATTCTTCCTAGATTTAACAATGGAAACTTCATTTTGCATTTAGAGTACCCAGTCCAATCCTGAGCTGTGAATTTCTTGCAGATATGTTGTTAAATAAGATTTAGTAGGAGTACTGCTGGTAGTAGATGTTACTTATAGTCAGATGAAAGCAAAGCAAATCAGAAGTCATTTGCTATTATAAAAATAGGTGTTGCCAAGCTTTTTAGGCCCATGGCCACATTTGAGTTTTAAACTGAGTGTTGTGGGCATAATCCTCTCTGATTGCTATCCTCCCTCCTATCCTAGCCTTCGCCATGCAGATGGAAAGATAAAGTGTTCATGCACAGACTTCACCTTTCCAAGAGATCTGGGTGGAAGTTGCATTAATAGAATTGATCTGAACCCTGAAAAGCACATGGAACTGGAAGAGGAAGTAGGAAAGCACAGCACTCCTCTGACTTCCTCCTCCAGGTCTATATACTTTTCAATAGTGAAAATAGTAATTATCCTCACCACTGAGGGGGCAGTAATTGTGCCTCAAGCTTCTTGGGCATCAGGAAAGACTGGGTGCCTTGTAATAGTTAAAGACAGAGCAAATGTAGAATATTTGTCCTCCTTCTCATCACTGTTGGATGGACTCCATAGTATTGAGAGCTCCTGTTGTTCTGTTGATTCACTTGCTAGATCTGCCACAGCTACATCAGACTAGATTCACTCTACTAAAGTTGTGAGCCTCCAGCTTCATGGTGGATTGCTATATTTCTTCCTAGTTAATTGCTTTTAGGTTTGCTTTTGCACATCACGTTCTCCAGAGCAGCTGTGTGAAATCTCATTGTGTTCAAGAGGATTTTGTTAATTTTCCAACATGAAATGCCTAACACTAAAGGGTTGTTTTTATAATCGTGGAAATCTTTATTCTTATTTCTATTGGTAGAAACATTTATACCTAAAAGTTATAACTTAAGGTCCTTAACATTTTTATTTTAAGGTTGATGTTTTAACTAATGCAAATAAAAACTTCAAGAAGAGTAGATCCCTTTTTTTTTCTTCAGTCTACATCACTTATATCTTTCTTACAGATTGACTAGAGTGTGGTGTGGGTTTATTCTGTAGTTTTGAAGCAATGCTAAATTTTAGTAGAGCAAGCTTCTTTGACCTACTTCAGAAATTATAATATATGAGGAAATAGGAGTGTACAGTGGTACCTCGGGTTACATACGCTTCAGGTTACAGACTCCGCTAACCTAGAATTAGTACCTCAGGTTAAGAACTTTGCTTCAGGATGAGAACAGAAATCGTGCTCCGGCGGTGTGGCAGCAGCAGGAGGCCCCATTAGCTAAAGTGGGGCTTCAGGTTAAGAATGGACCTCTGGAATGAATTAAGTACTTAACCCAAGGTACGACTGTATTTATAACAATGCTAGATGCTGTTGATGTTTATGAGGTAGATTGGAGGCATGGTGCAAATGCCTTAAATTAGCTCTTGCCTTGAGTAAATATCTTAAGTGTTTTATGTTAACCGAATGTCTTTGATGGTGTGGGTTTATTAGTGCATATGTGTTGCCTGTCAAACTAATATTTCAATAGCATTTTAAATTAAGTTCAATAGCATTTTAAATTAAGTCCTAATAGAAGTCCTTGATGACTTCAGTTTTAAGTAATAAGCAGCCATGAAAACCAAAGCAAGTTCTTAAGCACTGCTTCAAGTTGCATAAGAAATGGCACACATTTGTTTTGTCTGTTTTTTATTTATTGTAGGTTGTATCCAACCAATTCATACTTGAAACAAACCAATTGAAATAAATAGACATGACTAACAAGTTTGTTGATTTCCACGAAGAAATATGGCTTAGTTGGATACAGCCCAGAAACACTAGAAAGCAAGCCTGAAATGAAACTCAGCCACAGCATCAAGAACTCATTGGAAGCTTGGTTGTTGAGAAATAAAGGTGTTGATGGATTATGCTTTCTGAGTGTAATTGAACTATTTTATCACTGCTTTTTGTGCAGTTTGCCTGTATTCTGAAACTGGTATAAGATGCAATAAAACTTAGATAAAAACACACTCTTGAAATCTCATATATTCCCCCAAGATAAATGTTATTCCATGTGTAGAAAGAAAAAGTGGGTACTTGGAGGATAATTCACGAACCTTGCTTCAATAGAAACGGATTAACTTTAATACTAGTAATGTATACTAACTTTTTTTAACAGAGCGTTTGTTGAAGATGACACTAGAGGAGAGGCGTAAAGAATACATACGAGATTACGTTCCTCTGAAAGACATCCCAACATGGATGGAAGAAATGAAAAGCAAGACCCAAAGTGATGGTAGGTTAGCTTCTAATAATTGTGCTTTAGAAGATGAATCATGGCATCTATAATTTTGCTTTCCATGCTGGAGTAGTTTTGGTTCCTTGTGTTGTAGAGGCTGAGGATTTGCATTAAACAATGCGGCAGATTGCTGCATTGTGCTGTTTTTGGCTGTATTCCTATAGGAGTGCTTCACTCACTACATTTTAAAGTTTACACATAGAATTCCTTATATAATAATAATAAATTAATTGTTTATATCCCGCTCATCTGGCTGGGTAAATTAGTTGAGCTTAGTCTCATGTGTAAATTAGTTGAATGTTGTCCCATTTATTTAAATTAGAACTATGTACAAATAAAACTTGTTTGGATCCAGCCCATTGTGCAAATGTGACGCATGTTTGCAAACAAATATATTCTACTGGTACCAATTCTGGCGTGCTCTGCTCCATGGGGTCACAAAGAGTTGGACACAACTAAAAACACCACCACCAATTCCCAGAGTTCATTCCATCCTTTCTTTAGCCAGCTTTTTTCGCTTGATAACATGAACTCAGGCTGCCTTGACACTGAAGAATAACCTTGATACCGTTCTGAAGAATAACTTGAGGTGAAACATATAAAAGTTTGGAAATAGTTAAAACAAATTCAGATTTTCACATATCAAGTTACATAAAGGACAACTGTAGATTAATTATGCCATAAAAACTTTTGCACCTCATATTCTTTTGTAGTTACTAGTTTGTTAGTCGAAGCTGAACTTCTGTTGATTTCTGTACCGTATTTCTTTCCAGGGACATGCCTACCTCTTTGGTACTTCATACTGCTTGTCTTCAGTGGCTTGGATCCAAAGAGCAACTTTAGGTGCACACAGTGGGACAGCATACTCACTGTGCAGTATCAAACAATTTTTAAAAATCCCTTCACTTTTCAAATATGTGTTGCCATGATGCATGGGGGAATTATTCAAGAGAAACAAACCTGAAGCTGCCTCTTGACTGCAGACTTTCTTGTACAGTTTTTAAAATATTGGGTTATAACTAAAAAGTATCCTTCAACTTCTGAACAGAGCTCTTCTGTAATGAGAAGAGAATAAAATGGAGTAAACGACCAAACTAGAAATGGTCAAGGCAAGGGTAGAAATCTATTTTGGTATTGTTAAAATTAAATTAATCATTGCATGTTAAAATCTTCAAGCTGTACTCTTCTAAGATGAAGTCAAATTAAAGTCAGTGGTGTAGTCCATCTTGTGTGTATTGCAGATACAAGGAATAAGTGTAATCAGTGTAAAGCTATTCAACTTCTGAAAATAGCCTTTAGTTTTATGTATTAATTGTGGAATATTTATTTTGAGTATTTATATATTACCTCTCATGAGAAATTAGATAAAAAGCAGGTTGCAAAGTGCCTTTACAAATAAATATAACAGTAGCTTCTGGGTATCTGGTGTATATAATGGAATTAGATGGCTTTCTTAGGGTTGCTTCTGATGTCTTTCAGCAAGTCACTTTAGTGAGTAATGTCTACATATTTAACTGCAAGTCAGACATGTTAATAATAAGAACTATAGAGCAGATGTCACTCATGAGTACTTGCCAGAATGT